CGTGCACCTAAGGCTTTCACGCCTCAATATTATGTATATTGGTTCTATAACCAAGTCACTTCACCTGGCTCGAGCCCATCGTCATAAAAGGTTGGACATAATGTACATCAAAATTTGTAAAAGAATCTTTTCAAATCGATCACTTTGAACCGAAGTCAGCTACCAGCTAACAAAATGCATTACATCAGTTTTTACGCAGCTACTTGCAGCATTTGGTGGGTTAAACAAGATTATCAGTGAAAGAAGTATCATTTCGCTAGTTTCTTGTAAATAAACGTCGTTGTGTCGTATTGATATAGCGTAATGAAGTCTTACGACAGACGCGAGCTAGCAAGTGCTTATGTGGTGAAGGGCTTCAAAGAATGTGGAAACTGAAGGACTGGTGAACCAGAGATGCAGAGGCTTGCAGAAGAGAAGCAACCGTTAGAATATGGATCACAAAGAAAGGGAACCAAAAAGGGGGAAGCGATCGTTGAATGAGCAGAGTTCGCGGTTAAAAGCTTGCTACCGTGGCACCGATTGTCGGTATTGAAAGGAGTGGACCGCGGTTTCACATCGCTGGAGCGCGGTCCCTCAAGGTGGACCTAAGTCCTTCTAGGTCAACCTCGCGATGAAAACACAGACATTGTAGCTACGAAGACTAAATTTTTTACTCAATTAGCGGTTGTTACGGACTCTATGACGGTGAGGATATCGATACTATTTCTCGATCTGATTATTTGTCATACGGGCTATCAGTGGATATTGTCGCGGATAGAGATTCACGATTCACATGGAAGTTTGGCAATTGGTCTTTGTGGTGCTACACAGAGACAAATTCCATCGACTGACCTTGCTTCTCCAGCACCTAGTCATAGAAGGCGTCAGGAAAATGCTGTCGACGCTTCTGATCGGCACAATTAAAGGCATCAACGATGTTAAGATAATCTTGCCGGTGAGGCATCTCGACATCCCACGAGTCATATACCCTCTCCACTTCACCAGTTATTGATTATGACCTGTAACGGGGTCGTATCGTTACACGCCATATCAAGTACGATATGGCAATAATAACAGTCCCATTATTATGCATAATTAGGTAGAGAATATTGAGAATATTACATAAGTAGAAAAGGAAAAGATACGAAGAGCGTATCTTTTAGTACCATTATTGGATTGGTTGAAAGTGCGGTTTAGCCCCATTTCACCCAATTATTATTTAGCACGTATTTGGGTAATTCACAGAAGGTTTAGGATTTTGTATTTAACCTTAATAATAATACTAAACAGAGTTTAATTTGGTCCTAAGCACGCAAGTAAATTGCGTGCTTCTTACGCGTCCTCGTAAGACCTTTAGTGTAGGCTACGTAACGGAGCTTTCGCCTCGTTACAAAAAGCAAGTGTTTAGCGAAAATGTGCTTTATAAGCAAGTGTTGAACACTTAGGTGCTTGATAAGCTAGTGTCATACACTATGGTGCTTTATAAGCTACTGTTACATACTATGGTGCTTTATAAGCTACTATTAGATACTATGGTGCTGATACGCTAAAGTGAAGCGAAAATATGCTTTACAAGCAAGTGTTGAACACTTTGGTGCTTTATAAGCTGGTGTTAGCCACTAATGTGCATTGTAGCTAGTGTTCGACACTAATGTGCATTGTAAGCTAGTGTTCGACACTAATGTGCATTATAAGCTAGTGCTAACATTACGGTGCTTTGTGAGCAAGTGTTACACACTTACATGCTCAATCGCTTATAAGCAAGTTTTTAGAACACTGAAATGCTTCAAAGCAAGCGCTAGGCACTTAATGCTGTAGGAGCAAGTATTCGTAAACACTAATGGGTATAAAAACCAAGTGCTAGGCACTTAGTGCTTATAAGCAAGTGTCGTAACATTTAATGCTTTAGCGTGAGTGCAATGCACTGTATGCTCAAGAAGCAAGTGTTGCAACACTAGGGTGCTTAAACAGCGTGTGTGAAAAGCACATATACTCAAAGAGCGTGCGTCGTAACACAAAATCTTTAGACGCAAGTGCGAGGCACTTCATTGCGAGGCAAGCAAAGTGAAAAAACATGAAATCGACACAACTCTACATAAAGTTCGAAAACCGTGGGTACGCCGGGTCCCACGGATTGGTGGGGGAGGTTGTAACGGGTTTACACGAAGGTGTGTATTGTACATACACACCTGCCACACCACAATGGTGTGGCTGTACCTTGGGTAAAAAAAAGTAGGTTGATGTGACCGTACCTGAAGTACGAAGGGTTGCATCGGGGCAGAGAGCCACGTGGTCACTATACTTACTTACAGTATAGTGACGATGCATGTTTGCATAATAATAACAGGCTATAGAGCCAGTAAATAGTGACTAGAACTAAGTATAGAGTAGGTACTTCTATATTTAGTGCTAGAAGATAAGCAGTAAATAAAGCGGTCTCAAATCTGCTCTGAATAGCTTGCGTGCTAGAGCGTTCAATTCTTTTGTAAAAGGAACTGTACCTCTGATACCTGTATCACGGAGACATGGTTGTTTACAACCATAAGGCATTAGCTTGTAAGCTAGCCTAGGAAGGGCTAAGTACCCTAAGACGTATAAGCTCTTTGAGCTTGCCTTTTTCTGCACTTAGTGCATAAGTAGCTTTGCTGCAGTAGCTCTTTTATACTTAGAGTGTATTTACACTGTTGTGGCAGGTGTGTATGTGAAATACACACCTTCGTGTAATCCCGTTACATGCAGTTTGTTTCGTCTGGGCCTTATGAGACCGCCCCCCTGACTGGCAACTCAATTCCGAGTAGATCAATTGGAGGGTACTTCCTATTAATTTTTGGATCTATAGTGATTCTCTGCCCAATTTATAGACTTGCAGTGTCTCCTCGAATTTCACCACCTCTGCCCGAAGATGCACACACTGTACCTACTCAATTGGCCTCACATAATTTGGGATCATGATCAGGTCCTTTTGTGCGTTTGTTCCGGACAACGCATTTTATCGGAAAATAAGCGGCAAGGGTTTTTTACGTCCAGCAATTGTCCGACCGACGCAGCCCTTCCATCTCAGGTGTCTTCTTTACTCTTTATTAGCCTTACAGTCGTGACGCTTGCGATCATATTTGCTACAGAGGTAACATACATTGATTGGTAGTTCACTTCATTTACTTTCTTGTGATCTGCTTTCAAAACTTGTTGAGTTCCACTCTTGATCTGCACCTTTGCGTTGTCTTCAGTGCAACTTCATGGTGCTTCTTCTTCATCATTAGGTGGTGCTTTCGTCTAAGCAATGCCTTGACCATTTATTTGAGGCATATTCTTAATTACCTTAACTATTGGACCTTAAATTACCCCTGTTCATCAGGCTACTCAGCAATATCACCACATCCTCATCCGGTGAGCTTTCTAGCCGATAGTTGCAAGGTCATATACGTAATCTTTTTATATATTAAGGCTTAACAGAGACAAAGCAAAAGTGTAAATGTAATCTGTAGCTATAGCTATTTTGCAAAGTCTTGGCAATTTTTAGTTGGTCCCAGCAATCTCTCGTTGATACTGACAGTTTTACTCTGTGCTGAAACTTTTGAGAGTGACTGTGTCAATCTTGAGATCGAGGCGGTTCACTTGGCTCCTGTCGCTACAGTTGTACCGTCCAGAGAGTCGTTGGTCGAAACAACAGTGCAGCCGCGTTTTAAGTATTACACAGCATCGCTATGATTCGCCATGCGGTGTGACTTGGGACCAAATAAAATTGTGCTCACTGGCTTTTAACGATAGTGGCAGTGCTTGCTAACAGGTTCTTTGTAACTGAGGCATTGTATTCATCGGCAAAGACTCAAGACCCTCACGACAAACAAGGCAAAACTAGCCACACTGAAACACTTTCGAACCAACATTATTTGCGAGCCCGCTAATGCCCCTTGGCGTCGTTTCGTACTGGACTGGCAAAAAAGCACTATGTTTAAGAATTCTTGCAGTACGTGCCAGCTACCAGTTTGTCATCGAAAACAATTAGGCTCTTCAGCGACTGAAACTATGTGATCAAGCATTAGTTGGAACGGTTTTGTCAAGACAAAGGTTGCTAGAATGACAAGCGAGTACAGCACTTCCAAAAATAGAATGTTAAACTCCCAAGAAAAATCGCAAGCCAAGACGAGCAGTCACGGAGCCTTCTACAAGATCCAGAAGATTAATGACAATACGCGCATGGCATATGTACTCTCAGTACCATATGCCGAACGCGCGGCTTCGTCGGAGTTGATGGCTGAAAGACAAATATTCGAGGCATGTCATATACTACAAGTCTTGGGAGATACTCGTCCTTGTTTGCTTTGCATGGTGCAAAGCTAGCATTATGCACATTAATTCTGCCCTGCAGATATACATTAGAAAATTCAGCAAACTGTATGAGTGGTTATACTCCGCAGTTTTTGGATGTCGTGTTGCAGATGAATCTTCATTGCTTACAACATGGTTTTGTGTAAGTCATATACGTAGCGCTCATTTACATAATCCACGAAGATAAATTTGGATGTGCCTAAATATCGAAGATACTCAAATATGTGGATCGTTATAAGTGATGCGCTACGATCCTACTAAACTGTTGTTCTTGATACTTATCATGTGTCAAAACTTCATCGAAGTCCTCTTGTTATCGTGCTCTTGTAGAGGTGTAAACGCCACTCCTTTATATTGATATCATAACATGTCGTCAATTTCTTTTACTGAATAGTTGAATCAAGTCATCATCCATCACATCTTTCTTTAACGGTCGTTACTTCTGTCCGTCTGTGTGTCGGAACGGTCAGTTTCTGTTCAATTACCGCCGCATCACGATTGAAGTCTCCAATAATCGATTTGTTTTTTCTATGAGCTCCAACGGCAACTGATCACCCGGTTGTTATTTGAATCGCACAATTACTACGAAAGAGTAAGTTGTGACAAGCAATTAGATAATCTAACAAACTGCATCATAATTCAATTGACCTAGTGACTAGCAAGAATACTAAGCTGAGTTTAAGTAAGAGACGATGGAATGTGATACACCGTCGTTCGACTCTACCAGTGAGTACATTCAGATTAATTCAACCCCAACTATAGTACCGGATGTTCACACTCCTGTTCGACCTCGTTGGGTACTGTACGCCAACGTTTTGGTGTCACTACTGCAACCGTTACAATATGGTTGGTCCACTTCACAACTTAACCTCACAACATTCAACCATGAAAAAGAGTGTAGTGCCACACCTGTTGCACCAGGTACTTGCCTCATGTTCCCGGGTCACACAAAAGCTCAGTGGACAACTGCCGTCGGTGCCTGGATTGTTGGTGGTATGATGGGCGCGCTCGTCTGGGGACATCTCGCCACCAAGTTTGGACGCAAACGCATCATGATGTCGAACTGCCTCTTCATGATCGTTGGTGCCGTGGTGCAAGCCACCGCCTCTAGTATGTGGATGTTTACGGGCGGACGGGTCATCTCCGGCATTGCGTCGGGTGGAGCTACTGCTGTTATACCTAGCTTCATTGGCGAGATTTCACCGCCACAGCTTCGCAACAAGCTGGGTGTAGGCTTCCAGATCGCCATTACGTTTGGTAACTTGATGGTGGCCATCACTTTTTTCTTCGCTGACACAAGCACTGGATGGCGCTACATTGCGGGGTTCCCTGTCGTAATGGCACTGTTGTTCCTAGTGTTTTCGTGTTTTGTGCTCGTTGAAAGCCCTGCATGGTTGATAGTGGTGGGGGAGGAGCAAGTTGCAGAGCAAGAGCTTGCACGGCTCTATGGTGAAGAAAATGTATCCCTCGCAAAGTCTTGGATCAAGCAAGACGATCCGGCTTTGCGGATCATCTCTGGAGCTGAATTCTCCATGTTTCAAATTAGTGGCATCTTGTCGGACGTAGCTTCGGACCCGCGCAGCATTGTGAAGTTGTTCTCGCCTATAACTGTTCGACAACTGCTGATAGCGATTGGCGTGGCTGCGGCTCAGCAACTCACGGGCATCAATGCCGTCTTCTTCTACTCGTCAACTTTATTTGAGCAAGCTGGAATTGCAGACGTCCGTATCGGTATTGTGGCCGTGAACTTTGTTAATGTGCTGCCAACCATATTTTGCGGAGTATTGGCAGCTCGTATTGGCAATCGGAAGCTCATCTTGCTTGGATTAACGGGTATGTTTTTCAGCGCGGTCGGTATCACTGTGTCGAACGTTGCTAGCTTTCCCGGACTATCTATCGTCTTCACTGCGTGCTACGTCGCCGCTTTTGGCTCGAGTCTTGGATCACTGGCATGGGTGGTGATGGCAGACCTCTTCCCGGACGATGTTCGAGCGATGGGTACCTCAGTCTGTGTTGGTTGTAGTTGGTGCTTCAATCTTGCGGTGGGTTTGTGCTATCCATACATCGCTGCTGCATTGGTCAACTTCAGTTTTACGCCTTTCATGTGCACGGTCGCGTTGTCTATTCTTTTTGTGTACAAGTTCGTACCGGATACGTCGGGCAAGACGACGAAGGAGATTCAAGACGAGTTCAACGCAAGGCGGTCATTGAAGAAGCGACAGATGTACACAAGTGCAAATAATAGGGTGTAAAGCTGTCCACGTGGTGACACACAGGAACAGCTGATGTGCTTAAGCTACGCTATTGCATTAGTGAAAGTGATAGCTGAGTGTAGTATCTGTTACATATGTCAATGACTAGAGGTTTTTAGACCCTTTCAGCGATTAAATTCCTGTTCTCTCGTACGTTCCAGCCGCTTTTTGAGTCAATTGATCGCCCTCAGTCTTTCTCTCCTGTTTTCACGCGTGTCAAAGCCTGCTCGTCCTTACTGCATGCCTTTAATAATCAGTTCCAGTTCTACCCCTCTCGTTGTTGACAGTTTCACCTGCTGCGATTTCATTTTTGCTACGAACTTGAAGATAGAAGCGGCAGGTGTGTCTATGCGCTACGTTTTTTAATCACAAGGATATTGCATGTGTGCATCAACGAGGCGGGCACGTCAGAAGCCTTCCACCAAAACAGATGTCCGGGCTAAAATATACTTATAAGCAGAAGATCAGAAAATCCTATGTAGTATTGGTATCAACAATCCTTTTTTGATAGGAAAGTAAAGTAGCGAATATGTAAATAAGAAGATTAGACAAAATACATCACATTGGCATTTGACAACACAAATTTATAGTCCATCTCCATACACGCTTACATTGCAAACAACATTTGGACGCTGCAACAATGCTTCACTCATCTGCCGTGTACAATAAGTGCTTAGGTCAGACCATGTTATACTCATGACTGGGATGCCACGTGCGCTGCAAGCTTGAAAACGCCTTTATCGAGAAAAATAAGCTTATAATCGTCTTTGACTGTTACACACTCCATATAAGAAGTAATTGTTGGAACTCGTTTGATGTTGAAGTGTAAGCATATGGTACCGCCTTTTCTACCTCTCGAAAAGGATGACTATGCAAGTAATTGGGTTTGGATTTTTTTGAATATATAATCTTAGTAAAACGGTTAGCCCGTTGCATAAAACATTGTGTCACGTTAATATTATCTAGAAATAATTTTCGACAATAAAGGATAAACGCGTGCAATGAATGGTGAGTTGATAGTTAGTGTAAGGTTTGTATGATTACGATTGAAAGACGTAAACTGTATTGAGTAGACAATTCTCCTTTGACATTTGCTGAGCAAGTGTCTTGTTAATAATGCTTCCTCTGCATTCAGTGTACGTAAGGCCACGCGGCACCTGTTTACACTGTTACCCGTGTAGACTGACTACACTATTATCAGCTTAGTCGGAGGGTGCCCGTTTCAGCTTTTTTATACTATCTTTTTCTTACTAGCGACGGTTCAAGGGCTATGTCTGCGTCAATTTTTTTTCCATTAACAGTGATGAGTGGATATACAAGAAGCACTTAGGCATTTAACCAAGCTAAATTCAGGCTTTCACCTCGAATTCTGGGCGTAAACAACTCGACCTCGTGAATGGTACAAAGGGTTTCTTCTTTAAGGTGATACACAAAGGTGTACTATACGCACCTGCTACACCATTTTCGTTGGCTGTACTTTGAATACATTAGTGGTCTGATATGACTGTACCCAAGGTACATTGGTTCACATCGTAGGTCATAGTGCATGGTTAAGTACTATGGATACATGTGTCTATATAGTAAGAAGGCTACAAGAAACATTTAAACAGTGACTAGCTGCTAGAAGACATTGTTTCTGACAGGTCATGGAAGCTCGGAGTGAGCAGGTAAAGGGCAACCTCACCTGAGTGGCTAACATGTTAACAGGTAAGGCCAAGACATACGGAAGTCATAGGGGGCCAGGTAAACATGGTGATGGGCACGCTGGAGGAGTGCCAGGTGTACCTTGACTAGGTCAAGTTTCAGTGCATCAAACTGCATATGGTAGGGTTAACAACAAAGGGTAGTTCATACTCAATATATTTGACTTTTCTTCCTACCTCTACTGCACAAGTGCATCTACGCCTAACACTAGCATTAAGTAGAGCAAGTGCTACTATATCAGTGCTAGATGATAATAATTTTTAATAAATTAGTTTTAAACCTGCTCTGTACAGGATTCGTTGCTAGAGCGTAGTTCTTGTAGAAGAGGAGGTTATATCTCAGATACTGCTCTCATAAAGACGTGATTGTTACAAGGGTTCTTAACCCTGAGAAGTAAAGCTGATAAAGCTTGTATTCCTCTATAATTGGTTCGTAGTAGCTTTGCTACGTTACTTCTGCTATACCTGGTAGCACTTGTAGTCAAATCCGCACCTCATACGACATTGCCAGCAGAGTCCACAAGTGGTAATGGACTATCACGACAATATGACTCGCGTTCTGGTTGCCCAGGACGACATGGATGCAGTGATAAAGCGGGAAATCGTTGATCCACACGAAGATGAGGTGGCTTCGGAACGTGGTTCTCGAGCTGCAAAGTCTGCAGATGATATACGCCGATTGAATCGATAATAACTCGAGCGGATGAGGATGCTGGAACTTCAACACCTGAGACAAGCACAGACGAGAACATGGCCTCACGAAATGTCGGTGGGCGTCGGGCTTGTCGTGAGGGGCGCTCGAATTATGCGACGTCGACCCAACGTAACGAGCACTCTCGGTAATCGTAGCGAAATTGTAGCTTTTCAGTCCAGGAGGTATTGGAAATACCATGCTCCTACCAAGTTGCTCCGACAGGCTAGTATCTCAGGACGTGTCAACAATGATTGTGCAAACTTGGTGTTCGATACTGGCGCCGAAATATCCATCCTGGATATCGCCTTTTTTGTAAGTTAGGCTGCCAAATTGACGAAAGTGAACGAGGAGAATGCATTGGCATTGAGAATGCATTCTCCTCGTTCACTTTCGTCAATTACGGGCAATCCGTATGTACCACGGAAGCACGCACTCGCATCAAGGTCACCTTGATTGGAAACTTGGTGTCTATCTTTAAGGTGTTGGTAGGCCCGATGAAGGGCCAGCTTAATATTTGGCTAGATTTCACGGTCTCAGCCGGTATTCGACTAGACCTAGCGAACGAAACCCTCTGTCTACCCGATGAAGCTCAAGTTAAGTTATTAGGTCGGAGGACTCTTCACGATAAAAGGGTATCAGATGTGAAGTTGGGTCGATATGTGCAGATACCGGTTGTAGTGTACGTGGAAGTACCTCTGAAAAGGTCGGCCCCGGACAGTGAAAATGCGGATCAAAAGAGGAGAACGGTGGGTCACGACTATATACCAAGGGGTAGGACGTCGACAATTTCTTAAAGCGACCAACGTTAGTGGCTACTCCCTAATATTGCACGACGATCCCGAGATACGTATCTGGTTGGTGAAGGACCAAGTATTAAGCGCGCAGAACTTGGTCCGGCGGGGTCTCGAAGATACGCTGAGTGGCTGACTCTGGCGTAAGAAAGCTACCACCGACCAGGTTGATCATCAGGAGTGGACCCGACGGAGAAGGATGAAGGGCCGCTGGTGCGAAATCGCAAGCGGTTAATCAAGCGTGACGTTCGAAAGTGGAGAACTTTTGGCCAAAGATGTAAACTAAGAGTGGGCGATCGTACTGGAGGTGGGCATTTCACCTAAACGTATTGAGTTGAAAGACATATAGATTCCTGACCCGGATGGTAGTACTAGAAAGTTTGCGACAGATTAATATCGAATATTAGACATCTGCTGATTGAGAAAGGAAACCGTTTACCACCGCCTCTTGAAGGGATTCATGTAACATTAATGAGGCGGGTTGCAAGGCCAACTGCGCAGCGCTTACGGAAAGAGGCCCCTAAAGTCAATGAGAAGCTAGTCGATCTGACCAAGGAAAAGCTATCCGCGAAAATCATCCGACCTTCTACTTCTCCATGGGCTAGCCCAATCGTGATTATTGTGTAAAAGAATGGGGCGGGCATCAGATTGTGTATCGACTATCGGTTGGTGAGTGAGTTGAATTAACTCATAGCCTACCCTATGCCTCTGATTGACGAATCATCGGAGGATCTGGATGGGACGTTGTGGTATTGTTTCTTGACATGCGAGTGGTTTTGGATCGTCGGTATGACCAAAAGAGCGAGTCGCATATCTGCTTTTGTCGTTTGGATGCCATTTGGGCTCAAGGATACGCCTTAGATATAACAGCGACTGTTGTAAAACGCATTTGAATGGGATTTTGCATGCCTCAAAGAGCCAATACAGATGAAACCAAAAGTTTGATTGCGATGGGAGAACCGCATGTAAAGTCGGGTCCCTCGTTACTGGGTCGACGGTCATGCATAGACGACATTACCCGCCTAATCGTGGGATATGTTGTGCAGAAAGATGGAGCTACTGTTATATGTGTGTGACCATTGGAATTTGTTAATCAGCGCAGTTAACAGCTTGTGAGGTTACGTAAAGTAGACTACCTCGTTTACAGGGTATCGGAAGAAGGCCCATAGACCCACTCAAAGGTCTTTTGATCTTTGGTAGACTTGCCACTACCGACGACACTAAAGGCTATGCAACCATTTCTGGATGACTGAACTACTGTAGTAGGTCGTTGAAGACTACGCTGTGTACGCGTCGATCCTTTACGATTTATAATCGGTGGAATTTCTGAAATGGCGGTGCAAGTTGAATATTTGCGACAGTACTTTTACCAAGGAGAAAGCCAAAGAAAAATGGTCCCGAGTTCAAGTGGCTTCGCCATGCTCAAGAATAAGATTGCTACAAAACCCATTCTACGATACTTCGACTGTCAAAAGAAGCAGTGATTATCGCGTATGCGCGTGGATGGGCTATATCCGCGTCATTAGTACGAGATACGGAAGGCTTTTTTTCTTCCGGTGACTTGCACGAGCCGGACCCTGAAAGGCAAACGAATTGAGCTACACTACTGTGAAAAAGAACTTTGGCGTGATTGCGGATATTGGAAGCTTGTATTTGCGATGTTGGTCACTCAACCCCTCAAAGTTCTGACATTGACGTGGTTGGTTAGGCCTAACAGGCTTACAGGGACACCTGAGATACTGGGTCTACCTCTTGTCCCAGTGGAATATAGAGGTTGTGAAGTGCAAGAAAGACGACAACAAGTACTTGGAACTCTGGCGGCCAGTGTTACCCATCACAAAAGTGTAGAATTTTGTCGTCAATTGCTCCCAAGAAACAGTCACGACAAGTTTCCGACCTACCTACGGCCACAGCAGAGCCCGACGAAGACTTATATGTTACAAGTTTTGATGGGTCGACGCGTGTGAAACAGGGGGGGGACTTGTAGCGCTATTGAAAATGTAGTTTTTCCACATGAACAATCGTCAGGGCTGCCTCAAAGTAACTCGTTGCACTTGCAGTGCAAGAGGCCCAAAATGAGCCTGGGACGACGTAGATTGATCATCAGTGAGGACTTGAGCTTAGTGGTACGACATATGCATGGGGCGATCGAGCAAAGAAGCTTCAGGATTATCATCTGTCGTTTGGTTGGCGGAAGCTGAAGCATCAGATTAGAATCGCAATTTAGACGCCGCGTCAACTCATCAAAAATGATGTTGGTCGATCTGGGCTTGTAATGCACAATAAAGATGTTGGGTTTGTCTGAGTAGCACCCCTCCAGCCGACCCGCTATCGGAAGCGTTTACCCAACTCAAGTGGTTCGGGACCAGGCGGTTAACACCCCTGAAATATTTAGGAAAAGTCCACGGTCGAACAGCTCACCTGAAGAATTTAATTATAAGTCCACCCTCGACTTAGTCGACCATGTGGCCACCTTCAAGCCAACCGAGTGAACCATATCCTCTCGAGTCACCACAAGGTCGACCTCGTTCAAGGCAACATCTACATCTTCACCACGTCTTCTGAAGAGTGCAACTCACCAGCCGACGTGTACAAAAGGTGAGAGAAGGTCGATACGCGGCATCGAATACCCCCTCCACGTCCCCAGACCCTTTAATAGCTTCTCTGCCGCAGCGGTCGTGCTCGTCGCAAGTAGACGTACACAGTAACGACAATAAGCTCCTCGTCGTCACGCCGAAAGTATCAGCAAATGTAGGTAGCACACCGAACGAACCCAGCGTCTGTAAGCCCTGCATGGATCAGCTGGCTCCAGAGGCGTCCCGCTTGCTTCAAGCCATGCAGGCTCTTGCAAAGCTTTGAGACGAACTCATCCGAGTTCGCAGCGCCGAGCTCGCGCAGTGTGTCGTCGGACACGTCCATCCTGCGCAGCACTCGCAAGCAAATCACGAGGTGGGCTTCCGTGTCCACCTTAACGTCCGCGTTTGGGGTGTCGCCATGTTTGGCTGGCACACGTCAAGTGCCGCGAGCGCTAGCACCACCTTGACAGTGCTGATGCTCATCACCTCTACGAGCGTAAGACTAGTCCACGCAAGCACTTGCTCGTTGTCACACGCAATGATCCACGCTTTGTGGTTTTCCAGCTGGCTGTCGGCTCCCGTCTTGGTCTTAAAGACCCATATTGAATGCAGCGGGTCAATCTCACGCTTCTCTTCGTCACCCTCCAGACGCCGTTGTCCTGGACTGCGCTAATCTCCTTGCACATTGCGACCTTCCACTCCAAAAGCGCTTCAAACTGCGCATTGCTTCTGCATGGTTGGTCGGGTCCTTCTCGTACGCGAGGTTGACGACGTCGGGTATCGCCGTCGGCTTCTCCAGCTGCGCCGCTCCTCCTGAGCGCTTGGCAGCACCACGTGTCGCTTGCGGCTGCCGTTGCCACTGTTGCTTCTTTGCCTTTGCCGCTCGGTCCTCTGCTGCTTTCGGCGCTAGACTGCATCGCTTCCGTTGCTTCTTGGACTACTTTAGGCAAAGTTCGTCTCACCCACGGCGTCTCTGCGCACGACAGGGTCACTGATTCCACGCAGCAGTCGTTCATTTTGTTCTGCTGCCAGCGTCGCTATGTTCTTTACGTGCTGCGTCTTGATGACGATGTTGCTCTTTAGGAGGTGCGCTCGCTACCCCTTCGTCTCATCATTGTGGCCGATGAACTGCCCTTCTTCCAATAGTGGCGCCAGCAAGTTCTTGCCAGGGTCCCGTCGTACGTCGCACGTCGACCCAAATACAACGACGTCACGCAGAATTCGTCAGCACTTCGTACAAAAATGCGCGTCGATCGTTCGCGCTCTTAGTGCTGCGGTTCAAAATTTGCGTCGCATAGTCAACAACGTCACCACAGAAGAAGAGCGTCATGTTGCACGCGTAGATCTTCGCCCTCTTCATGTTCATCACAGTCCTGTTCATTCTTTCGGCCTTGTCGTTGCTTGCCGGATTGCGCGACTCGCTGATCTGGTGTGCGACACCGGTCTTCTGGCAGAAGAGGCCGACGTTTCTATACTCACCTCCTCCATCGGTACGCAAGACCAGAATCTTGCATCCGAAGCGTCGTTCAAAAACGCCAAAATTTGCTCGAATTTCTTGGCTGCTTGGTTCTTGCTCTTGGCCAAGAACAGACGACAGTAGTTGCTTTTGTAGTCAGCAAAGTTGACCAAGTAACGGCTTCCCACGCGGTCCTTCGACATCAGAGAACCTTTTAGGTCCGAGAAAATCACTCTTTCAATGCGCTCAAATGGCGAGTTCGCGCCGCTGTCCTGCTAGCTCTGCGAATTCTTCGTCTTTTTGCTCTGCATGTACGTCACGCATGTGAGGCGACGACGGTTGGTGAGCTTGATGCCAGAGACCGAAATGCGCACGATGTGCTTTATCGTGTCGTACTATATATTCCCGAGACGTTGGTGGGAGTGGAGTAGCGATCCCACTTGCACGTCTCTCGCCGGGTCTATCGCAACGTCGTCAGCCGTGATACCCGCATGATCATGTCGGCTGCTCCGAGCCAAGACCGCGGTAGAGCTTAGTTCCATTAAGCTTTCGCAACTATCAGCTTCCGCTGCCGCGCGGCCGTCGTCCCGACGTGCATCTGCTGATACCCATACCTCGGTGGCTTTGCTGCGGCGTACGCCCCAGCGGCGTATTCCTCGGCCGTTGCTGGCATCTGCGCTGACACAGCAGCTGGTGCGCGTGCACGCATTTGCTGCGGCTGCGGTGGCAATGCCGGTAATTGAGGGCCGAGCGAGTGGAACGGCAACTTCTCCTGACTTGGCGTCGGAGCGCGCACGATCGGCGCTCTGGCTGGCGGCTCCCGTTCAGGCTGCTCGAGCGCATCAAATTTGCATCGTTGCCGCACCGAGGTACATGCCAAACGCCGATGCGAACAAGCCACTTTCGATGGCTCCACGCATCCGCTAGTCTTCATCGAGCTTGATCTGGCTCGCGTCCATCCACGACGAGACCGCATCGAGCATCGCGATAATCTTGTCCTCATTCGCCAAGCCCCTTTCGTGGGCCGACGCAACCTCAACGACCGCTGCAGCACACGGCGAACGCGCTGGAGATGCTTCACGTCCCGGTGAGGCTCTCGCTTGCCTGCTAAAGCCGGTACTGCTATGGCGTCTTGATCCAGCCATTGGGCTCATAACCTGTAACAAAGGATTGACGTTAGGTGTACTAGGTGAAATAGATTCTGTGTTCATCTCTTACTTTTGTCGCTCTTGCTGTGCTAGCTAGCTGCGATCTCTCTGCACCAAACACTTTCTATCATCGCCCTCGACTCTTTAAACACCTTTTCGCTGCCTCCTATGCGTCGCCTAGCGCTACCGAAAAGACGCGTCCTTTCGCGTCGTCAGAAAATGCTATACGACTAGACATGCAATTTCTAACAACAAGTACAGACTTGTAAACGATGCCTCGTGCTTGAAACAAGTAAGGTTTCTAATGTACCCAACGCATATTATCGTAAACTTGATATAAACAACTGCTAAAAAAATGTTCTTGAGCTTAACTCCTACGTAACGAAAGTGATATAGGGCATTCATAAGGCTGTACTGACGGTACTAAGGTTGAATGCTTCTCTATTACGATCTCGCAAAGCAGCGTCAGTGGCAGTCTCAACATTCCGCTACCCACCCATTCGTACAAAAGATGACAGCAGTTCAGTGTGGAACGATACGAACGAAGTAAGTATCTCGATGTCAATAAAGCAACAATCTTCAGCATTATTATTATTTGCTCCAAACAAGCACTAGCTTGCTCAGAAAACTTGATGAACACCCATACTGTACTATACAGAATTTGTTTGTCTCTTGTGTTCAGCTCATCCCTGGACCAACGATCCAGTCAACAACCTCCCTGCGGAGCGTTTATGACGCCTTCCATGAAGAAAATTTCTTGTCCACCACACGTGACAAACATTTTGTCAGATGCAAGTCCGCGTCGACGGATAGGTACATAGCCATGCATTGCAGCATAACGTCTACTGTCACCGTGATGGCGTGGTGGTGACGGAGATGACAAGGACGACGAGCATGTGGATGAAGGTGACGACACGTAACTAAATTTTGCAGCAGTTGCCGTTTGACGAGAAGAATTGCGGGCCTGTAATTCAAGACGCTGACGCTGTGCCGTCAATTGCTTGAGATCCTAGTGCACAAGAATAGTAGCAGTTAGCACTTTAGAGGCTTTGCAACAAGTTATTGATACATGGTTGAGTAAAACTGATTACTAACCTGCACGGACATGCCACTTCGAATTTCACAGCTTTTCTTCTTGCTGCTACTAGGGACTGAACGTGTTCGTTTGGTAAGGACCATTACAATATGTGGAATAAATAGATATACACTACTCTCTACTCTGAAAGTTAAACGTCTTGTGGCTAAATCTTTAGTGTGCTTTGAACAGTTGCAAATCATTATGAATGACTTTTGAGGGGGTTCCGTCGTACCACGTCTCACTGAAAACGAGTCGAAAGGAGATGAGAGGCATAGTGAGACCAAGTGAATGAAATGGATAACCAACCACCAATTGCAATCTTGTCAATAGAGCAGCTTTTCTACCAATCGAAACGTCTCGTATGTACGCATTCCCCAGTTCCATGACGAGTGAACCATCTGGTAATCAGACTCAGTCTCCGTCTATCGGTCGGACGCCATCACTCGTAACTTGGAAATTGCACGTCTTTGACGGAAGATGCGGCGAGAACATCACCTCAAGTTGACGTTGAGTTGATGCAATGTTCCTAAAGATCATGAGGCTAAAAAAGATGACGAAGATTGAAATGTATCACTCGCATAGCTGCCAATGATCTTTGAAAGAACACACACGTACCGCTGGTTGATGCAGTGGGACCACGAGAGCCCTAATGCCGGACATAGGCCGTTCCCATTTGCTGCCGAGCGAGGGTCAAAGTCACCCGTTACTTGATTGGTCACCACAAACACGACACCGTACTCGTCGCTCAGAATGCGCATGCAGTTAGTCATGTGAAACATGGTGCGTGAGCGTTCCGCTGCGTCCTGTCAAGAAAAGTGCATTAATTAACATAGTCGAGTGAAGAAAGAAACGACTGCAAGAACCTTGACGGAGGATGTGGACTCGAGACGAAAAACTGCTGCTACGGAGTCCAGTACCACGAGCTTGGTATTCTGTTCCGCCAGTAGCGCCGGCAGTCTTGTTTGCTATACACATCAACCAATTGCAGAGTCAGCCACGTACAACATGCAATACCGAGTCTACTCTTTGCAAAGCAGACCAATAGCATCATTAACTCGTCGACAGTGTAGAGCTGCTCAATAAAAATACCGTCGAGGAAGTCACTGCTCGACAACTTTGTCGTCATTGATTCACCGCGTTTGCGTTTAGTACCAATGCTCAGTACTGCTTCATATCTCTTTGCATACACCTGAGCAAGATCGTGCAGTCGCTTAACAGATCCCACACCTTCCGTACAAATGTAGCAAGCCGTGCCTTGCAATCCACCAAGAGATTGTGGCAAACAGCACTGCAGCAGTATTTGGAGACACAATTGCGTTTTTCCAGCCGAAGCTTCACCACATAATTCTGTTATCATACCAGAACGAAAACCTCCAGCTAACAGTACATCAATAGAGTTGCAGCCAGTGGGAAGCACGATGGATGTCGATGCACGAGCCTCCCATAACGACAACGCTGTTATTGCTGCCATAGAGCTGCTTAGTGACGTGTCACTGAAGCGATTTGCCGCAAGCTGACACGAGTCGGTATGTGTGTTAAGAGGCTAGGTATGTGATTAAGTAGGAAAACAATGGTTGGCGGATGAATGTGTTTTATTGTGGATCACCTCATTCTTAAAGTTGACTGTTAAGACGTAGAGTTTGATACTATTGACGTATGTATAGCAAGAAAGAAGGAATTGATGTTTATCCTGAGGGGCTGATGTTAATGATTGATAGCACACTAAAGTCCAGTACGCTGGCCTGATCCTTCCATTTACTGTAGTTTATACCTCGTTTCTACTTAGAAAACAGTTTTTATATGTTGTGTATTGCTCTCTCTATCGCATGCAGTTAAATCTGCCACAGTTGTTGCGTCCTCCTTCATGGCCAACCATACTGCTGTTGACTGCACATAACAAGCGGTTGTTCATGATAGGAACCCTTCGCAAACTACCACAGTGTTGCAAGGAGCCAATTACAGCCCACATACTAAAATTCTAATGCTTCATGTTGTATCTCTCGAGATAATATAGAAGTTTGCTTAGAGAACGTGTCTAGAGACACGAATATTTGTCTAGAGACAGAAATTTCCCTACCTCTGTATCTTGCGTTTTACGAGACGTAAGCACGATAGCCGCATCCTTTCATCTATTTGCTAACAAGCACAAGAGTTGAGAACAACACCTTTATAAATCTGCGTGATTACTCGTCATTGTAGTTGAGCATGATCACTTCTTGTATGGCACCGCAGTGGTTTGATGGCCGGCATTTTTCCGGTTCGTGCATTCAAACGTGACGACGGACGCGTGAGTCGTGATCCCTCATGTGCATTGGCTATCGTTGAGCAATTGTGAATATTACCATGTGTTTGTCGACGTGGTCTACAATGCTTGGGTACGTGATAGTGACGCGGAAAAAGATTTGCCCACTTTAGACGTGCGGCATGGCATAACGTGATCCCCCGAGACAACGTGGCCGCCACTTGAGAACACTTTGTTGTTTGTTGAAGAGGCTACGTAAGTTATTTGACTAGTCACTTTGCTCGCCTCAACTTCGTACAGACTCTAGTTGCAGTCAACTTGCATGCAGCCTTTCCACTCTTGACCACGTCAGCTTTGAACAAAGTAGAAAGCTTGTGGTGAATGCACCTTGAGGCCACACGTGCTACATGTAACGCAGCTCACTGGCCCCACAAACCTTGTGACAAAGCGATAGTCCATAACGACGGACCGAATTGCGTGCGTAGCTTGCTTGATCGCCATGCAGTTTTTCTAACGCAATGCCACGACAAGCTCTGCATGTCTTTCGTAGTTTCTACATGCTGTGAAAATGGGATCAGTAGAACTCTGGACTTGGACCCCCCGAAATGCCTCTGCACCGACTCAAATTATGTCCCTATTGTGGTACACTGCCGTAAGTGGTGCCCACCCAGCCGGTAGAAGAAGAACACGCGCCGACAACAGCAAGTTAAAACTTTTCTCGTGCAGCTGTTTCTGCGATCGATGTGCGCATCCGAGCCACGACGATTGGTGCCCTCCCTAATCTTCAGAAGTTACAATCGCACCTGTTTTTAACATGGACCGCCTGTCGATCAGCGTACCAATGTTTTTATTGCCTGCTTATGACCTGCAAAGGAATGGATTCTCTACATGCACATACACTGTGCTTGAATTAAAAAAGCTCTAGCGCTGACTACGAGGTAGACGACAATTTCTCAGTCATACGCTTCAGCACGTTATTGCACGATGTGATCACGCTTTTGTCTTGTATTTTGCACATTAGTTTGGGACACTTATGAAGAAGCAGAAGGTGGCGACAATGTTTCTTCGCCATGCACCAGCTGTTGAATCTAAGTTGAAAAGCAGTTCTTAACGATACGACCAACGCGATTGAGTTAACTGACTGACTGCATATAGCTTGAACTACGTGTTCTTTCCGCGCCGTCTTTTACTAAACACTTCGATAAACGAAAGAAAAAAACAGACACAAAATGTATCAAGATGTAGACCGATCGTTCGATACATGAACAATACGGCAAGATAAGAGTTCCATCGATCCACACTTTGGCGATGTTAAGGTCCATATTGTACCTTAAAGGACATGTCTGCCATCGCTATAGATCGATAGATGTATGTTTGTATCTATCCTTCTATTTATCTATCTCTCCCTTTTATGCCATATCTGCTTTTCCTATCTATGTGGTGGTTTCACTGATATAGCTTAAATGTCCAGATAGAGCTAGGGGGAGGGGTGAGTGGGTCGTGAAGACCTATTTATGCAATACAGCAGGTGTGTACCCCTCGTCAACCCTAATCAATTTTCAAGTAAAATGTATCGCCCCAACTTGTTTTTCACTCAGTTCAGCTTTTGCTCTCAACATAAAGCGCTTACATTTTTTGTCATTTTGACTTTATTCGGGTTTGAAAAGGCGCGTTAGAGTACATTATTTTCCGACCCTTCCGTCATTCCACCGTTTTCGAGCTTTATCTTTTGCTTTATTTGTGTGTTCCTCCCTTCCTACCTCCTCGTCTTCTTCCTCCTCGTTCCATATGCCGCACGTGGTTATGATGCCCGTATCATCATCATCATCATCGTCATCATCACTTTCGATTCAAGTACATTCCAATCAAAAGACGATTAACGTTCGTATGAAAGATCGATCGGGTACTGTCGCTATTGAGATTCGACCCACGTTATTATCTCCAAAAGACCTTATAATACGGTTTCATGAAGTAGCATTTGGTAAATCATTTGCTGCTTTTGCATCGAATTCCGGACTTTTTAGACGTCAAAATGATCATGAAATACTTGTAACAAGTCTCAAGGACTTGCAAGATGGACAAGTGTTGATCTATAAACCCTGTGAAGAGCTCCGTACACTTGTAGAGCAAGGATGTCTGACACCTGTGCTTGCAACTCATTTTCCTGTGGCTGTAAGTCCATCGAATTCTCCCATGGGAATTAAACGGAAAGGAAGAGCCAAGTCAGTCACTAGTAATGTTGAAAGAGTGCATCGCTATGCGTCAGATTTAGCCAAGATGGATGTATCCTCAAGAGAGAGAGAGTTAATTGAAGAAATGCTTATTGTAGGTGACGAACAAGTTGTAGATGCCATGGAACAGTTTCTTGTACACCAGAATCCTGAACTTGTGCGACGTGTGTTGCATGGTCCGGCTGCTAAGAGGAAAAATGCAGCTCTCGAGTGTCTTTCGATGAATTTCAAGTCCATGGACATGCACTCGCCTGTGGCCCCGACGTCTGCAGATGACTTTAGTGATCCTTTCTTGATGGGTGGACAGAATCTGTTTGTACGCGCCACACCTGCGTTGGAAGTGCAGCGACCTTTAATGATGAATGTAGAGAAGCATACGACGACGTCATCAACTGAGAAAACACGCCCATTGTTTATGTTTGACGGTGATGTGTTGTCCAATCCGTCTATTTTCCTACAGCCTATCAAGGAGAAGGCGACGCCGCCATCGGGACGGATGTCGCTGTCGCTTTCAAACGAGCTGGATCCGAGTATGAACACACAGACACCGACGCAGCTCTTTTCGATTGAAAAGCTGCTAGACAATGTACCTGTTGCACGGGATTTCCATGACAAGTATAACGTGGGCACCGTGCTGGGATCTGGCAAGTACTCCGTGGTTAAGCGATGTACGAACAAGTCAACGGGCGAGCAGTTTGCAGTGAAGATTATTGACAAGAGGCAGATGACCGAGATACGATTTCTCAAGCGAGAGCTGGAGATTATGTATGAACTGCGTCACGATGGTGTCGTACGCCTTCTAAAGCTGTTTGAGAACAACGACTGTGTGTTTTTGGTCATGGAGATGTGCGGCCAGGAACTTTTTGAGTTTATTGATCGGAATGGACCACTACCTGAGTCTACTACGCGTCCACTTATTCGTAAGCTCGTGCGTACAGTTGCATACTTGCACACTCATTGCATTGTGCATCGCGACATTAAGCCGGAAAACATTTTGTTGCCCCCCAATAGCCAAGACGTGAGCGATATTAAGCTTTCGGACTTCGGTATCGCACGGAAACTGGATGGCCACGGCCACGACAACGTTCTTACACCCCACGAAAGTTTGTCTGAGGTGGCAAACCTCCACGACGCACCAGGTGCAAGTGCTTCTGGTTTGCCGTGTGCAACCAACATGGTGCGCAACCGCATGGCCCGAGCTCACACTAAGTGTGGAACACGTGACTACATTGCGCCTGAAGTCATGAGTGGCAAGGGATACGGCACCGAGGCTGATCTTTGGAGTGTGGGCGTGGTGACTTATGTGCTCGTAAGTGGATGTGCGCCGGTTTTCTTACCAACGGCTGAAGGCGTGAAGAAAGTGTTTTTTTCGGATGAGGCGTGGAGTGGTGCATCCGACGACCTGAAGGGTTTTATTGAGGCTCTACTTGTTCGTAATCCGGAGAAGCGTATTACTGCGACCGATGCGTTAACCCATCCATGGTTGAAGTAATTGTACAGGCAAGATCTTCCAAATAAACTGTAAGCTGGCTTCTTTGTTGGGAAGAGACAAAGTTCCAGCAGCTAAACGAGTGTTCGCATAGCTTTTAATCAGAGAGCAGACCATATACTATGTATTAAAAAGCAGAGCAGCCAAATTGTAAACGTACTCTATGCATCCAAGCCGTTAGAGAAGTAGAAGAAGCTTGACAAGCTAGTACATGTAGCCAACTTTCCACACTTCTGTCTAATTTTTGACTCGCGTACTGCCGATCTCTCATGCCTTAAGTGATGAAACCTTCTCATTGCGTTCGATCTCCAGATCTTCGTCTCCTTCTATCTCTTCATTGTCTTCTACATATTCCTTAATGATTTCTGGCGTCGCCTGCACAAGCTCTACCATCGTGGGGTTGTCACACAAGTTGAAAAACTCAATGCTGCTACCATCGTCGCTGGGAGGGATTACCAAGACATCATGACCATCAGGACCTTTTACAATGCCTTCACTAGCATAAGGTACTTTCTGTTGCTTCAAATAGCTCTCCACTTCGTCCAATTTATCAATCCAGAGACTAATAAAGTTAGAAGAGCCAAAACGATTCCGTAGCACGCGATTTTTATTCTTCTCGTCCGTCTCGAGACGTGTTGGATATTCCCAGTCCAATACTTCTACATCTCGTACACCTATGATACGAAATGGTCGATCAGCAGTATCCTAAATCACAGCAATAACAATAATAATCATACCATATCAAATCATACAGTTAGAACACGAGCTCCTTCTCTCTCTCATATTCTTTTAGGATCGTACATCTTTCTCATGCTCGAAATGAATCGGACGTAGAACGGATTGCAATGGAGACACGCTTTTCTTTGCAAAATTACGTGTTGTTGTTTGTATAGGAAGAATGATGTTGCATGAAGGAAGAAGACTGATGGAACGAAGCATGATTCGAGATAAGGTGAATATGGAGCTGAGCCACTCGATGCATTTGTTTGTTTGTTACCACTAATTGCGAATTCAACCGTTAAGTGTGTGGTACACCTCAACAAGATAAGTCTTATTGTCTTATGGCAATTATTATTATTACTATCACGTAGTCAATAATTTACATACATTTATTGCCGCTAGTGTGATATTGCAATATCACGACTGGATTGAAAAACAAAGCCAATATTTCTACGTAAAACTACACATAAAACTGAGCATGGCGACAATGAAAGGAGCAGAGCTAAAGCAGTTTCAGACGACGTGTCAAGCACTTCGAGATGAGATTACGACCTTATATGAAGAACGCAATGTTCAACCAGTGGATGAAATGCTTTTGAAACAACGTCGTTGGCGTGTGCTTCTTCTACTAAGTGCGATGAAAGCAGGATTACGTGATACGTTTGTGGTCGCTGATGTGCGTCGGACACGTGTTCAGGAGAAGAAAAACGTGGCAGAGTCCCATCAATTACAATTACAAAATTTATTGTATGAAAAGGACCATTTATTGCGTGAAATTCGACGTTGTCAAGGATTTAGCACGAAAGAATTGGACAAAATCGAATTTGAGGATGGCCATCTCCCGATTCAAGTGGACCCTAAAAGTCATCGTGCCCATTTGGAGCAATTGACAAAAGAATTGGGGACTCGAAAAAGGTACAAAAAAAGTTTTATTTACTTTTTAGATCTTTTTTTGTGATTGACAAAAAAAAAGAGTGGATACAAAATGGACTAAAAAATATTGGGTCTTTTTTTAATCTGATTATAGTCTTCAATTGGAATTAAAGGAGCTTAAACTCAAGATTATCAAGGTAAAGAATGCGACAGAGACGAAACAGGCGTTTTTAGACGCTTTGCCCGATCATTTGACAAGTATTGAAGCTGCAACGACGGGATTGCAGACATATATGGGCGAACCAGTGTCAAGCCAGAGAAATCAACATCAAATTGCTGGTGTGGAACTAGCCTCACCACTGTACGCACTATATTGTGAGCTAGAGGCATATCAGACTGCGAGTGGCGATGCAGGCAAGCAGTTAAAGCTGGAAGTTGTTGATTCGATGGGCACAAAGCACACAGGTGTATTCCGCAAGCGTGGCTTCCCATTGGCACTTGATCGGCAGGACTATTCGACGGTTGGGATCAAAAAATTGAAAGCATCGTCCGGCTTGCCATCTGCAAGTGTTGGTGGAGCGACTACGTCACCACGTGCACCGTCTCGATCACCGTCAATGAAACGTGCAGTGGATGACGATCAAGAGCCAGAGAGTGGAGAGATTGTCGTAGCTGCGCATACTGCTGAGAAGCTGCTGGAACTGCATCCTCATGCGTCACCGTCAGAAGATGAAGAGACGAACGAAGAAACATTAGGACCTCAGCACTCTCATCAAGATCAGAATGAGTGCTTGGGTGGTACATCTTCGTCTGCACTGAACCTATGGAAACCTCATGCGAAGGCTTTGCAGCTGACACTATCCGTCCAGATTCCACTCGATGCCGACAAGAGCGGACATTCAGTCAAGAACGTCTCAGGCTCATTCACTGTGTTGTTCCAATACCTTCCTATGGCTAAGATTGTCACGGCCGAGGTTGTGAAAACCGTCCCTGCAAGCTACAACCAAGTCAACCAGCAGCGAAATATTTTGATGAATCTTTTTCCAGGCGACGATGGTCTGTCCGTGCCTCAATTGGCTGTAAACTACATTTTCCAAGACGAGAGTGAAGAGCGAGTTGAAGTGGAGTTTCCTGTGAATGCTACATGCCGACCTTACTACTGGGCACAGTGGGTCTGCGGCCTGAACCCGGTAAAGCGTCCAGATCCATCCCAAATGGACAACAATGCCGTCAAGGAGAAATTTTGTCGCCGGCCAGAGCCATCGGTACGTAATGTTATGGCCCAGCTTGTGAAGCGTTTCGTGGCTACAATGGTGCTCAAGAACCACTTAGATCTTCTGGCCAAGTCTACCAGTGCTTTGAATCCGTCATCAAACGACGACTCTGGCTTTGTACATCCGCTTGCGCGCCATTTGTTCTTACATGAAGTGAAGACACACCTCGAGGAGTGGAATGCAATTCCTGCGCCACCGCAAGACGTTTTTCAGTATCTCAAAGAGGATGCTGCTCTGTCGATGCGTCCACGCGCACAATTCCATTTATCCACGACAGGCTGTCAGTACTTTCGTGCTTGTTTCAAGAATGGTCAGACCAAAGTGTCTGCTATCGTTGAGATATCGCCGGAGTACCCTGTGCGCGCGCCACGCTTCCTTTTCCAGCCACGTTCGTCGACGAGTAGCAAAGCAATGGACAAGAGTCAGATCTCCGTGTACGACAACCACCTGAAGGTGAGTTAGTTTTCGAGCTCACTTTGAGTGAGGTAGTAAGTTAGATGAACCTCTTACACTATGTATTGTTTGTTTACAGGAAATTGAGGTCGAAGTGAATGCGTACTACGATGAATTGATCCCCAAGGGTAGCGAGCATTTTCTTCTTCTCCACCAGCTCCGTAAGATCGAGCAATGCTTCGACGTACTTTGCAGCAGTGCAGTTGATGGTGACGTCGATCTGTCGCTCTGTTTTGGTCGTAACCGTCGTGGTAAAGACCGTCGTCAAGCCATGGTCATGGACACCGTATCTAAGGGATTGCGTCACAGATAAACTGGACTAAGGCAGATGTCGACGTCTTGATACTGGCAAAGGAAGAAAGAGAACGAGGCAAGTTGATTGCATATAGCTTTGATCCGTTTTGTATTTGCTCTTATGTGTTGATACGTTAACTCCACTCGGATGTTCAAATACCAAGGCATCGTATGCAGCACACTTGAAGGCGATAAGGCTGTTGTGACCTGAGTGACATAAAATCAGATGCTAATGCCAACGACTTGAATCGGTTAGCTGTATAAACAGCTAATTTTCTCTTCTATGGCGTGTTCGAGGTGCATACGCGCTCCAACAATTGACAAGATGTGTGTGAATATATTGAACGATGTATCGATTGCGTCTTTTTGCTTCGTGTAACGACTGAGCCATTCAGTACATCGTTTTACATCATGACCTTACAGTCTCGCCACGGAGCTCTGACGTGTATCGTTGAAGAACTGCCATATTGTGTTTGCTAAGTCCGTATACAACTTGTGATGTCGTCCTGGAGATGGAAACTTGTGTCCTCCATCATGTTCTATCAGTAGTCTTTCCAGTGGACTGCCCTTTGGATGCATCATGTACATGTCTTTGAGCATCAAGGACATTTCATACATCGTATCCTTCTTCCCCACCAAATGAATGGACGGAAGTGGGACCAATATCTTCTCCCCTTCATGTGTTTCAAACAATTCTCGGACGTTAATCCCTCGTGGACACACACCACTTACACAGACCACAAGCTTCCACCAACATTTATTCTTCTTCAAATACCACATCGATAGAACCGTGAGCACAATTGCACCTTGTGAAAAGCCTACAGCAACATCAAATTCGCCCAATTCATTCAATTGTTCATCCATTTGCTCAATCGCCTGTTCAATGTTTTCAAACTCGAGGAACCAGTGCTTTGTAAGGCCTTTCAAAACTCCTTCTTGAGCTTCAATCGCTTCTTTCTCTTCTTCTTCTAGCTCTCGATCTGCCCACCATTCGTAAAAAGGTGCAGTATGACCAAACATTTGCTCCACAACTTCATCCGTTCGTCCACGTGCATCAAACGATCCGTTAAGAAAGACAAACTCAGCATTTGGTCCCAATGCGTCACGAAGTCCACGTGTTTGATTCTCCATAATTTGACGATTTGTACGAAATCCATGTAGACATAGAACACGTAATTTGATTGAAGAGGAGGAGAAGGAAGAAGAAGAAGAAGAAGAAGGACTAGAGGCTAATGAGGACGTCATTGTATGGAATGATTGATTAGTATAGTAGGACAAGGGCTAAAGTCTGAACTATAACATATGGAAGCGTGTCATTGACATGTTATTACCGGTATATAATTCCCTTCGTCTTATGTCTTTCGGTTTACCTTCCACTGTAACCGGTGTGAGTTTGGACATGTGACAGCTTGTCTATTGAGATAGTGACAGATTCTAAGTAGCTAGCTCTATATGAACCATTATCATAGGTTGTTTACACGTCATCATTATCTTAAGCTAACCATCCTGCATTGCATCGTTGTCCAGCATACATTGCAAGTCGCAATTGATCATTGCACGCAATCGACTGTTGATCATCGAGTAGTTTTTCCATACGTACGACGAGATGACACTAGCCAGTATAATGGTATCACATAATGTGGAAATGGTCCTTGGCATTGATTTTTGCCATCATCAACTTCTTGTATAGGACGTGTAGTAGCGTGGAAACACTTAAAGCATCTTTATAGGCGTCTTTAATCTGCTGACTGTTGAGTTTGCTGGTCCCTACTGTCCAGCACCACGTAAATCTTACCATCATTAGACTTGTCAGGTCTTTTTGCATGGGCTCATGATTGATTACGCATCCACTATGTTTATGCCATTGACCTGCTTATTGATTGCAAATGTTTGCAGCATTGTACCATGTTGCGTTATGAAGTAAACACGATGACCGATAAATATGTAGCCAAGTCATCGGGTATCCGTTACTTCATTGTGTGAAGTATTCCATGCGTTTTATGTAGCCATGTCGATATTATCTGTCATTTGTTCTACAACTGCTTGCTTTGTAACTGTATAAAAACGACAGTTGTAGAGAGTCAATTGAAAGACGACAAATGAAAAATCAGAAGCTTGTCTTTGAGGGATTATGTCTTTGCTCTACGGGTCTAGAAGTGAATGTAAAGGTGCTTATTCGATTAGCATCTATTACCTCTATGTCTTCTCTCTTGAATGCACTATTTTGTAAATTCTAACTCGTCTTTATCACTTCTTACGTCGTCATCTAAAAACTTTAACCAGGAACAAGTACGCAAAATGATTGTAGCTTGTGGTGGTCAGTTCCAGGACGATCTGGATCCACAGACTACTACACATCTCATTGCTACATCTGTGGGATCTTTAAAACACCGCGTACGGCTAAAAAATGACCTGACAATGGTCTTAAACCAACTGATTAAAGAAATGGATCATTGATGCTAATGTATCTATCTATATGCTCCTTTATATACTATAGGCAGCCGTAGCTCACGAGTTATTTGTAGTGCTACCTCGCTGGGTATTTGAATGCTTTCGCGCTCAGAAGCTGCTGGATGCCCAGGACTTTTGTCTCAAGCTGTTGGAAGGAATATGCTTGTGCACGTCCGGACTGACAGTTGAAGAGAAAGAGACAGTAGCACAATTAGCTACGACTCATGGAGCTCAATATGATGGTCGACTGGAACTGGGCTTTACCAGTGTGCTTATTGCACAGGTGAGAGCAAGTCTTGCTACGTGATATTCATGTGGCGACTTTCATACTGACACGCTTGCACCTTGTCGTTGTTGTTGTTGCTATTTTTTTGAGAAAAGCACCCAGAAGGAGCCAAATATGACGCAGCAGTTGCTAATGATATTCCAGTGGTTCATCTCGGATGGCTCTATGCGTGCTTGGAGAGGAAGATGTTGGTTGAAGAAGAGGAGTTTGTCTTGCGACCAGAAGCAGAGGATCCAAGTTTGCAACCCACCGATATCGCACTGAATCAACAAAAGGATGCTCAAGAACTTGTGGCAGCATTGCCTGAGTATGTGAAAAAATATCGTTGCGGACACAATGAAGATTGTGGAGATCGGGACGTGGTTGATGATGGAGACGATGATGAATGGATGGATTTATTTGACGGCTGCGTCTTATACCTGCTGGGGTTCCGACCTCAGATGTATTCACTACTTCAGCGATTGATACGGATTGGTCTGGGGACAATTTATCACAATATGGTTGTACACCAAGTGACTCATGTGGTAGTGAGCGCATCTCTATCCGATAAGCAGACACTGGAGGATATTCAGACTCGCGTAATTGCAGCCTCTGCCGAGAGACAGGTGAACTATGTATCGGCTAGTTGGCTGCTCGATTGTGTCAAGTGTTTGGATCTACAACCAGAGGAATTATATCCAGTTGAGTTTGATGTACGTGTCCCCGAGTCTGTGCATCAAATCAATACTAGTGCCGTCTCTGTCGTTGATAGTAGCAGTTCTCCACTTGCTGCCGAGCAACGACATGCTGAAGTGGAAAATGAAGCGAGCTCAGATTCGATCGAGTTGTCTCAAGATTTGCTGCAAAATGGGGACGGAAACAGCATCTTGACAACACCAGAAATGGTAAAAGCTACTTCCGAAGCTAAGAAGACTCGTATCTTTGCAGGTTACTCGTTCTTGCTACTGTGCCGTGATCCTGAAGACCAGCACCTGATTAAGCCCATGCTGAAGAACATTCGTGGAGAGAGAGGAGGCGCCGAGGCCATTGCAATTGCTGCCATTGATTTCCCACACTTAGATCCAGAACAGTTTTCGTTTGTGAGCCATGCAGTGATGTGTACTGGTGTGGTGATAAACGAGCATGAGTCACTAAAAATGCAAGAGCGTATTCATCATTTCCAGCGCAATCGTCGAAATGCTGATGAAAATGACACTGATGTTGGTGACAAACCATCAAAACGAGTGCGGCATGACAGAAAGCCACGGCAGCGAATGTTGCAATTTGTGTCGGATTTGTGGGTGAACTGCTCGCTAGCTGCCAGGACAAAGCTTTCGTTTTCTTCACACGAATTATTCGGAGTAAGTGCCAACCACCCGCGGGCTTTGTTCACTAACTCGGTACCTCTACCAGGTTTCCAAGATGTGGTGGTCTCTACTTCAGTATATCGTGGCGTTGAACAGCTTGTGGTGATTGAATTGCTACGGATTGCTGGTGCAACTGTCACGAGAACACTTAGCATGCAAAACACTCACCTGGTCTGCCTCATACCTTTTGGTATGAAATACGATACGGCTACAAAGAGGGGTATACATGTTGTGCGAGCGCGCTGGGTAGTAGACAGCTTGGTAGCAGGAAAGCGTCTCAGTGAAGACATTGCGGATTTTCAAGTTGTTGAGGGCAACCAATCCAACAGTTTTACGCACATTGCAAGCGAGAATACTACCCACCCGGTATGTTCTCCTCGTTCAGCGTCAACGTAAAATTGCAATGAACATGAAGAATGCAACGGAAGCTTTGTTGTAGTCGAGAGCTATATCACTAGATCAAGTTATGGACGTTTTTACAAGCTTCTACTCCGTTCATGGAATAACGGTAGGTGTGGATCAGTGTGACAAGGGCGTGTGCATCTCAAAAATCATCGCTCAGACGATGCAGTCGGAGACGCTCGTTTCTTGGTGTACAGGACAGCAGCAATTGTTGCGACTACAGCGATCGCTACTCAAGCAGCGTCAGTGGGTTGGCTGTTTGTCCTTCTTGTCGAGGTCGCAGCGCACGAGACATATGATTCGTCTGCACAAGGCGATCGAAGTCGTGAGAAAAAAAAATTCAGTTTTGATCAGCGTGTTGATACCGGGATATAGTGAACGCTGTCATGATATGAGGAACAAGATAGACTGTGAAGAAGTCGACCGAATTGAGATTGTCTCTGCTAGAGCATTGCAGGACCTGTCGTGCTTGAATGCGGCGCAATCGGCGTTGTAGATTCTCCTGTGCTTAGACACAATGTCACCAAGTCTGACGTGCTTGGCCACAGAACTGTTGCATAGGCGTCACTGGCTGTTAAATGAGGGGCACGGCGTTGTTGGCTTCAGTGGTCCGTTCTACGTGGGACATGACATAGTCAGAGACGATCAGTAAGCGCTGATAAAGTCTGAAGTTGCGTGGTCAGAGATGGAGGGGGGGCTTGCTCGCTTGCTGTCGGATACAGTGTGATTTAGATGGTATTGCAGGCTCCGCCGTGCTTCGACACGGCAATGTCGCCAAGGGTGTCGCAGGACTTGAAGTACTAGGACATGGCGTGACAGGCTCAATCGTCGTTTGAAGCGATGTCACAGATACATCGGTCTCCTGGTGTAACGGTGTCAGGTCAGATATAGCAGGTTCGATCGAGTCCGGGTGTGAGATCGTTGGACAAGGTGTGACTGCTTCATATGTGGTCGGCCATGGCGTCTTCTGCTCCGGCTTACTAGGGGTCGCAATGATTGGTGGCGCTGAGATGCTCGACATTGACGTCTCATTGCATCATCTATTGTCGGTTGCGGCGTTGTTATCGTCGCAGCATCTGTCGGTGTCTCCGTCGCCTTCTTCCCGCATCTATAGAGTTCCGTCGCTAGCGACGTGCTGACAAACCAGCTTTCATCATACTCTTTATTCCCGTTGAGTGAGTCACTGGTATCGATGCTCCTGACTTCGTCCGAGTCACTCATTGTCCATGTCGGACATTGCGTTTCTTGTTGTCTACAACCGATTGATGGTAGTACGCAACCCCACGTCGTTCCTGAAATGATACGACACTCGGCATCTTCCGGCAAGACGCAGCCTCGAGCTAGGACAAATGACGGCAAAGATGGATGACAATCAGCTACGGCCAGATCGCCTTTTAATGGACACGACACTCCTTGTGGTATATCACCATTTCCAGAACAGCTGGTGCTTTGACTTGATGCCAATGTGTACGTAGCATCGCGACAGACACTCATGTCAATTGCATTGATCCGGTGAATGTCGTAGACACTAGCGAATGATTGTATCCACAACAACAACACAAACTTCATTCTCGTGTGGTTCTTTGAGAATCAAGGGAAATTCAAGACTGAAGGGTGGGCTCATAGGGCTCAGATAAACAATGACGAGATATACAGATGCTCAGATCAGACGAAAGAGCAAGTCACGTATGCAAACGACTTTCAAGTGTCTTTTCCACAATCTTGTAACTTACAAATCATGAAAGGCCCTAATGGGTTAGCATTATTCTGACCAAAGTAGGTCATATATATACTACATACATACACTGTGGTAGAAAGAACTGAGTTTTACTATGGAATTCTGACAATCACTATCAATACCAACAGGTTTTGTAGTCAGTCAATCGAACGACGGACCCTCACGTTGATTGAATGTAACAGTCGTACCTTCCTCTCTAAAGGTCGTACTGATACTGTCCAGAAAGACGGACTGGATGTATATGAAGCTCTTCTTATGTATCCTTCAGTCGACAGTTGTTTCTATCAAATATGACCACTTGTTATGGAGAAAGAGATGATGGGGAGCTCCTAAAACTCAATAAACGGGACGTGCATTTGTCACGTCCTGATTCGCTGTACTTTATCAACTTGTCTTACATGAACTGCATGAACACTGTAGTCAGCATGACAAGAAAGAGCGAACTCATGTGTCGTGGTCAAACCCTATTGAAACCATTGAAGGATCGAAACGTCATCAAATGGAATGAATAGCTATCGACTCGAGCAATACTCGATAAATACGCAAGAAAAATTACAGTGCTGTGAGCGTGAATAGAAGGTATACATACATGTACATGCCTCTTTTTATATATATGATCGCTAGTAGCAAAGACGTGATTGAGCAGATATACTGATACAAACTCATGTTACTGATACTATTCACTCGCCTTAGCAGCGTTAAAGACTTATTTGGCCAGGAGATCAGCTTGTGTCCTGCTGTGTATTGATTGTCACAGAATAGGAACCAGTGGACTTAGCAAGCGTCTTACTGTCAATTTTGTACAGACATTTTCTCGTTTTGAATTTACAAATATCAAAGTTTACCACAAGATTGTGAATGGACGATCAATAATGGAAATAGCGCTTGGAAACATGCTTAAAAAAACAAATATTCACAATAACACCTACGAATCAACTGCAATTATGCATATAAACAATCCAAGATGATTTTTATCTTCATTTATCAACTTATAGCTATTTCTTTCTGTGTCACAAAATGACTCATAAACAATAGATACATTACTTAAATCATACTGGACAAAACACGATGAACAGCGGCAATTATCCCAGCTATCCGCCTCCTCAACCTGGTTATCCTCCTCAAGCAGGTTACTCTCTTCCCCCCTCAACAAGGTTATGGGCGTCCAACTCAGCCATATCCGCAAGGATACGCCGCGTATACGCCTCAATATCCGCCTCAATATCCGCCTCAATATCCGCCAGTGGGGTATCTTCCTGCCCCAGGGATGTACCCACCCCCCTCCTCAGCATGCACAAGCGTATTATGCAGCTCAAGGGCGGCAGCTGTTTGTACAGGCATTACTGACTTCAGGTGGAGGATATATGGTTCCTCCTCAGCCAGGATACGTTGTATACCCAGGTATGGCAACGTATGGTGGTGGTTACTACAAGTATAAGCTCAAGAAACACAAGCATAAAGGCTTTAAGTTTAAATAGGTACAGATGGTTCCAAAAAGCCATTTTTGCCTATAATTGAAAAAAGAAAGAAAGAATATAGCCATTATAATGTTTATTCTCAAGTAAGATGCAGCTTTGATAAAGTTATGAAAATCTCATAATTGCCAGTAGCACGTCATGCATTAAGATGGTTTCCTTTGTGAAAAGTAGTAGTAACAACTTTGTTGAAAATCACGAATCATGCAATTAATTATTATCATTTTCAATTTCTTGCTAATAATTTGTTACTATATCATCTATTAGAGGCAATCAATTATACCCCGTCAAACTGTCCATTACTCCAAATAATTGCAAAATACAGTCTCAATTGTTTCAAATCACGTTGATCATTCAAAGATTGTAGCTTTCAAATTTCTAAATAACGTCAGCGGACGAGTCTGTATCACGAGCTGAAAATCATGCGCCTGATCGCTGAGACTGAAAAATGTTTCATTATGAGTCGTAATACCATATACTTGTACACTCTCGTGGCTAGTAAGTAGCACATACACTCAACAATCCAGCTCATCTCCACACCATGGGCCTCTTCCGTCACTTGACAAAAGTAGACCCTTTGATCCGGCATTGCCGAGTTGATGGCGTACACATTTCCAAACGCCTGCTTGAATGCGAGCAAATAGGTGCTGACAATCCTTCAACACGACCGTCGACACGGACATGAACACGACCGGATTGAGCACAACTTTTCAACCAAGTAGCGTCTTGACACCTTCTGGAGCAAGTTCTTGTAGCTCTTCTCCACATTTCTGTCCTTACAGCCATCATGCTGCCTTCATCATCAATTGGTCTCCCACTCTCACCAATGACATCTCCTGCACCTCATTTAGCTCGTCACTCCCAGTGCATACAGCAAAGTAAAGTACAGTTGTCTTGCTCAACTTTGTACGATCGGATCCGCTGACCGCATCAGCCATAAATCATCACAATGACCATCACCAATTGCCCTCCGCAGGATGCACATTGAGCTTGTTAGAAGCGGCAGTATAGTGTCATTCACTGTTCGTCCCGTCACTTAAATCTGTTGAACCAAGGAGGCGTATGTGTCGTTCAAAACTTGCGCTAGCATTTGACGATGCTCTTGAGGCTTTCCTGTCACCTCCGCTGCTGCCCTCCGACCGCTATCTCTTCCCTTGCTGCTACCCGATCCACTTTGTTGCTGTCGCTGCAATTTGAGCAGGAAATGAACGAGCTCAGCGCTAAGATCGGCACTCTGTGAGCATGCTTCCACAATCCAAGGCAACACTTCGCTCAAAAAATTCACATATTCGGCATAGCTCTGGCCAGAGTTGCCAACGCCATTGCGCAGCTTATTCCACACCACACGAAGGGCCTGTTGCATCGCAACACTCTGTCGACTGCCCGAAAGATGCGCAGCACACAATGAGAGTACTACACGCAACCGAAAACGCCATTTTGCCAAATTCTTTTCAGCTCCGTCTGACACGAATTCCATCAGTGGCTTTGTTGCTGGAGTAGACGAGCGCGACGAAGAACCAGAAGAGGGAGAAGTTGCTGCCATCCAATAATCCCACAACAACTTCATAGCTGGTACATTGGCGACCAATGTCGAAACCAACGAAGCGTCATAGCCCTGTGTGTGAATAGCCAGTAGCAATTGCGGGGGAGACGATGTTTTACTATCTGCAACCAGCAGCTCATTCACGAGTGTGCATAACAACGTTCGGCTTTCTTCAGCTACTTCGTCGTCGGTCGACTCCGAGCTCAAAACAAAAAGTCGCTTTAGAAGACAATGGACCAATATGCAGTCCTGCAGGAGCTGATGCTGCTGTACGCTGGCTGTGGTAGATGTGGTACCAGACATTATTCCTTCGACTGGCACTAAGCTTGGGTCGCACTTGACCACGTAAGCATTAGCTGCGGCTCGTACGTCGCGAACAAGCCCAAGGAGAATTCGCAACAAAGCTGGTTGACAGAAGACACTATCGTGGGCATCTTCCACAAGGCGGAACGGCTCCTCTAGTACCTGCTTGTAAGTCAGCAGCTGGAATACCTCTCCTTCGTGCGTTTGTACCTGTTGATGACGCCAAAGCGCATCTGGAAAGCACAGCGAATGTACCAATCGCATCACTAAATGCATACACGACCCTTGTTCACGACGAGCACGTGTCTCGTAAAGTGCTGCAAGTTGTGAGCAGAATGCCGCTACTTGTCGACATGAAGCCGGTGACGCTTGCGACGACACAACTACGTACGGTAAGAAACCGTCTACTAGCATGAGCAGCTCGTTCATCACCACGTCAATTGGCGCCGACTGCAGCTCAATCATAAGCATGTGGACTGATGTCCATGACACACGATCCTGAGCAACGCGGATGCCCAGGACTTGGCCAATTTCTCGACGATGACGGAACCAGCTATTCCTAAGATCTTGCTCCGCAAGATCGTGAGGACTAGCCGCGAAGGGCAATAAAGGCAACGTTGAACACGGCAGCTCTAATGCCGTACCAGCGCCAAACAACTGCGGATGTTCCTCAACCATGAGCTTCATCAGCGTAGGAGCAACGTACTCAAAGACACCACCCTTATCTCCGTGCGCAAGGGCCTGGGTTGCAATGTTACGCAACGGGAACGCGCTCAGGTCATAACTAAGGCATAAATCAGCTCCAGGTCCCAATGAAGCTAGAGTTGACGAGCCGGATACCACCGACGAAGTCGAAATCAGACTGCTTAGCTTACTACCAGCGACCATTGTAGCGTAACGTAGTCGCTGGTTGAACTGTAGCGCGTACGTGAGCCCCAATACTCCGCGTGCCCACTCTAATTCATGCTCTTCCACGCCACAACTGCATTCAAAGGCGCGAGTTAGGAGCGGTGACGCAAGCCATTTTGCCAAAGTGGAACTTTGCAGAGGAATGATCGAAAGCTGAAGCCGACGAGGAGCTTGGACGATAGGGTACTCGAATGCCATAACATAATTATCGACCCATTCAAGCAACAGACTGACGAGAAGGGGGTGAACGGGCAAAGCTGCCTGCTCGCCAATCTGATTAGCCAGCCAATTTTCAAGCCGATGTCCGTGATGATGCCGTAAAAAAGACTTCTCGCATAGCAGTCCGTGAAATGCACGAAGCGTGAGGTCGTTTCCATGGCCTGACGACACCGCATCTAGCGCAGAGACGCGGACTACTGGTGGGAATGTCAGCACCTCACGGGCTAGCAAGCTCTCAGTTAAAACCGGCTTGAGCACTACATCACCAAACACATGGAGATACTCCGCTCGCACTGCTTGCTGAACCTGAATGCCACATCCTGCTACAGATGCCGAGGCAAAAGTGGTGCACATGTCTCTGTCAAATCCAATCACAGACGCGAGGAAAGGCACAAGGGCAGGTACTTTTGTATAGAACAGTACCGCTGATACCACGAAAAGCGGTCCAGTGTCAGTTTTTCGAGCATGAAATAGTGAGACTAGCACTTGCTGAGACATAGCTACAGCTTTCTTAGTGTGCTCGTCGCGCTGACCCGGTGCCTTACTCAATGCTGGAGCAAGAGGATACCACAGCAGCACTACCACCATAAAAGCAAGGCTTATCGCGCGTGACGAAGACGACGACGTTGCAAGCTTGTCGAGGCTTTCTAAAATTCGAATCCGCTTCGATTCGTTCAATGGAAAGCTGCCGAGCACTTGAAGCCCGATACATACACCCAAAGCTGCTGTCAATTCGAAGGGTGATACATCTGGAATGTCTAGCGTATCCAGCAGCATACCGCACATTTTTGTCAAATTGGCGACTGCATCATGTTGAAACTTGCTTGTCCCCTCCCGACTTGCCAGTTGCACATACGTCCGCAAGGCCGACCCCGGCGCACCGTGTCTCTTCAACCACTGATACATGAACAAAATCATGTCCTCTCGATTCGTACATATTGTCAACAGCTCAAACGTCATGGCTGCGCAATGCAGCGATATGGTCTGCTGACTAAGTTTATCTCTTAGTCTAGCCGCATAGAGCGGCGTCAGCTTGGCCAGTTCTATACAAGCTTGTCGCGCGTTCTCCAGTATCGACGTCATTGTATTCAGCGCATCCTGCTCTTGCTGTACCATGTTCTTGCTTTCTGCAGATACCTCTACTACGATCGCTACCATAGCATCCATAATTTGCTCAACCCTCGAAGGATCATTGACTGCTAATCTCGAAAGTAGTACGGGGCCCAAAGATACCGCCAGAGCCTTGCGTACCACTAAATGAACGCTCAATGGACCGACAGAAGTCATTTGCAGTGTCTGAAGGTTGTGACTTGCTAGTGTTTGAACTAAGATGGTCGCCACTTCTTCCTGGTAAATCTCGTTTGAAAAGAGCTCACTGGACTCCAAACTTCCAGGAGCTGCAAGTAACCACTCACACAAGACAATCAATACTCGTTCATATACTGATCCGCTTTCAAATCGACGAAATGCAGGTTCTGAGTCACAAGTTAAAGCCGATTGAAGCTTGGACGGTGTCAAATCGACGAAAACTTGAGCGTATTGACGCCATTTAGACGCCTTTTCGACACGAAGCAGCGTGACGTCCAGTGCCGTTGGTTTCAAAATTGTATGAGGCGTAGCAGAGACACGTCGTGAGACTTGGAGACGCGTAAGAAGCGGTAAAAACGGGGTCAAGAGTGAGTCCAGAGCTTCCGTTGAATCGATTGTAGCGATGTTGGGAGGAAGAGTTGGAAGATCTCCAGCGGCGAAATTGGACAAGATACAAGTGGAATGTACTGAAGATTGAGAGTGAGGAGAAGTGGGGTCTGTAGACGTGGGGAGAGCCATCACGACGTCGCCATCCGACTCGGGAAGAGCTTCATCGTCGCTCATGACGGTGGATTAAATGTATGTGCAGCACACCAACTACATTTGAAAAAAAAGGCTTTAAGATGAAATTCTTTTTTATTTGTCAAATATTACATGATAATTCAAATTGATACAATGTAATAAACGTCAGAAAAAAGTCTCGACAGATCATTTTGACATTGCATTTTGATAATAAGCTGCACCATTAAATGTAATATTTTATTCTCTACCTTGGTTATACAGGAACCTGTCAAATCACTATAAACATTTCGTACCAGCACGAGATTGAAGAAGTTGCTCGGATGGCCAACGCACACGACTTATTACGCCTTTCCGGACGGCTACAACACGCAGGTTGGCATGAAGGGCGAACAACTGTCGGGGTAGTCAGAAGCAGCGCATCTCTATTGCACGTGCCAGCCTAAAGAATCCCAGCATTCTATATTGCTAGACGAAGCGACGAGCGCATTGGAGTCGGAGAGTGAAAAAGTGGTGCAGGAAGCACTGGACAAGGTGGTGGCGCTAAAGCGGCGAACGACGATTGTGATTGCGCACAGACTATCGACAATTCGCCGTGCTGACAAAATCTGCGTCGCGAATGGTGGCAAGATTGCGGAACAGGGGCGTCTTTTAATGTAGTGCTTGTTCCAGAAGCTGCTGCAGCTGAATGGCCTTGCTTGACTTCAGTGGCTGCTAAATTTGCCAATTTGGCAGATAAATAGTTCCATTAACGCCTATCATGGACGTCGAAAAGAATTGTTCTTAAATCAAAGCATCGGGGTTCTCCTCGCAGAAGACTGTGTAAATGCGCTTCGATAGAGCTCGCTGAATTCGAACATCATTCAATTTGTCAGCGACAAGATCCTGTTTCTGTGCACGCGATAAGTTTGGGTCGCGATACGCTTGCATGAGGCTGTCAAATGTGGGGAAATGATCTAATAGGCATTGCGCTTTATCCTCACTCACGCCCGGGATGACTTGGAGCATCCGCAGCCAAGTATTCGCACACGAACTCTCAATCGAGCCTGTGTGGGTCACTCGAAACGAGTTGTGACGAGGTACGGCCTCCAGGAATTCCTCAAGAGCAGACACACGCGATGATGCAACAACCAACTCACGAGTGAGCAGTGCAATATAGTCTGCCGTGGCGTTAAGATCAGATGTAAACTTTGTATGTGCTCTAACGTCCATGAATAATTGAAAGGCCACCTCATGCAGGTCTGCGAAAGTGATCATTGCAAAAGTGGTGCTTGAAGTATCACCCGAAGCAGATCCTTTTTTTTTGCTTTTGCTGTCTTTTCAGTTCAATCAGGGCACGGTCCATGCCTTCAACAATGATAAAAAACTTGCTAGACTCTTCTTTTACTTCTGTTTGATGACCTTGCGTCTTTGGTACCAGAGTTTGAAGATACTGCACGGCATGAACCAATTCCATGTAGCTTTGCTTTTGAAGCAACTTCAGACATTCACCCGCCTCATAGTATATTGCACATGAATAAGATGAAGTACCACTCCCTCGTCGTTCCCATCGAATAACCCCTGGCACGATGCAATCTAGCGCTGTCGCCACTGTATACGGCACAGGTTTGCCCTTATACACATGATTCTTCAACGCATCTCGAATACTCTCTCCTGCTACTGACGTATCCAGCGATTTCTCCATCTGCACCACCGCAACCACAGCAGCAGTGCTGCCTCCACTTTTACCACGTACTGCTCTTGACCGACGAGGCAAGGATCTTTTCTTTAATATTCTAGCCCTATCATCAAAATCTTCAGCTGCAAGAGAAGCAGCAGCAATATCAGTAACAACAGTATCAGTAGCAGCATTTGTCGTAGCAGTAGCAGTGTCCATCGTATCAGTACGTATCGTCTCACTCATTGGTTCATTGCTCCCTATTGTTTCAAAATGTAAATCCTCGAGTTTTCCTGACAATCTTCTTGTTTCTTTTTGTGTCTTTTCATCTGTAAAAACTTGTCGCCGGGCAGTTGAACGATGAATGTGGTGACAAAACTTCCAATGAAGAGGAAGAGGAAGAATTCTCAGGTGAATACACAAAAGACGGTGGACACTCTGACGGCGAATACGAGAATGAAATCTCATCCTGTTGTTGCTCTTCGTCTACTGTAGCTTCTTCTTCTTCTGCTGTGTGTAATATAGTAGGAATATTGCCATCGATTGAAGAGGGACATGGTGATAATGGCGATGTCGTCAAGTCTACATAAGAAAGACCATCACTCTGTTTCCGTTTTTTAGCTGGAGGAGAATTCCGTGGTGGTGTAATGAGTTCAATCACTTCGACAGAAACGTCTTTCGTCATTTTCTTGTTAGCAGGTATTCCAAGCTCTATCAGCATCTCATCCAGTATATGGTCATCCTCATCGTCTTCAATGGAGTCGCGCGAACGAGAACGAGCGTATTTGCTCGGTGTGGTGCTCATTCTTGTGAGATTGTGAAATATATCACGTCATAATGCGATATTTATGAAAACGTTTTGATATGAATACAATATTTGATTTTCATTCGGTAGGAATGTGAGCGAAATAGTAGACAATTACACAAACTACAGGCATGTTTGTATGTATTAATATCAACGATAACTTGATATATATTTGTGCCTTTGTGTTAAATACGACTATCATTGTCAATCAAGGGGGGGTTTGGTTTTGTGCATAGATTCATTCATACAACACGCTAGTTCTCCTGTTTGCAAGAAGTGAAGGTTACCGAGTCGCAACATGTAAAGACGCCATTGTTCTGACGTATCATGTTTCCTCTATTGCAGAGGAAACGCTGGAATCCATTTGGACTGTTTCGTCGCTAAATGGGGAGCAGAAAGCTATCCAAAAATTTGAAGACAAAGTTTATGAAGCTGAGAAAGAGAATATTTGCCTTGCACAAGATGACGTCGGCGGTGTTCTCCATGTTTCTAGGTAGCGTGTGGGTCATGTATTCCATTGGGCTTTGGTACGGTGGATGGAAGGCTTCGCACGGCAACACGACACCAGGTGATGTGTTTGCCGCTTTCTTCGGCGTCATGATGGGTACAGGTTTGCTTGCACAGATCTCTCCGAATGTCACTGCTGTCTCCAAAGCTGCTGGTGCTGCAGAGGAGTTGTTTACTATTCTAGACACGGCCAGTGCTCTTGACGCGGAAAAGGAAGGTGAAGAAATCATTTCCGAGACCTGCGAAGGAAAAATTGAGGCTGTAACCGTCAACTTCGCCTACCCGAGCCGCCCAGATGCTCAGATCTTACATAACTACAGTCTTACCATTGAACCTGGCCAAATGGTGACATTTGCAGGTGCCAGTGGTGGTGGTAAGAGTACGTTAATTGCTCTAATCTTGCGATTCTACGACCCGACCAGCGGCACCATCTATCTCGATGGCCGAGACGTGAAGACACTAAATGTAAGGTGGTTGCGCTCGCAGATCGGCATGGTGTCTCAGGAACCGGTGCTGTTTGCGATGACAATCTTTGATAACATTGCCCGGGCGGTGACAATGTGACGCGTGACGACGCCATCAAACGTGCAAGCTATCAAATGCGCATGACTTCATCATGTCATTGCCGTAGCAGTACAATACAATGGTGGGCGAGAAGGGTGTATCGCTGTCTGGTGGACAAAAGCAGCGAATTGCCATTGCCCGTGCCATTGTGCGCAAGCCTAACATTTTAGTGCTTGACGAGGCAACTAGTGCTCTGGATAGCGCTCAGCGAAAAGCTTGTGCAGGCTGCTTTGAACAAGTTGATGGCCACGACAAAAATGACAACATTGGTCATTGCCCACCGTTTGAGTACGATTTGCCACGCCAACAAGATTGTGGTTTTGAATGAGGGTTGTATTGTGGAAAACGGCACGCACGATGAGTTGCTGCAAATCGAGCTCGGCATTTATCAGAACATGTATCGGATCCAGGAGTTTTGTTTTGCTAAAGCAACACGATGCGACTGAATTACGGGGAGTGGAGAGTATGCCTGAAAGTACGAATCTGATACGCACAATGAGTGGTGTATCGACAAAGACCGACTCTTCTGTTAGTGCCGTGGAGAAGGACGTTCTGGACAAGAAGCCGTTCAGTCTGACGGATATCGCTCGCTTGTGCAAGCCGGAACTCAAGTTCTTTATCATTGGACTGATTGGCGCCTGTGTTGGAGGTATTGCTATGCCGGCCTCTGCGTTGCTGATTACAGGAATGATTACATCTATGACGGAGAAGTACGGATTCATTATACCAAGTAGAGGAGAGACATATCATTTGAGTGAACTATACGACGACGTAGAGTTGTATGGCATTCTTTATCTGATGGGTGCGGCAGTGATTGCGATCTTTATGTATGTGCAAACTTACTGTTTCGAGTATTGAGGAGAAAACTACAACCCGCTTGCGTAATACCCACTTCAAAGGTTTGTGTCACCAGAACGTTGGTTTTTTTGATAGGAAAGAAAATGCTACAGGGGCATTGACGGCTGATCTTGCCACGAACGCAACGAAGGTTGCATTGTTATCCGGTGATTCGCAAGCGCGTGTGTTCCAAGCCATATTTACTCTAGCCGCAACGCTGGTTATCTCATTTGGCTTCGGTAGCTGGCTACTGTCCCTTATCATGCTGCCTATTATGCCTTTCCTGCTCTTCGGACACGTCGTGCGCATGAAGCACATGCAGTGCGGTGATCTGATCTTGGCCGGCTTGGCCGTTCCTGGTGCTCATGCATCCGAAGTTCTCAGCAACATTCGCACAAGACGCTCTGGGCATCGAGCAAAAGTCAGTGGAAGTGTTTAACGATCTTCTAGCTGAGCCACTTCGCAAGGGCAGCAAGGAAGCACAAATCAATGGTGTGTCACTGGGCTTCAGTTCTTTTATAATGATGGCTACGTACGCATTTATGTTTTGGTTTGGCGCGAAGAAGGTAAATAATAGTACGATTGGATTTACGGAGATGATGCGTACATTGATGGCAATCATGATGTCAACAAATAGTTAGTAGTGCTTCGACCTTTTTGGGAGATGCGCCCAAGGCGTTTAGGCGGGGTCGACCATATTCGCGATTCGCGATCTAGTCGTTCCTATCGATTCGTTGAGCCCTGAAGGTCTTCGATTGTCTCATATTCATGGCCGTCTCGAGTTCAAGAATATATCGTTCCGGTACCCGACGCGCCCTGACATCAACGTGCTAAGAACTACAACCTTGCTATCGAGCCAGGCCAAACAATTGCGTTCTGCGGGCCGAGTGGTGGCGGTAAAAGCACGATCATCTCCCTCATTGAGCGTTTCTATGACCCTGTGGCGGTTGAGGTGCTTCTCGATGGTCAAAAAAAAAAAAAAAAAAAAAAAAAAAAAAAAAAAAAAAAAAGAAAAACAAAAAAAAAAAAAAAAAACCTATATTTTCTTTTTTTTTTTTTTTATTTTTTTTTTTAAAAAAAAAAAAAGAAAAAAAAAAAAAAAAAAAAAAAAAAAAAAAAAAAAAAAAAAAACCCAACATCAATAACCTTTTTTTTTCTTTTCCAAAAAAAAAAAAAAAAAAAAAAAAAAAAAAAAAAAAAAAGAAAAAAAAAAAAAAAAAACAACACCCCCATTTAACTTAAAAAAAAAAAAAAAAATTTTTTTTTTAAAAAAAAAAAAAAAAAAAAGAAAAAAAAAAAAAAAAAAAAAAAAAAAAAAAAAGAAAGAAGAGGAAGAAAAAAAAAAAAAAAAGATTTTTTTTTTTTATTATTTATTTTTTTTTTTTTTTTTAAAAAAAATTAATTTTTTATTTTGTAAAAATTATATAAAAAAAGAAAAAAAACAAAAAAAAGAAGTATATAATATAATTTTTTTTTTTTTTTTTTTTTTTTTTTTGTTGAGAGGAGGTGGTTTTTTTTTTTTTTTTTTTTTTTTTTTTTTTTTTTTTTTTTTTTTTTTTTTTTTTTTTTTTCTTTTTTTTTTTTTTTTTTTTTTTTTTTTTTTTATATTTAAAATATAATAAAAAAAAAAGAAAAAAAAAAAAAAAAGAAGAAAAAAAAAAAAATATTTATAAATTTTTTTTTTTTTTTTTTTTGAAGAAAAAAAAAAAAATTTTTTTTTTTTTTTTTTTTTTTTTTTTTTTTTTTTTTTTTTTTTTTTTTTTTTTTTTTTTTTTTTTTTTTTTTTTTTTTTTTTTTTTTGTAAAAAAAAAAAAAATTTTTTTTTTTTTTTTTTTTTTTTTTTTTTTTAAAAAAAAAAATTTAAATTATTTTTTTAAAAAAAAAAAAAAATAAAAAAAAAAAAAAAAAAAAAAAAAAAAAAAAAATTTTTTAAAAACTCTTTAAAAAAGAGGGGGGGAAAAAAATTTTTTTTTTTAAAAAAAGGTTTATTTAATTTAAGTGTTTTTTTGTTTTTTTTAAAAAACTTTTTATAAAAAAAAAAAAAAAAAAAACCAAAATTTTCGACGAAGTAAATCGTTTACTTTAAAAAAAAATTTAAAGTGTTTTTTAGAAGTACCATTATTGTACAACCGACTTACAACACACCGAAAACCGACGCATCGGACTAAAACTCACCGAAAAGCGGACGCAGTAGGACATCAAAGAAGCTGCCAAGATTGGCCAACGTGCACGACTTTGCACGCATTTTGTAGAAGGCTAACACTATGCTTAGGCACGGTATAAGGACAAGACGTTGTCGGATGGACAATTACAGCCCAGTGTCATCGTCAGTGCCATCCTGAAGAACTCGAATGCTGTGTTGCTGGACGAAGCACCTAGTGATTTAAATTCGACGAGCGAGAAGGTGGTGGCGAAGTAGATGGCAACCATTATCGCGAATTGATATTCGATAAACTTTGTGAGCGGCCGCAAAATTGCGTAGCGGACGTACACAGTAATTGAGTAAGGTCATCTACGTAAAGCTTGTAAAACACGCCGTCCGATCACTTTTAGACAAGTAAAAGGGAGAGCAAGAATGAATCGCTGCGATACCTTACTGACGTGAATTTGGTCTTAAAAAACGTACATGCTATTTCTGTCTTCACCTTCCAAGAAACTAAATGAGGACTCGGTTATTGAAAAGTAGTGTCCTGGTGACAACGGCGGAGTGTCTGCATCGTCCAGAAGGCCCCAGGTTGAGCGCTCTCTATCAGTAGTTGCAATAGAAGACTGCATTAAGCGTATTTGGTGTTGGTGCCACGCGACTTTTGTTGCGCGAGTTTGACTGACTATGTCCAGGCATGGCACATACAATACCACTTGAACATTTCTTGTCGGAGAACCCTTCCTTCGACGAGTAAGAGCCTTCAAAGAGCGTTTGACACGGCAATTTGAGCAAAGAGAAACATCACAAATTGCGCACGTGTGGTTAGAGCTTGACCGACCGCTTTGTCCGCGACCGTATCTTCCCAACTTTTTGCAAATGCCACAGAAATTATTCCATTCCAGTCGTCTGCGTATATTAGTCGGATCCTTTATCCTATTGAGAATACACCACTGCAATTTCTTTTCAGCTGCTAGTTTAGAAGCCCCCCAAAATCCAAGCATTGAAACCCACATTGCATTCATCACGATCGTATTCAAGACATGACCCATCGTTTCCACGTATATCTGAATATAAACATCCACTGTTCTATCCTGCTGCTCTTTAAACAAGGCCCCATACATTAACTTTCCTCGCGTCATGGGCTTAGGAAGCTCTATAAGCTGTGGTAGTTGGGCAGGCTGCACCATGATACATCCAATTCGTTCTCCATTAGCACGTGTGAGGATTCCTGACGCCGACAGGATAGTAAAGTCTCTTGGACGTACAATCATGTTCAACGGCCACTTCTGTTCACCCACCATCCAGAGGACACACAAACTATGAAACGGATCCGATTCGGTCGGTTCCAAAAGTTTCGCTAACACAGCTCCACTAATACCAGGCGATTGAAACGACGCGCGCGGACTCTCGCATCCTCGAATGTTTGCACCGTTAGTCCAAGCATCACGCCGTCTAATGTTCCCTGCATGATTCCTACAGCTAACAAGACAGCTGGATTCTTCCAATCATTCCCTGGATGGTACAGATCTCTACGTCCGCCAGTGTCACGCTCCGAATAGAATGATGCATAGTCTCGCATCTTATGACGTTTCCACCGAGTGCTGTCCAAGTTTGAGTGATGCCGAGGAATTTTGTGATATTGCGTTTATCATAGCTTCGAAGTGTTCGGTCTAACAGTTGTAGTGTAAGTTCATGGCAGCGTTCCACCTCCCCAAACGTCAATCGAAGGGGATCAAATGGAATTTGTCCGCGATAACCTTCTCCAGCCTCCATGTAACTACTGTGCGAGCTTATGTAGAATGATGGATCTCTGGCGCACGTGTCAGTTTCAAATCTATGTTTGAAAGTTGTTTAATCTGGGAAACCTCCCAAGACATTACGTCGTCCCATGTCGCCATCATAGTTTCAACAGCAAGCAACACGACCGGATGCTCCCAATCATCCTTTGGAAGGTACAGACAGGTACTCTCCAGTTACGCTTCGAGTTCAACGAAAACATATGTCTCGCATCGTTTTGGCGTTCCACCGAGTTCTGTCCAAGATCAAGTGGAGCCGAGACGATTCGTGAGAAGTGGCAATGTCTTTGTCGTAGTTTCGACGTTATCAATCCAGTAAAATGGAGTGACGATTTTTTAGCAAGTCCTTCCAATTGCCATTTCAGGCGACTATTGTTCCTGTTTTTTGAACGTGCAGTCGAATGACGTAATTGAAACTTGTCTGTCATAACCCATTTATCCCTAACTCTCCATGGTACTACCGTGTGACTGACTTAATGTAGAAAATAACGGGCTTTTGGCGCATGGATTAGTTTCAAATCTTAATTTGAAAGCAGTATGATTGTGAAACTGCTGGATCGTCACTTCAACTTTTCGACATAAACATTTCGTATAGCTTACCATAAAAAGAGGAAGGATTATGCACATCTGAAGTAACGCGACAACGAGAGGCTAAAGCTAGTTTTATCGAAGTAAGAAATAGACAGACACTTTAAATAATGAAAAATTAAAATATCTGATGTAATATTCCACTAAAAGCTACTTGCATTCTGTAGTCCGTCCTCCATCGAAAGTGTCCTGAGCCCCTTTTTTCTAACAAGCAGGTGTTTGAAGTAGTTCTTACTTCAAGACGCAACTAAGGCCCAACACTTTTGCCGGTCGGACATCGTGCGCTTTGCTCTTCATATGTATGTTATCCTTCTGCGCATACCACTTGATCATTAGCCAGCATCCTGTAGATCAATGATTTACACTCCAGTGTTGTTTTGCTGCAACTCTCGTATCTCAATGATCAGAGTTTGCCCGTGATCACGTCGGCCAGGCGTCACTGTTATAGTATATGAACAACACGAAACGACGATGCGTCAAGCAGCTGGAAGACGTAGCAGAAAATGCATTAACGTAGAGCAGAAACAGTGACCTCAGGCACCAAGAGCAATGGCTGCGAGCGCGAGCGGACGGCAAAAAGAAGCTGCAGAAACGCTATAGGCGTCGCAGGCCGCAACTGGTACATCATCATGTGAACGGAAGACCTTTCTGCCGTGTCGTGGACTACTCTGCTTGTTGAGACGGTTCAATGTTGCATGGAACGAAATGACGACAATTTGTGTCAACACGTGATAATGACATATCCATCACGTGTCGTACGTTCTACAGTCGAATTCGATCCTGCATTTCTGAAGTTCTGACGAGTTGCGTGACGCTTGTTTGACGTGGCCATTGACCTCGTCAATAGCTACGGGGCATCGCCGTTTTCTGCTTGTATTGGGTCATCCTAGAAGACGTTTAACGGAGCGAGTCACAAAAACGCGCTTCAATTGGTTTCAACAGACTCAAAGGCGCTGAAGACATGAACGTTTGCTAGTACCTAGAGAGAGCATAAAGGTGTATATTGCTTTTAAACTTGTCACTAACGTGTCAAACTCTTATATGGTTGAGTGGACAACGAGCTCAGACGATGTACTCGTGCAAATGCGAGACTGTTCCGATCACAACGACGAAATTGCCGTGTCATCTTTAGCCTCTGGGTTTGAAAGGTGCTCCGGCAGTTGGAGACTTGGGTACAGCAGTACACATTGTTCTGACCACCTGCACGATACGCATGATGAAGCGCTAGCAAGTTGACCAGAGAAAATGGTCGTGGTAGCTGTCTTCACAATTTCCGGTCCAGTACGAGATGCCGCTTGCTTCAACACCTTTTGGTGCAATGATGAAATATTCGCTTCATCTGCGAGTGGAGAAGCTGACCCCATTTGACTTTTGCTGCTGCAAGCGCACTAACAGCCAAGACAATTCGAGAACGTCACCACGCTGCAATCACTGGAAGCTTTTACAGTCCTAACAACTTCCATTGAGGCTCCAGTGACATTGTTTCAGCCTGCTGAGGAAAGTCCATGATATTATTGCGATACGACTGCTTGATAGAGCTGCCTTCTGTCTAGCTTGAAAAGAAAACACCTCTGTAATCAAAGTGCAAGCTCTTAACTTCAGGATGAAAATCTCGTACAAGCGCAAGATTTACATCATTGAGTGGCACACGCAAACCTTCTGAGGTTGTGCGCTTGGCTAACTGGACACTTCACCCTCGGTAGTACGGCTCAAGCATGTTTTGAGTCGTAGGTAGCATGTAGATTGGTACGAGAAAGTTTGTGACAGGAAAGTATGGCTAAGAGAAGCTGACTACGACTTTGTTGCAGCTCGAAATTTGTGCACTTGCTCGCGCACAGCATTGGATGATTATAAGCGCAGGGATGGCACCTAAACCTGCTTGACAAGCTATTGCTTTGAAAAGTGCTGTATACCGGCCATGGACGGGGTTGGAATAGAAGCACATGGTACCCAAAGCATTTCATAACCCGAAAGTCACGCCATAGCTTAGTTGAAAGCGTTTGAAAAGGTATAATGATTCTATCAATTGCAGGCTGTATAATGACTTGACAATGATCGTCAAACCATAAACCCAATTCGTCACTTCAGAGATTCGCAATTTGCCCAGACATGGTCGTGTGTTAGCACTAGCTTTTATTACACAACTTTTCAGTCTCTTATTGCGTCTTCGTTTTGCATTCATCATAACTTTCTTTAACTTAAGAAGATTGTATGAACACCGCAGCCAGTTACGACAATATAAAAGTACCCAATATATAAAGTACACCAAATGAACGCTCACTGGGCTTAGACTGCCAGATTACGGAGGTGATATCCCAGTTCCGTGTGCAACGTCTTGGTTTCTTGTTGCTTCTCACCTCGTGTACCCGTCGAAAGGGCGGGTGCACTCTTCCGGTGGACTTGGTCGGATGCCGATCTTGGTTGTGTTTAGAAAGGCTTTGACCGCGCGGAAACCTTCACGCAATCGGGAGTTCTTTGTGGCTGTCTTGTTCAGTCGCCGCAATCTGCCTTGTTGATCACCCTTCTTCTAATATGCAGATCTTCTCTTGCTTGAATTACTTGACTTACTTGAAACCTTCTACCCACATGCGCCGTCTCGTAGTTCTTGCCTTTACTTGTAGTTGCTGCGTCCGATTGCAAGTAAGTTGAATTATAGTTGGTCTTATATGACCTGGCCAATTCATACAGGGAGGGAGGGTGGCATGCGGAGACGCTGTCGATATCGTTGGATTCTCACAGCTCTTCAGAGTCACAATAGAAGCTGGTCGCCTAGATTGCCTACATGATCTGTGTTGGAGAGCACCGTATTTTGAGAGGCTAAACTCTGTAGACAGTTACTTCGTAAGGCTCAACAGGACTAAGTTCTACCTCCACATATTGGGACTCGCCGGATCCTGTGCCATGTCAGGTTTCTACGAAGAAGCGGGTTTCAGCTCAAACAATCCTCGCGCAATTGGCACAAAGGAAAGCCCGGACGTAAGTGCGAGTTCTTACATCAGTATAGCATCGACTGATGCCTTTAGGCTGCTCAGCATCTACCGCCGCAGGTCTTTCCTCACCATCATAGCTGATCCATCGGTTCGGGTTTGTTTGGTGGGAGGTGATCGCACCCGATGAGCTCGATATATTGGGCTGTACCCGTTACAATCAAGCCTGGGGTAACTTCAGTTGTGCGCTGCGTCCGATGCCACAATCACCTTCCTGATTGTTAAAAGGGTGCATTGAAGATCGGAGCGGTTGCCTTCGATCAGTTGAAATATGCAGCACGAAATACAAGCACAAGTGGTATCGGCGTCTGATGCGCTTGATCCTCCACAAAGATCCGTGGATGTGGACGCGTGACGCAATTAGTAAAATCGATCTTACAGCAGTTAGGTCCATAGTACGTGGTTTTACGACAGCTAGCGCTCTCTCCCAGCCGCCGACACCGCACTATCCGCCGGGTCGCGTCGAGACTTAGGAAACGTTCATGTGCCTGTGCCACCAATGCATCAAGTGCCGACGCAAGAGCTGCTGTTTCATATTCCAGATGCACGACAACGCCAGCTTCCAATTCACAAGTTTCAGGTACAGAGCTGTACCAGGGACTCGGGTCGAGATTTGCTGACTTAGGTTGCACTTTCTTGAGCTAAGCGACGATAGTGAAACAAGTCTATGGATTCGATTGGGCGAAAGAGTTCTATATGACTCGCTTGGACACAATCTATGTGGGAAGGAAAAAACGCTAGTACCAGAACCAGGTCGAAGAAACCTCTCTTAACCACGCCGTGAGACGTTGCTTCACAAATACAAGGCAATCATCAAACGAAACGATTGGTCGGAATCAGTTTCGATCTGATCGTTAAATAGTGATATTTTGGAGGCTAATTACGTATGCTAACAAGTATATTGTGATCGATCGACTCAAGCGTCGTAATATGAGCTTGTATGAGAGCTGAGTAGGTCGCTATTTGAGCGCATGTGGCAATCGCTTGTGTGGTGAAGCGTAGTAAAAATGGAAGCCCAAGGACCAGCTGACCTTGGTCCTTTGTCAATAAACCTTGGTCCCTCAAGGTAGACCTCGGTCCTTTCGTCGATGGACCCTCAATTCCGGTGCCTTGAGGTCGACATTAGTCCTTCGTGATCCTCGATCCTTCGTCGATAGACCTTGGTCCTTTGGTCGATGGACTCTCGGTCCCGGTCCCTGAGGTCGCCCTCGGTCCAGAGGTCCAATAGCTCTAGCCAGTCAGAATCAAGAATCAGGTCTCAGTGTAAAGGTAGAGTAAAGGAGTTTTTTTAAGAGATAGGACTATACTAGATACTACTTAATCTGCAATCTACGTAGTACGCCTCCGTCGTGCTCACAAGGAACTTACGTAAGTCTATTCACCTGTTCCGGGAAGAGATATATTTTGGCCCTCCGTTGAATACAGTCGTGTACTACCAAGTGGTTCGAGAGCAAGTAAAGGCCAGGCGGTTAACACCCCTGATATATCAAGGAAAAGGCCAGGGTTGAGGACCTCCCCTCAAGGAATCTGGCTATAAGCCACCCTCGACCTTGTCGACAGAGTGTCCACCTGAGTGAGCTATACCCACTCGAGGCACCCCAAGATCGACCTCTTTCAAGGCATCGCAGCTCCAAGTCTTCCGAAGAGTGCAGCCCAACAGGCGACGGGTACACAAGGTGAGAGAAGGTCTATACGCGGCATCGGTGTACCCCCTCCCACAGTCGGCAGTCCGGCACAGTGAGTGGCTTGGTCTCATTACGCAGTTTTGAGAGCCTGCTCCACCACACATGGCAGATCTTGGCAAATTTATACCATGTAACCCCGATGAAGCGGAATTCACGCACGATCAAAGGCCGGCGTTTTATCAAACCCGCAACCTGTATCGTTCCAATTCAAATGAGAAGAGCGCAGTCGCCCATCTGACGGGTATAAAAGGCGAGCAAGGGAATTTACGACACGGATCGGAGTGAATTTTCTGTTAGTCTGCAGTCTGGTCCTCGTGACTGTTAGAAGGACGGCTCGGGACCCTTAACAAGTTTTTGGATCGCCGCTTAGCCACAGCTAAGTATAACAATCAGCGAAGAGACCATCTGCGCTATACCGAGGAGCTTGCTCACTTTTCACAACCTGTCGATCTTGAGAAAAAGACCGGCAAGACGTTGGGACGCGAAACCGTCGCAGCCGTCACTGACGCAAGACAGCGTAGGCGACACGCCCGAGCTACATTTGTGGCAAATAAAGGCATTTGATGATCGACTGCAGCTCAAAGGAGAACACAGGGAGCGCTAAAAATAACAGTGAGGGGGTACATGCTAATAACGATATTCCTGGTACTTATACTGACTGCTGCGACCAAAGCAAGGACTTTTCTGTGCGTCGTGCTCAAGTAAGATCAAGTTTAGGATGCAGTGACGAACCAAACAATTATGAGTCTTTCTCACGAAAGGAAGCAAAGTCGTAAAAGCGCAGCATGTCAAGAGTATCGAAAAAAGTATTTAAAGCTTAGTTCAGGCATATACAGCTTCCTTTCGATACCGACTGTCAAGCCGATGCATGCGACGACGGAGAGACACCAGAACGACAACGAAGTAGCGGCGTAACCGGGAAGAAGCAAACAACCAGAAACAGTGGACTCTCTGTTCTTATGCAACGAAAGGATCTACTAAGAAAGCAGCTGTAATCCAAGAAGCAACTGTCAGTGTTGACATTGTCAACTACTTGTTCGAACGAGACCCTCGCAACTTCATTGAAGCAATGAAAAGCAAGAAGAGTGATTAATGGCAAGTGGCGATACGTGAGGAGCTAGACGCGCTGTAGCGAAACGAAGTGTGGTGCTTGGCGCTTCGATCAAGCAAAAGCAATGTTCCACACATCAAATGGTTCTTTAAGAGATGACGACAGTTATGGTCATTTTGACGCTCTCTCCTACTTTAATCGTTCAGGCAAAACATGGAGACGTCCTTATGCCTACGTAAGCGCAGAGAAGGAACAGCATCTCGAGGTTCTAATACTTGTGCCCACGGGCATGAAGATCGACAGCAAGAAACTAGAAGAAGCTGGGGCAACGAGTACCAACGACGTCGTGCTTGAGCTCAAGAAAAGCCTCTACGTCTTGAAGCAAGCAATAAGCTTGTGGGTCCAGCTACTTCACAAGCGTTGGGAAGAAGCCAATTTGACGCGTTGCACCAGCAATCTTTCAATTAGTACAAGCGTGAAAGCCATAAGTCGTCATCGTCGGGGTTTACGTGGACTATCTCTTAGTAACTGGAACGTCGGCTGTTGAAGTCGACAGTTTTTCAAGCGTCTTTCAATCAATGATATCGGCCCAGTTTCAACAATCCTATGGCTGCGACTAACACGCGATAGATTAGTACTGGGGTTGTGGTTCCCACAAGGATACCCAGAAGTTGGTGTAGAATCTCTAACGTGGTCTTAATACTGTTGAACCCCAGGGAAAACAAGTCTTCAGGCTCGAACTTTCCTGCGACCATACCCGCCTCGCCAAGAAGGGTCACGAGCGCGACGATCGCGTCTGTTACCGTCCTCAGCTTGGGAAGGGTCGACACAGGGATTTGCGGCTAGTTGCTTGATCATAAAGAGTATGATAGTGCCTTACTACTATCATACGGGGTGGTTGATGCCAACTTATCTCTTGAAGCAAATAAAGGCGATAGCTACGAGGTTGAGAGCGCTGACAGCGCTCTGCTTGCAGTTGCGAGCGCGCCAGGTCTACCTAGCGTCCGCACTTTTCAATCCAGTTTTGGATAGTTATTTTTAGTGCCTCAATTCGCACGACCAGACAACGCATCCGCGGTACCTAAGGCTACACGAACCGTAGATACAAAACGTGAAAGTGGCGAAGCGTATCGTGCGCTATTTGAGTGCCACGCACGCACTGAATCTCTGCATAAATCCAGAATTCGTATAAGCGCACAGTCAGCTCTCGCCAGGTGCAGTGACGCGGACTACGCGTCCGACAAAGCATACTGAAAGTCGCTGACTGGCAGCATACATTGTGCTCAATGAAGTAGCAGTCATCTGGTGCTCAAAGAAGCAAGGAGGCGTTGCGCTCTCAACAATGGAGTCGGAGTTAGTGACAGGGTCTGAAGTCTGACGAGAGCTGCTTGGAGTAAGAAAGACGCCGAGCGAGGTCGGTTCGCCGACTTTGTCACTGATGAGAATGTGCATCGACAACCAAGGGTGAGACGTCAGATCGGAGGAGGGCAACGTTCACGAAAGCGAGCCATATTGACGTGAAATTCAGTTCTTATGCGGCTACGCACGCCAAAGCTCTCTGGTTCCACAAAGCTTGCAGAGCGAGCGGATGCTTTCGGACGATCTTATTAAAGCACTTGATGCAACCAAGATGATCGCTGCTTCCTATCGTGTTAGCGAAATGAGAGCCACCGACAAGGACGAGTGTTGAAGATTGGAGCGGTGGCCGCCGAGCACCTGTGATGTGCAGCACGACATACCAGAACAAGTGATGTCAACGTCTTGATCTATGCGTGAATAGACGGGTGTCTGATTACGATAGGTCAAAAATCGTGCAGCTGCCGAAAGGCAGGAGAAGCTAATGTTCAAGGTACGTTTAGGAAGTCGGATAGGAGCACAGTAGTGTAGAAGACTAGGCTGCTTATTTAGTAAGAGCTAGAAGTGAAAATGAATGAATGCTGGGCCTTGCAAGTCGAGGGACCATGACCAACAACTGCTACTTCCTCTAGTCTTCTCTGTCGTAGCTATAAAGCTCAAGTGAATCGACCAGCTATGTCTACTGGCTATATCGTTGCACATCCTCGTCCGTTACGTGGTTATCTATCAGATGCACCACGAGTTGTTACGAACAAGCAGTTAACTTTTGACTTCATGCAACGGAACAATTCAGACGGATATCAATGTTCAAACATACGCGTCGCCGAGAGCGGTGGTGCAAGGATAGCATAGGGAAAGTAAGCCGACCAAGTTCGCGCAACAGATAGAAATACCTAAGTATGAGCGATCGCAAACAAACAGATGGGGAAGAGCAGCATAATTTCAGTATCAGTTTTTTTCTACCTTATCAAGCGCAATGGCCAATATCGGCCTATCAAGGTGTACTTGAAATACCTTCGGATTTCACACGTATAAAGCAACATATAGACGGATTTTTATTTGTTTTTCTACACCTACTAATGTAACTATTACCATCAAATATAATGAAGCGAAGTATCATGCATGATGCGAACTTTTATACCGTACCTATCGACAGCCGTACGTAAGCGAGGCTTTTCGGTTATGGTATTATTATGTGCTCCACATCGCTATGTAATGGTCATGGCATTAATTTGACAAAATAGTCATTATATCAGGTCCAAACGAACTGGATAAATGTGATGTTATGATGTTGTGTAGTTTTTATCTGCGCCTTGATATCCGTATAAGATAATAAATAGCAAGTATCAAAGGGTTTTGTATAATGCCATTGTTGTAAATATTTTGATGGACATAATTCACTTCTATACGTGTACAATAATGTATTTCCAACTTTTCAAATTTATGCCCACTTGTTGTCGATATTTCAGAAAAAAAAGTATCTGTACGTCCAGATGACAAACTAGGCTACATGTGCTTTTGTGAATATTGTCTCGCTCATGTCTCACACTGCACCTATTACAATGCGAGATGTTGTTCATTGGGATCAGGATCACGGAAAAGACGTGACTCAACCAGCGATTAAGGCACTGAAGTCAAGTCTTTCCATGTACTGCCCTTTTAACAGGCATGAGCTCAAATCCACGTTTTCCTGAGCTTGCAGCAATAGAACCACTTGCAGTAAATGCATTTGAATCCCTTCTTTTCGCCGGTCGCACCTTGCTCATCATCACTTTGCGAAACAAAACAGTGTTTTCTGCTATCAGCTCTTCTCGTTCTTTGTCTAACACACGCCATACATTAGTTTTTGTTTCAATCGACATGAACAGGTCATTTTGTTCCTGTAGTGATTCCTGTTTTCGCTTGAATTGAACCACTCGCCATGAAAAGTCACGATCACTTTGATATCTCTTTAACGCGTGGGGCGTTATACTCAATGACGCATAGACGTTTTCAAAACGCTCAAGGTCTTGTGCCATTAGTTGCGCTCGCTCCTCGACACAACCTCGTTTACGACTTTCCAAAAGCCAATTATTACTCCCACTAGCCATCATATCATCCACATCAGCTTCCCGAAGTTTTAACTTAAACACCTGTCGTTCAAAATCATCACGAGGAGTTACATACTTCTTGCCATCATTATAAGATGCCGCCCTTGCATTCCCGCGAGACCGAACATACGGCTTTGTCAAGCTCCTTGTCGTAGAATCCACCGCGTTGTCGCGGCAGTATGCTCGGCCAATGCTCTTCGATTTGTTGAGGTCATAGGATGCTCGTGCTGCAATTGGCATTTCTGCTTTTTCATTATTTCGATTTTCAAATTTGTAATCATCTCGCTGTGACATTGATAGATTTTCCCTGGCGTGTACGCTCCTTGAGCAGTGGTAATCCACGCTTCGATGCTGGAATGTGTCTCGGTTTGACCCCTGATCCCCCCAACTGATTCTTGTGTGGTGGCTTGGAGATTGTCTATCCACATGTTTGTTACCGCTAGGCTCTTGAACTGATTTCACTTCATGGTTTTCATAATAAATGTATCTCGGTCTCGATTCGTGACGGGCATGTCTCTCACGGCTTTTCCTTTTACCTTGCACAGACTGGGAGAATCGCAAAGGGCTTCGAGATCTTTCACATGTATGACTCAGCCGCCTTTTTTCTGTTTTTGAATCATGATGTTGCCGACTTGGCACGCTTTTACCCAATCGATGCGAGCGAGAGCGTGGGCTAGTAGTCGAAGCCCTACACGAGGATCTTGATCTCGGTCGTCTCTTATTAACTCGTCGACTTAGCGGAGATCTGCTTCGGCTTCTCCTTGAGTAATAAATCACCGGGTCGCGTCTTGAGTAGTTATTCACTGAGCTTCTTTTCAAGCGATAGGCCACAGGTGATGTATCTCTTTTTCTATGACTCTCTTTCTCCGCAGAACAACGTGCTGGCGAGTTGCGATAGTTGGTCTGACGAATTGATTGTGACGTGTCTCGTTCTGTGCAAACTTCTTTCTCAGCACGACGACGTGTTGGCGAGTTACGATGGTATGTCTGACGACTTGATGGCGACGAATTTCGTTCTGTGTGACTTTCACGCTCTTCAGGACGACCTATGGACGACTTGCTACGATCATTCTGACCAGTCGACGGTAACATGCTAGGAGTTATCCTTTGACTGGCCACTGAGTTGTTGTGCTCTGTACTGCTACTAGGCACTACCATCTTCGCCTCAACTGCTTCATCTCGTGACTGGCTTTGACATGGTAATGCACCTTTTTCAATTTCTTTTATCTTGGGACTAGAATAACTTTCTGATACTTTCCAAGACGACCCAGTGACTGCAGGTGTTGTATCCACTTCACTGGACTCTTCCACCAACACATTTGTCACTTGTTGTCTCAATCCCACATCCATTGGCTGTGTAACTGAAACAGGTGATATCGTTGTCTTGACCCTCTTCAGTGATTCAACCTCTGTCTTAATCATCACTCTCTCTCTCTTTTTTGCAACAACTGTCTTTTTCATATTTTTCATCAGCATCATCTTCTGCTGCAGCTGCTGCTGCTGCTTCTTCTTCTTCTCTTCAATAGACAATGAGGCATTACTATTTGTTGTATCAAACGTTACAACTTCATCTCCTCGTGTCGCTCGCTCCAAATCTCGCGCCATAGCAAGTGCTCGCTCCACTGCATTATCCGATACTTTCAAAACAACTCCATGACTCCATTCACTGCCCTGTGGAAGTGCATACTTTCCCCATTCTTCTACTTTCGACTCCGTCCTTTCAAACGAACTTTCTTCTTCTCGTTGGTGAGGTTCAGGCTCATTTTGAGGCTCCTGTTTAATCGATACGTTATATTCTTGTGCAAACGTAAGTGAAGCTTCCTTCTCCCCCATATCTTCAATCAGATCATAATAATACTCGCTCTCAGTTGAGCTTCCATCATTATACGAATCGACAGTAGGTTCTACCATTGAACCTTCTAATTCTTTTATGATGGCTGGCGGTCGAGAGCACTACAATGATGGGCAAATATCGGTATTTTCACTGGCTCAAAGTATCTGGTTTCTGCTCCCGTCAACGATACGATATAATAAATTATGTACGGTGTGGTCTTTGAGAAATATTACCAAATCGAAAGCAAAGGCGGTAAACAGATGATCGAAATCAGTAGCCGTATGAGAGCAGTCCAATGATGAGCAAATACCGGTATTTTCACTGGCTCAAAGTATCTGGTTTCTGCTCCCGTCAACGATACGATATGATAAATTACGTACGGTGTGGTCTTTGAGAAATATTACCAAATCGAAAGCAAAGGCGGTAAACAGTTGATCGACGAAAGCACTACAATGATTGGCAAATACCGGTATATTATTTGTTTATCTATCTCTTGTGATGGCTCAATACTGTTTCTTCATCATTTGAACGGAATACCGCTGGCTTTTCCTCAAATGACGTAGCAGCTACGATACCCCACTGCAACTCGTCTGAGGTTGTCACGTTTGCTTCAAATGTCCATAGAAACTCCGTATTGATGGCACGTCGGTCTTCAATACCGTGATTCGTTTCCGGTACAATCAACAAGTGTTCCGTACTATCGTATTGAACTTGAAGCGTTAGCCACTCACTTGTCACATTCTCATCTTCTTGCTCTCTTGTATATTCTACAGCTTTTAATGCTGCACTGTTGATACTAAGTTGCTCCAGCACAATGCGCTGTCCTTTCGTTTCTCTATGTATCATAGCTGAAGGCTTTTGAAGCAGTAATTCAAGACTCTCAGTAGTCGCCAATTGTTTTAAAAACTCTTTTGTCTCCTCAACGTCCTCTGCATAGAGTCTTTGCAACACGATATGAGCTGCTCGCTCTGCACCTTGTACAAACTCTGGTAAATTCACTTGCACGGACATTGGAAACTGGGACAGCACATACATGGAGCTACATGCTTCGTCTGAAGCCTCTGGTACAAAAATACGCGTCTTGCCACGAATGTAGCGTGCCAGGTCAGGCATGCCACGGAATACGCGGCTCAGGATGCCCAAGCCACGTAGTGACATATACTCGGGTTCAATATTAAACCAATTACGTGAGTTACTGGAGAAATAGCGGTAACCAGTGAAGTTGTGGCCTATGCAGCGACGCATGAAATACTGAGGAGGGCGTAACATTTTTGTCAAAACTGGTGAGTTTGTAGTCTGTTAAGACAAATGGTAATATATATCAATGGCGACAAAAGTAGATGCCTGGAAAACCGTAATTTTTGAAATTGATGTTCGTTTTCAATTAAATTTTGAAAAATATACCATAAACCGTATTATACTATCATTAGAGATGGCTTTGCTGTTCTTGGTGCTACTAGTGGGAATGCAAGCCTTAGTATCGATTGAGGCAAAATGTATAATGACTCAGACGTGTGTGAATCCGGACAATGTGCCTGACTATGATCAATGTATCCCTATAGCGCATAAACAACCTGTGGATCCGTTGCCTGTACGTTAAATATAAAAAAATACCGTACTCTAATTTAACGACCTGTAATGATTTGCGTTAATTGGCTAAAATAGATGACTGGAACAGGATGGCCAAGCGTTATCGGTGGTGGGAACTGTACTAGTGCAACCGATTGCAGTAATAAAGGACACTGTCGGAATCAGACGTGTATCTGTCGTCAAGATGGCCTAACTGCTGGTCCTCACTGTAATGAATTTGCTCTTCAATGTCCACTCTATCAAGCGAATGCATGCTGTTCATGGCAACAAAATCAAGCAATGGCAGAGAATTTTCAGCTCCTAAGCAGTATTTTTGCCAAGAATAAGGCAGGAGGGTGTGATGCTTGTGCTGTAAATCTCATGACTTTGTGGTGTGGTCTCATTTGTTCACCACTACAGGATCAATTTCTACGGATGAGTCATGCATGGCCGAGTATTAATTATCGTCCAGATCCAATGACAGGGAAGGAACAGGTGAAAGTCTTGGACTTAACGCTCTCATTAGAGAAAGACTTTACGTGTAAAGTCTTTGATTCATGTAAAAATACGGCAATGGCATCCATGGCTACAGCAATGAAGTCATCACTTGGATTTCTCAACTATCAAATGCAAGTTGGAGCTATTGGTCATGGGGAATACATTACAATGGAATTTCATGCAAATAAGGACAAGTCATTTCATGAGAACGTACTTGAATGCTCCAATTATTCACAAGTTGCTGAAAAACGTGAGACGTTACCGACACAAGCACAAATGCTGGAGTCCATTGCTTCCAAGTCGATGGATGACAAACAATGTCCGTGTGGAGCGTGTCGTGCAACGTGTGACACGCACACTGGTGGAAGTCACCACATTCACGTGGCTGACAACCCGATTTCAATGCTGGATGGCTTTAGTCCCAAGCTTGTTGCACTTGTTTACGGACTGCTTGTGATTTTGATAGTTGTGTGGAAAAGGCGAAAGAATTGATGAGCTTGGTATAAGCAAGCAGTTTCCGGTTCTCAGTTCAATGGCACTATCTTGTTGGTGCTAATGGACGTACAATTACATTTTCAACACAAATACGAAAGTACACATGCCTTTAATTGATATACAATGACGTGCTTAAACCAAGACAACAGCTCCGCGCTGTCGAGCCAATTCGACTGCCACTGCAACAGCATGTTCTCCCTGAGCTTCTTTCAACATTTCACAAAGTACAGAGCATTGGATTTCTAGACTTGCAACCAGCACCAGTAGATCATCAAGTGTCGAGTCCTTGCTGTTTTCAAACTCGATGGATCTCCCGGATGATGATCCATTCAAAGTAGAAAATGTGCCGTTTCTCACTTCACGGAAGCCCTCATTTGAATGACGAGATCCCAGCTCCTTCTCGAGCTCTTTCTTGAGACGTAAGCGCGCTACCTCGATTTCTAGCTCTTTTACTTCAGCCTTTGCCTTGCACTCAGCATCTTTCTTTTCGGACAAAACACGAGCTAGCTCCTCCTTTAGCTCACGCAGTGTTGTATCGTATTTATCCTTGTCACGCCGCGACTGGCTATCGTTTTCTGCCAAGAACGAGGCTTGCTTCACCTGGGATTCGCGCACCATCGCTACTGAATCTATATTAGCGACAGCAGCACGCAACTCCTTCACGTCATCGGATCGAGTAGACGCAAACTCTTTTAAACAACGATCCACAGTATTCACCTCCCATGATTCTTCCTTGCGAGGTGTATCAGTGCTTGGTAACACAATCTCAAGTAAAGCAGAACTCGCACGACGTGCTTGCTCAACTTCATGGATTCGTTGCCGTAGCACTTCTTGATCTTTCTCGTAGGCGGCGAGTGCCGCAGCTTCCAGTTCCTCAACACGGACCTCCAAACGTGCCTTCGCTTCAATCAGTCCGTCAACGATGTCTTTACGTTCGGCTTCACCAACTTGACCACATCTTGACAGTGCCTCTGCTAGCTGTACCTTCAACCGTTCATTATCATTCTTGACGAGTGCCAGATCTTCAGTAAGCGTCTCAAGCATATGCTTGCATTTTGCTAATTCTTCATCCTTACGCTTGCTTTCCACATCATGCTCCTCAAGCTGCTTCACAAGTCGTGCACTAGCAAGATCAGCTTCGCTTTCTTTACCAAGAACATGAGTTGCTGCCACATCTTTAAAGCTAGCAATCTCGCTACGTAATCGTCGGCTAGCCTCTCGCTCCGCATCTAGTTCAGCACGCAACGTAGTAAGCTGTGCTTGTAAAGTATCATACGGCACCGAAGAAGATTGCACGCATTCCGTCACTGGACTTGTATCATCAAGTTCCTGTTTCTCTCTTTGTTGATGTGCTGCTCCTAGCTGCACATAAGCCATCGCGAGCTCGTTCATGCGAGTCTCCATCTCATGCGCCGACTCTGACATGCTTCTGATCCTGTTCTCCATATATGCCTTTTCACGCTCAAGTTGCTCGCGTTGTGCAGCCAACTGCTCTACTAATGCTTTATCGGGACTCGTGTTTGTGATCAAAGTGTCGCTGTTCTGGCTTCCTTCATCTACCGCGCACTGCTTCAACTCTTTCACTTGACGTTGCAGATCAGAGATCTGTTTGTCTTGCATACGGATGAGGTCCTGATAAGCACCCATACCATTCGGAGCGCCAGAATCCACACTACTAGATACGTTGTCAGCTCCAGTATATATCGCAACGATACGCTTCTGGATCTGCTCCGCCATTTCACGGTAAAATATCGTGAAGCCTCGCTCGTAAAGCATAAACAAGTAATGAGCCCTGTCGCTACCATTCGGTCCTTTGACAGCAGCAACGATGTCAATAGTATCGTATGTAGCACGATAGGTCAGCAGAGTTCGCGAACTCTGTGTTGCACTGGCTCGAGCACATGCTAGCATTGCAGGAGTTTGTTGACACTGAATCAAGGCGTCCGTGAAGCAATCAAGGCCCACGCGTTTGCTGATCATCTGTAAAAGCTGATCCCGAGTCATCTCTGATCCCAAATTTTCCTCAAGCACTGCAGCTGGCACTGCGGTATTTGCAGCTATCAAGGCTTGCTCTTCTTCATCTCCACACAAAAATTCTAAGCAACACCCCAGCAGCAGTGCACCAAGGCCTCGCAACTGCTTCGTCTCAGCAGCACTTCGGGATGATGACGAGCTTTGCTTGGCTGAAAGGATGTCTACGAGCACCGATAAATTTGTCACGGACCCTACTATTTCGCGAACAGCCTTAGGACAGTCATGACACCAACGAATCAGGAGCAACAATACCGACAAGTTGGCTTGGAAAACAATAGACTGAACATCAGGATCCAACTCTTCATCCAATCTAATCTGCAACATTCGAATGCACCGCGACAGGAAAAGACCACCGGCAACTGCACGAGCCTGCGGATCGCCGTACTCTGCTGGCAATCGTAGAGCAAGTTCTTTGCAATACGAACTATCCGTTAACAGCCTTGTCAGACGGTGACTGGCTTTCCAAGCCATTGTTAGCTTCGAATTCAACGTCTCAACGTCGCTATTCTTGCTGCATTGTGTGATAAAGTCAGTGTTGACAACAAATGCATCAAGTAGCACTCGGCCGGCTGAGAAAGAGCTGGAAGGAGATTCGTAGCTACTGCCTTCGTCGTCCCTTTCGAATGGCGGTGGGGGTTGTATCTGGATATGCTGAAGTACAGCCATACGCGCACCTTCATTTTCTTCAAATAATTCATCCAACAGAGTCGATGCTGCAGCAGCTACAGGAGACTCGTTATTCTCAATGCCTACGTCAAGACCCATAAGCTCTGCAAGAACATTACGCCCTGATGGTGACGCGTAGAGATTCACTAAAATCATCTGAGCACCACCATTGTGTTCACTCACCCTTCGTAGCAAATCAAGTGCCTGAAGTCGCAAATCTATGAGTGCATCACTACGACAGCAAACGAGCTCACCGATAGCACCCATGAGCGCCTCTTGTCGAGCCACAAGACATTGTATCCTCGCAAGGTCTTTACTTTTTCGAGTACGATCTCGCTTTGCCATTTCATCCAAGGACTCTTCGTTGGTATTTTCATAAAGTTCTGCCACGAGAAACCGGACAAGTTGCAAACCAAGTGTCACGACACGCTTTCTTCTTTCAAATCTGACCGTATCATTCTCCATGTTTCCTCCATGAATTCCAGATACTCTCAATATCCTCGATACGTGTGTCTCCATGTACGGCATTTCTAGAAAAAGTGTCTGCGTCATGAGATTATCTCGTAACATCTTGTTAATAATCTCAAGACAATCTCCAAAGACAACAGAACTCGTATCACTTATCTCCTCCGTCTCCATGAATCCTTCCGTCTCCATAATATGAAATAATTTCACAAAGCCTTCTTCAAAAGCTAAAAATTGTTGCACATTCTTCTCTTGTCCAGTTAATTGTCCAAGAATGACTAACGCAGTATCTCGAATATGTTCTCGTCGATCTTCCACCACTTGTAATAACCGTCGAAGTCCTTCTTTACACTCTAGAATCGATGTAGCAAATGCACTTGGTTGAGCATCTTGTAACGCTTTTACAAGACCAATGGTCGGACCTTTAATCCATGGTGAAGGGTCTTCAAGTAACGTGAGACAAGTTTCCATCCCCCAAGTAGCAACATGAGGTGGTGGTGGTGGTAGTTGAAGAAAGAAAAAGGCCACGGATGGCGCCCGGCTCACGAGCACCTGCAGAAATTCCAACATGGTTTCCATTAATTCCGTATCTCTTGGATCTGAGACTAAAGCTTCTAATATAACAGGTACAATCAGTGGACCAAGTGATTGCTCTTCAACTGTATTCTCTCGCTCATTACGTTCTTGTAGTATCTTGATATCCAGCTGTTGCACGAACGATTGAAGAGCACTCATTGCCTTTTTACGCTCGACTAATAGTGTTGCAAATTGCAAACGTTCGACGGCCACAGTGAGTTCGGCTTTGACTTTGACACTATGAGATGTCATATGAGAGATAAAAGATGATGTTGGAGAGGATAGAGAAGGTTTCGACGCGGAAGACGAAGAAGACGAAGAAGAGGAAGAAATGAAAGAAGGATCAATAATAGAGACAGTAGTTGTATTCGGCGTAGGAGAGAGCGTCGAAGGAGCCTCAAGCTCAGCTGGAGCGACTACAATACGATGCACACGACTGAGTACCGCCTGCATCAACAATGACCTATAATAGAGAATACAGTGGTTATGTTGTAGATTCTGTTATATGGTGTCGTTATATTTGCAGTGTAACTTTATTAAAACTACAAAACTAGCCAAAGAAAAGGAAGAATCAGGATGATAAAAATGGTGTGTGGAACATCATGTCGACTGCGAGTCTGTTTCTATTTCGATTCCTATCTTTATCTGCGTTTTCACCCCATAACTATGGCTACAGTCTCATTTCTATTTGAGAAATAGAAACGCGACTCAGAATCTTTTTTTTCTTTCTCATTTGCAAACTAATAAAAACCCAAAAATGCCACTGGACGTGGTCATTAAAGTGCCGTCTTCCTGTGCTGATCCTGCGCCTTTAGAAACGTCTACGCTCGTGCTTCTCCATCACAATGGTCACTTTCGTATTCTTGAGCGTACTCTGCGTGATTTTTTACATCTGGAGCGTCAATTACAGCTCGAATCTCAAGCCAAAACGTTCTTTTCAGACTCTGCGTCCATATCTTCATCCTTTGAAGCTTATTGTGATGCAAAACGGAGCTTTTATCCATCCAATCAGCATGGAATTCGATTGGCAATTACACTGGAGACATTCTTAAGCCGTTTAACGTTAAACTCCGAGCTTTTAACGACGTCTCTTGCTCTGAAAACGTTTTTCGATGGAAATTTATTGACAAGTCATAAGACTACAGGACGGAGCTATAGAGACACAGTGGAGGCTGCAATGGGGTCAGAGGAGAAGGATATGGAGCTAGGGAAGGAGAGAGTAGCTGCTGGCTGCTCCATGGAACGGCACATTGCTGTGAACGTAGAAGAAGAGAAGCAGCAAGTTGTGCTCTGGAAGTTTGTATCACAAGGCACAGGATTAGTCTTTAGTGCTTTGTTTTCAAATGAAGATGAAGGAAAGTGTGTGGAGATGGATCCGTACAGTGTCAGTAATGACAATGTGGTGGAGAAGAAGGCAAATGAGATTGAGGTGGCACACTACAAGACTGACTGTACCTTTAAGACGGAGGATGGTGATGTATATGGACACTATGTAGCTAAAAAGAATGGGGTGGTGACACTATTATGGGAGAATCTAGACATGGACAGTGTGATATCCAAGTCATTACAGTTTCAGGCTACAGTTGTATCGCTCAGTGCTGCGGAAAAGATCTTGGAAGTTGCAAACGCTTTAAAAACTGTTGATACACCTGAGTGGTTGCATGAATATGTGGACATGTCGGAGATTACGGCAGTAGAGGATCTTGTAGGGTGGGAGTATAACGAAATTGGAGAGGTTGTTGATGAACATGAAGCACATGACGATGACCATGCGGGCAGAGATCGTGATGTCGAGTCACAAATACAGTCTGCTGTGCTGGAAGAATGCAATCACGAGCTTGAGGCGCAAGTGGTAAGTTTCTGTTTTTTTGCTGGGTAATGGACGTGTATTGATTATAAACAAATGTATGTGTAGGCCCGTCTTGAAGAAAATCTGACGACCACGAAGAAGGAACTCAAGAACGCACTAGACCGCGTGCACATTGCTGAGGAGATTTACAAAGCCAATTTGGAGACTATTACGCAACTTGAATGTGGAACCGTGAATGGCACCGCGCCAAAGTCATGGAGGGTCCCAACGGCATTGCCTGCTGGGTCCCATTCTGAGACACTTGATCTCAATAGTACTCAGACGGAAGAAACGCCCTCGAGTGAACTGGAGCGTATGCAACAACTATGCGCTGGTTTTCAAGAGCAGTGTCTTTGGCGGTCCGTGGAGAACATGGAGCTTGAGGCACAGCTTGCAGCGTCACAAGTCGAGGCGTCATCGTGGCGACAAAGACACGTTGAGCAAGCTGCACAAGTGGAAGAGTTGGAGAAACAAAATTGCATTTTGCGCAAGCACAAGAAGATTCTAGTGCAAGAGGTGAAGCGTTTGCAGCCGTATTCACACGTAAATCTAGCAGCATTAGTGCAGGAAGCACAGGAAGCTCGGATGGTACAACGCAGTCTTCAGGCTCAATTGGATTCCCATGAACTCCTCAAGAGCGAGATCAAAGTCGATACAAGTCCAATCGAGTCAGAACCTGCGGACTTTGTTCTTGTTGAGGCTTCTGACGATGAGAACGTCTTTGAATAAACTTGGTGAGTTTGTTTGGTTACAATTCCTTTCGATGCTCATAATACTAATAGTAATACAACGACGGACGGACGAGTCCGTGTCATTGTTACAACGTTTGTCAAATTGTACGTTTATCTCCCCCATTATTAGAAATGGTGGTATGAAAAAGTCCCAGGTTTTTTTCTTTTAACCCGATTCAGTCTTTATTATTTTCCAGTCAAAGTAGCAAAAAAACCTTCTGGGTCTTCTTCTGCGTAACATCGTGTTACTTCACTACCAAGGACGACGGCAAGCTCCGTCACGGAGCATGGAGCTACGAGTAGAAGAATTAGCATTGCTCTTTCTAAGTGCAATGGTCTTAGCATTAATAATCTTGTGGGTCTATCGTCTTGTACAATACCGTAAAGCTGTTGACCGATCACAAGCACGTTGGGTGGCATATGAACCATCAACTGTTCTTACGGAGAATGAAATGGGACTTGATTGGCCAAGTTTAAAACCCATTCTCTTATCACCCATACCTGAAGAGCGTCATGAGAGTGGACGTGTACGTAATAATAGTAGTTGAATCCCTCTTTTCTTGATCTGAAAAACCCGTTTGTGTGTTTTTTTTAATTTTTGGGTTTTTTACAATGGTTTTTTTGTGTTTTATGTGTATGTTTTTGGGTTTTTGGTTTAGGATTCGGAAAATGATTCCATCATATCCACACGTCGAGATTCCATGTGTTTAAGTACACTTTCTGTCATTGCTTGTACGTGAGAAAGTGTTTTGAATGTGTTTTTAGATCATCTATCGGACGATAAATCGAGAGTTGTACTGGGTTTTATTCATTTTTTGGGATACATTGATTTTGTGTATAGATGGAAGCTTTGATCATCCAGTGGTGAAAAAGACAAAGGTGTAAAAGAAAAGGGAGAGAGCAGAGAGAGTCGAGGGCTTGGAATTTTGTGCAGAATGAAGTGAATTCGATTGGTTGGTTGGGAACGACGTGTGGTCCTGCCTCGTCTACGACGATGCGGCGTTAACAGTGGAATCAGGAAGATTGGTGCAGTTTTTTTTAGAGACAAGTGGATTCAAGTGAGAGAGAGTGAGAGACATCTTGGTGGATTGTTTGCCGATTTTGGTTATTTGTGTGTTGGTGCTGCTTAGTGTGGATTGATTCGAGCAGACGTTATGGAAAAAAGAAAAAGAACGAGTAGTATTGCAACACGTGACGCCCGTTAGATAACGACAAGAGCGACTTGGTTTTTACATTCAACACTAGACGCGAATGAATCCAGTCACGAGAATATTTATTGTACAAAAGGATGGCTGAAATTCCACTGCCTCATGTTTTGGAGTCAAGACACTTGACAAATGTACATCACACTATGTCTCAGCTCTTGGTTTCTGTCTCTTGTTGGATAAAAACACACAAGTAAATGATGATTGACGTATACGTACTGCTCAATGCCACGTATGTGCATTACTTATGTGGATTAAGCATGTTCCCTGTGGATTAAGCATGTTCGTTTTTCCTAACAAAGAACTAATGTGTGTGTCTAGACTCTCGTGGCCTGAGCATGTTTTCATCTAGTGACGTGACGAGTGCATCATCAGATGTTCTGGTGAAACTTGAACCAGACCTTCGGATATCTGTCTCTGCTGGAGGTGTGGCCAGCGGAGTTACAAATTGGTTCGCTTCGAAGAGAAACTGGTTCAGGTCCACTGCCTTAGTCACGTATTCAAACACGTCACGCGTGACGTCATCCATTTCCTCAACGTCAAAACCTGTCCGCATCGGCTTCTTTTCAGTAGAATCGATTGCAGGCTCAAAAACGTTGTAGGATCCGTCGGGATGGAAAATGTACTTGAGCTTTTCAGTGCGCACACCCTTGCTCATACCGTCGAACGGATTGCACAATACCACACGGCGCTCCTGGGGACTTTCCCTAGCTTCAGTTGCCACAGCTTCAGCCTCCATGTCGTTTAGCTTTCCATCCTTCTCCTTCGGAGTCTTGACTGGCAGCACCTGCGCTTCTTCTTGAGCCTCCGATTCATATCGACGACGCTTCATAGAGTGGCCATAGCCGTGCTGGTAGAGTGGCTCGTCTGGAGTAACACCAAGAATGTCGGCAATGGTGGCCATAAGGTCAGATTGCATTGACAACTGGTCTACCACAGTTCCCTTGTCCTCGTCACGAATAAAGTCATCGGCAAGCAAAAGGAATGGCACTCGAGAAGCTTCATCCCACAAACCCGATTCTGCAACGGACGGGTTGTTGTTATGTTCTAGACGACCATAGCCATGGTCTCCCTCAATAATCACAATTGTATTCTTCATCAGCCCCTTTGCACGCAGCGCTGCAACAAAGTTGCCTAGCATCTCATCAGAAAAACGCATCGAGTCCAAATACTTTTTGTTGTAGCGCGTGTACAGTCCTGACAAGTCCGGCGCATCATAGTCATTCGGTAGCGCCCATGGATTGTGGCTCGTAATACTGTACATGTCGATAAAGTACGGCGTCTGCAGCCCTTCCCAACCGGGAAGCGGTGACTTTGTGGGCGTGGCAGATAACAGTGTGGACGGATTTTGGCTTGACTTCTTCAAAGTGGACATCCCGCTTCTTGTAAAGTTGACACCATAAGAGTCTTTGCCCTTGACTCTAGCCTCCGTCATATTCCCAATCTCAGTCGTGTTCACAGACGTCGTATCGTCGGTGTCAATGTCTACCGCTAATGCTTTTGTAGCATCAATGGCATTCCCACTAGCATTGTGAGCCGATTCGATGGCGTACAATAGCATCTCGAAGGACAAATGGTCGTGCATGCCCCAAGAAAAATGGTCGTCAGGCGTGTTCTCGTAGTTGCGCGTCTCGTGCAGCATCTTGCGGACCTTACGATCATCCACAAGCTTGTCAAAACCATTTTTCAGCAGAAACTTATCCCAGTACTCCCATGTGAGGTCAACGGCGCTCCAGAAAAGGTTGAAGTAGCCCCGCTGCTTCAAAAAGTGTGGAAGGCCGCGCAAATTTAGCGTCGTACTGTACTGCTTGAGCGCAGAAGTCTCCGTGCAGGACGGTAACATGCCAAATAGCGTCGTCAAGAGCGTGCGCGAAGTTTGGACGCACTGCGTGTAGTGCTTGCTGTAAAGCACACCTGTCTTCGCCAGCTCGTCGAATTGAGGCGTCGCGCTTTTTCCAAAATGCCTCTTCTTGGCAGCACCACCAAGGACACCAACGTCCAAATGTCTCCAGGATTCCATATTGAGTACAATGATGTTGGGTTGAACGCTAATACCTTTTGCTGCTGCTGTTGATCCGTTGCTAGCATCGGCTGTTGCCTTCGCTGCTACAGTCATGGGGATTGTTACATTGAGATCGAGTTCAAATAAGTTGTCACCTTCGTAACCAATTGTCTTGCGCCACATCAGCGCGCAATGGTCATCATTTCCCAATCCATCCAGCCCGTACTTCTCACTAACACCCAGAGTCGATCGCAATGCGTTGCTAGCTACTGTACAGTTGATCTCTTCGCGATGGATCTTCGTGGGACGATTGAAAAATTGCTCCGATTGCAACGTAAACATAGCATTGTTCATCAGCTTCATATCCACACCACCCCTTCCATCAATAAGTAGTGATGCTGACAAAGCAGCACCAGTCATTAACAAACTAGCAAGAATGCACCAACCCAGTACTGTCAATGGTCCAGATTTCGTGTACAAATTATAGCTTGGAGAAAACAAGGATGATGCGCCTGCAGCTAACACCGTCGCATGCCCACTAGTACACCCGCTTCCACTTTCGCTCGGCAAACGACTAGAATTCTGGTTGCTGCGTCTTCGTGATCGAATCGGTTCTCCTATACGATGCCAATATGACGTAAATAAGTTGGTAACGTACGAATCCGATGTCGTCACCATGGCTGGGTTTGTCGATGCCATCGAGTTCTTCCGTGTGCTGTATCGTCGACTAACACAAGAGCAAAGTGCATTCGGTACTTGTAAAAAATCTGATGCCAATGGTAATTGACCCGTATAGAATCCATACGTCAATGCACCAATGAGTGCAAAATATACAAGCCATGATCCTACAACCGTTCGTGTCATGACTTCTTCATCCGTCAATGACGCTGTAAATTGTTTCATATAATTAAAAAAAATCTCAACAAACGCACGATTTAATCGTGGATGCATTGTCACTTGTAAACAAAAATCTGCTACACTTGCAATCGTTGCTAGAACGAGAATCAATTGCAATAACGTGAGAATCAGAAGTGCATACAGCATTTGTTTCATTCGTGCTCCAAAGTTTATTCGTGGTCGAGCACTTGTCATACGTAAACTCAGTAATGTCTCATGATGACGTGAATTCACTCCTAATGCAACTGCTTCCATTCCTTCATGTCGGAATTCGTATTCAGGTGCTCGAATTGGCATATAAACTGATAAAAACGTGGTTTTTGGACATTCTTCTCGTATCACTCCACTTGTGACAAACGTTGACATTGTATTGCTTCTCTCAAGTCCATTATATGTCAAGTGATCAGCATCAAATAATACTTTAACAAGACAAATACACGTTGATGCTTGTAAGAAAATGGCTACATCTTGCATCCATCCAATAATTAGACCTTGTAGAATGTTTAGAATGCTAAATCGATGGACAAAACGTCTAAAATTTAAAACACGTCCTAAAATTGGTAATCCAAAAAAAGTATAGACAAGAAGAGCGAGCCAGATAATTTGATACAAATTTTGAAAGGTCAAAAATACATACTGACCTCCTCTTGACCAATATTTCGGACGATCATACATGGATGGATTAGTAGTAAAATTCAACCCCATCGAGTGTTTCATACCTTTTATCACATTATTGTGGTCTCGTGTTGGAAAGAGACTTTTATTACGACGAGAGATCATGAATATTACAAAATGATGAACGAGCTGGTCACTTTGGTGATAATAGAGCGAGAGACAGAAGGGGTGACACGTACAGGTGGTTCGATTATACACAAGTACGAAGGAATGGATCGATTTGACACCTGTTCACTCTCTGCCGACCCTCGGTGGTACTGCAAAAAGAGACTGTACTTATTTCTAGATAGTGCAACGGATTGGACGAAAGTGGGACGTGATGGTCCGTTTTTTGTCACATGTGGTATGATAAAGTTCTGAGCCAGCAAACTATGATTCGTCATATGTAGCCATGTATGTTAGACCAATGCCGCCAAGTACATGAATGGTTGCAAACACGGCTGTAAAGCAAACTGCTGTGTAGAATTATATAGAGATGAATTGTTTAGTTTTGTGTAGATCGTGCCTACCAATCAAAGAATTTTGATCCTGTACATGCTGTTCAAAAGTGTTTGAATAAGAACAGGTAGGCTAAGAATCGTTAATGCGCCTTTCCTTGCAATCAATCAGCTACTGTACCCGACTGTAACCTTGTCTTGTCATTGGTGGAAAAGTGACCGTCTAGCGTTTTGTCTTAACAAATGGACAACGTAGATATACTATTTTCATTGGCCAAAACTATTGGTTATAAAAGCCCCACATGATTGTTTTCAACCAACCATGTTGTGATTCATTTTATTAAGATGACTCGGATGCAGGCCTTCCTCCCGGCTCCATTATTACGTTCTGTGCAGCATTTGAGTGTATCTGACCAAGGTGAAACTATAGACGATACTATTAACTATTCTATACTATATCAAGGTGCTATATTAGGTACACAGAGGCTTATAAAATCCAGTGAAGACAATGTCAACGTTTTGCAACAAATCGCAGTTTGGGGACTCTTGCGTCGGTCTATAGATGACGTTAATGGCCGATCCTTTGATCAATATTTACCAGGAGGAATTGAGCGTATTGGAGTCTTTATAGTCGTATGTAAAGACGCTGTAAAAGACGAGAAAGAGCTTAGTACGTGGCAATGGAGAGACAGAACTAATGACATTGTACACTAAATTTGAATTGTTATTGTTATAATAAGCAGAAGTGCTGGCTGTTCAAGCATTTGAAGACGATAAGGATAATGACGAGATTGTACTAGTGTATGAGGTGAAGACACAGATGCTGAGGATGTTTCAATGCAAAAATGGGAATGCGGCGACGGTGGAGATCGAAGTCGTACAATGTCTTCATGCTCAAGGCTTCCATCGAGCAATTGGATTTGCTCTTGTACGTTGTGCAGTAGATCTACATGTATTTGGAGAAAAGAGCGTATTGCTACATGAGTTGGAAAGGTATAAGGCTGCTACGCGTGATGTTGAAAACTTCTACGTACGTGCAAGAATCAATCATAGCAAGAAAGGTCAGCGATTTTGTGTATTGAATGGTCGTGGAGAAGATGCCATGTCTACTGATGCCAAGCCGATGCTTTTGAAGTCGATTTTGCCCGAATGTGATGCCAGGAAGGATGCAGGAGAGATCAAAAGAAAGAAGACGAATGGTAAGAAGCAAAAGAACGACAAGATGAAGACACCATTTCGTCAAGAAGTAAAAAAAGATGAGAAAATGGGGATCTTACCATCGTTGGAATACGGCGATATTGCAACCATTGATTTGCTGGTCAGTCTTGGGCCAGTGGAGGACTCTGCTGTTGTTGTTGCACCCGTGGTTACGATTCCAACGTCGTCTGCGTGCCCTATCCATCGCTTTAGCGTGTACTGCGATGCCTTAGTGGTGGTACCTGTGGATTCATTCGTTGTTACGATGCTAGCACTGCTTCGGAACCAGCTTCATCACCAGCTATTGGAGATATCGAACCAACTCGAGGATGCACCGAAGGCAGTGAGTTGTTTATCAATGCATCAGTTCCCACTAGTTGGAGCAGCATTCCCTTTGACCGTTGTTGCGAGTTCGACTAAGCCGGACTTTAGCAGTGACGATAGCATGGAAGACGCAAAATCATTTGAAAGTTTGCACCGGGCATTCCTCCAGCCTATGAATCAGTCTCTATTCAGGCTATCTCGTGGTTGTTCGCTAGCTCAACAAGGAGAATGGCTTGCATCAAGTGACGTGCTGTACAATGTACACGAAGGTATTCCGAGTTCCGGTACGGGATCCAAGTGTGAATCAGCTTTGGTGAGTGGTTTTTATGGCTACTATCATTATCTCCAGCAGGGCGTGAATGACAAAGGCTGGGGCTGTGCATATCGCTCTTTGCAGACATTGGCATCTTGGTTGTTTATACAACACTACACACAACAGCGTTTTCTGTTGCATGAGCAAATTCAAAGTGCGCTTGTGAAGATAGGCGACAAACCAGCAAGTTTCTATGGATCAACAGAGTGGATTGGCAGTCTTGAAGTTGGTTATGTGCTAGACGAGCTGTTTGGCGTACCATTCCGATCTCTGAGTGTGTCAAGCAGTTCCCAATTGCCTGATGTCGCGCGCGAGTTATTGTATCACTTTCGAACGCAGGGAACTCCTGTCATGATGGGCGGTGGCCAGTTGGCATTCACATTATTAGGCGTGGACTATGATCCCGATGGAGGAGTGTGCGCTTTCCTCATACTAGACCCACACTACACGGGTGATGAGGACCTGGTCACAATTCAAAACAAGACTATGATGCTAGAAAACTACAAGGCCGTGCCGTGTAGTTGGCGCAAGACTACAACCTTTGCTAAGAACTGTTTCTATAATTTCTGTCTACCACAACGCCCAAGTGTTGGCATATAAATGCATATGGAGAAAGGAAGGTCAAATGGATCGGCTCGTACAGCTACAACAGTTGTTTTATTTTCCCTTGATTTTTTTCTGCAAAGCTGATGAATAAAGTGGAACAAAGATACGTTCACTCAATCGTGGACCTCATCATTGGCGGTCTCGCTGTTTGTAGTGTCTTCTTGGTGGCTATGGACATGTCGAGGCAGTATACTGAAAGTTCGAGCACACTTGAATAAAAATAGATAGAGCTCCTGCACGACTTGATTGTTTTTGTGACAACGGAGACAAGTCTCCTTTGATGGTTTGTCATGTCTTTTGCTTTTTCTCGTCTTGATCATCCTGGTGTTGATGCACACTGTCTGTTGTGTGTTTGCTGCAATACTATGCCGTCAGTGCCTCGTGCTGCCGCGTCTGTTGGAGACAGCTGATGCTGCTACTGCCGAGGCCTGAGCAATTGCACGCAAGTTGGTTGACCCCGCACTGTTCGCCGAGTTGGTCATTATCTGCGCTAGAATGTCAACCTGATTCTTCTTGTTAACCTTCTTCATGATCGCCTTGGTGTTGTCCATCAACGACCCAATGAGACGAGGTGCACCACGGGACGCTTGCTTCGCAAAGCGCAGCAAATTCACCCATAGTTCAGCCTCTTCCGGCAACTTTGAGCGCATGAGCATCATTGAAGGGGCATTCGCACCCGTGTTGTGAAATTCAATACGAAAGTCACCTTGGCTCATTTTCTCAATGTGTGCGACATTGCGAAGGTCCACAACACCACGTGGACTCTTCCAATAGCTACGTTTGTACATGAGCACAACACCTGCTTGGAAATCCAAGTAAAACCAGCGTTTATGCCAACTGCGCATCAAAAATGGGATCGTATCTTTGAGTAAATTCACATACCCGCAGTATGGCGGTAGTTCCAGATCCACCTGAGGTATGGCCATTGGTACCTCAGGTCGTTGGGTCTGACGTAGCACAGGACTGGGACTGTGAACAGCAAGAGACTCTTCATCATCAGACGATTGCATAAACAACTGCTGCAACTGACTCTTCTCGGAGCGAATAACCGTTATTGCTTGTACCAGTACCACCTGATCACGCTCAAGTTCAGCAAGTTCGTCATCATCTAATTCCAGACTCTTGGCTTTCAGTCGATCTTCTCGTTCCATTTCCCATAGTGTATGCTCATCTACTTCATTTCCATCATCATCCAAGAGCATAAACCTGCCCGAATGACTACATTCACGACGTAATAGCGAGCGTGAACTCATAATTTCTTGGTTTGATCCAAATGGATAAACAGCTGGACTTGAAGTAGTTGTACTATGTACCATTAAGTGTTTAGCAGTCATGTCGTTGGCATCTTCTTTTTCAAGCCAAAATTCATCCCCAAGTCCAAAATTTTGTCGAAACATAGCGACGGTATTAGCATCTGTGATATCATAATATCCATGGGATTCAAAAAAGTGGACACCATCCTCTGTATTTCCTTGATAAATCGCCTGTAAATGTAGCTCAAAGGGTGAATTTTTCTCACGATTTTCTTCCTGACGAGTAAACAACGTAGCAAAGGACGCCAGTTCGGGTTCAATATTATTGTCACTTCGCTGTTTCTTGGTCAAATGTTCCACATGTTCATAGTAATCATCCTTATGATCTTCCATGACTGAGAGTTTACGTGTTTTCTTCTTTGCCTGGCCCATTGGCTTGGTATAATACGGCAACGACATCATTCGTTCACCACGATGATTTAACATTGCAATAGGCTCAGGACGCTGAGCCATCATTAACATCATGATTCAGATATTATCCAGATAGAATGGACCAAAAAATATCCGGATACTTCTGAAGTAATCGCTTAATGTCCACTTCGCCCTTTTCCTTTTGAAGTGCGAAGACAAGTTGGAGAGAGAGGGGAGAGGAGAGAGAGGGGGGGACACAAAGTTGACAACAATGGAACCCTTTGAAACTGACGTTGCGTATGTCTCAAGTGCTCTCAGTTAAAAGAGTGAGTGAACAATTGTGTAATCACAGACAAGATGAAGAAGAAGATCAAGTAGGAACACTTTAACAATGGCGTTTTGCCCTGCTCCTTCCGCTCTTCTTCCGCCTCTGCGCTTTCCCCACTGCGGAACAACAAAAGAGGCGAAAGCGCCAGGGCAGCCCTGCGAAAATCAGTCGAAAAGACCCTAATGTAGCAACTTGTAATACAGAACTTTCGAGTCTTAGGTTTGTACGCACCAGAGTTTGACCTGTTGTACTTATACAATCCATTACCTCTGGCTTGACAACAAGCAGAAGTGGTTGCTTGTTTAGAACAGGGCTAGGGTATGCTGACTACACGAACGAAAATAATCGTGCGTCATTGGTAACCAACCTAGGTATGATCTTATATGTATACCTGTATATGTACAGATTGACTCCTAATATTGACAAGAAAACTGCATTTGCTGGCGCTATTAACGCATTATAAAGTTGTGTATAGATAGTAAGTACTAAGATGCATCTACTGGCTATGGCACCCATGTCTTCAGATCGTCATATTGAAAGGACCAGCTGCGTCGGCATCACGAATAACAGCTGGCGTATCAATGCGACGTGAAGCGATGGGCGCACGCCACTGGCAGTTAGGAAGCAGACGAACGAGCTGTATCGTAAAACGAAACTTTAGAAGGTCGTCTGCCGTTGAAGTTTTTACTAGGCTTGCATGCAAGTTAACTACCTCCGTACGTTGCACAACCTTATAGTATCGATGTAATGAACCTGTTGTCCGACTAAAGCTTTTGTTATTCTAATACTATCACACTACAATGACGAACGTGATAGAAATTCAATGAAAGGGCACTACAGCAACATATTTTCATGACAAACACATGCTGTTTACTTTTACTTGCAGATATTATTGTAACACACTTGTGTGACTGCTTTTCAGTATGTCTGCGAATGTACGAATCAAACATTGTTAGCCGGCCAGACGGCTTCAGGATTGACCGAAACACTGACAGGTAGTAAGTAGCAAAACAAGAAAGAGTTGGAACGTAAGCTAAGCTGTATAGTTAGTTTTAGTACGACTCTTTAGTTCACGCCGCCACTCAAAGTCGATCGAAGACCAGTAGAATGTAGACAATAGAGTACGAGATTGGCCAAATGCAAGATAGATTCTATCCTTTCCATTGGCTCTAGGAGTTTGCCACCGTCGTCCCCAACATGTAAACAACAAGGTGTTAATTCTTGTCGTTAATATTGTGAGCGTGATTTCATCCGTTACGATTATACAAAAACACTGCTGCACGCAAGTGGAGTTAGCACCGCTGAATAGTATAACACTTGTCAGTCGTGATGAAATCGTTTCAAGGATCGTATCTAGTTTAATATTCTGTTAATTTAAACAATGAGGAACATTGTTGTGAATCCAACTTGTTTTCAATAACGTCAAACGACAGGCGGGGTGTTGTTTGACGCGTTTCGTAAGTGACGTCTGAGAAAAACATTTCAGTCCGCAAGAATAAACGGGTTTTTGCTTCGGCTGGATTTGATGCCGGTGCAGTCCATTGCCTAATCTACACAGGGCCATGTCTGAATAAAGTTCGCCGCAAACGTCCAATATTTTCTCAGCTCAATCCAAGCGGCTTAGGTTCATAGAAGCGTTGGCGTCAAGAGTCACTACTTGTAAGAAATAGCCCATTACTTGCCAAGTGCTTTCTGATAAGAGTTGCTGGTCAGCTCTGACTGGTGGTAGGGCCGCGAGAATGATCCTAGCTAAGCTTGCAAGCACTTTCCTATATCAAATGTAGAATGAGAATGCAAAAACATTGCTGGTGCAATATCAACGTGGTGGATGACCACAATAAGATGTAGTAAGAATGTCTGCATCGCAGCGTGCTTTACAACGAGCTGCTGAAAAAGTTCAAGTATACCAATTTGATATAGCTGTGTATATCACGAATCGACAACGTCTTGCGTGTACATTGTCTAGTCTATCTTCAATCAATACAAATACATATATGTATACAAGAACCTCTAAAGCAGAAGGAGTTATTGGACGACGAGCTTAACTTGCTTCATCACACACGTCACAGCTTTGGTTGCGTGCGTCACTCAGAATCAGATCCACAATACCCGTCAAATCCGCTTATCATATTTGCAATTACTCCTTATAAAATTCCATTTCGAGAATTTTTATCAGTCGAGTTGGGAATTTATTTGGTAAATTACAACAAGTTGAAAACAAAAGGGAAACTATAGACCAGAGAAGAGCTACAGACAGCCACAAGACTGAGACTTAAAGCCATGTCAGAGCGTAAAGCAGTAATCAAGAACGCAGACATGCACGAGGATATGCAACAAGATGCTGTGGATTGTGCTAGTCAAGCGCTGGAGAAGTACAATATTGAAAAAGACATTGCCGCTTTCATCAAGAAGGAGTTTGACAAGAAGTACAACCCGACGTGGCACTGCATTGTTGGGCGCAACTTTGGGTCATACGTGACGCACGAGACAAAGCACTTCATCTACTTTTACCTGGGTCAGGTAGCTATTCTACTCTTTAAATCTGGTTAAATTCGAGGTCGTTGCTACCTCTCTCTCTCTTAACCAACAGATGCAACGCACAGGCGGATATACTAATAAATATATTGAAGTGGTAGACGCCAATGAACGCGCGTTGCAGATACAAAAGTCGAGTGTTGATATTTTACCGATGTTCTACGCGTGTGGCGTGTTATTTTCGCATATTTTATAACAGATAACCAATAACAGGTGACAATCGTGAAATAACTGAAACCTAGTTATATCGATATCATTCTACATCATGGTGCACTTCTCCTGGTCGCCACTAGCAGCGACACTGCCTGTATGTGCAGTCTCAGCATGTTTAATAAGTGCAGACAAAGTTGGAAACACAGCACGGCATTGTGGACACATTTCGCTATCAGGAGACACTACAGTAGATGCAGTCGTCGGCACCGTAGCATGAGATGAAACAGCAGAAGCTGAAGCAGTTTCCTGAGTCCAATAAGTCAGAAGGGTGTGCCCGATTCACATGTGCAATAAGTTGACTCACGTAGTTGAACTGCTTGTGACACATGGGACACGTTTCAGAGTTTGTCGTCATTGCGCATTTTACAGCCTTGGTATTCTGTACCAAGGATAATACAGCCGACTTGGTCCCATTTACAATGGAAGCAGCAGCCTTTTGTGCATTCTTGGGAAATGGAGACGATTGCTTTGCAAGAGAGCCGCTTGATTTCCTGGACGTGATATCTCCAAGCCACTGCTGTTTATGAGCCTTTTGTGTGCTCTCACAACCATGATCAGCCTCAAATCGGTGCTTTAAACACACGTCTTGACTACATTTTCTACAATGAAATTGATTTGACGTGAGCAAAACTTCTCGACAGCCTTCAGCAAGACAACGTTTCTTCTTGGGTTTCTTCTGCTGTTGCTTCAGTTGCTGCTGTTTAAACTTCTCACGAGTACACTGACCAATACGAACGTGTTCTTCCCATACAATATTAACATCTTGTTCTGCAGTCCAGTGAATCAATTGCTTGCACACTGGGCATTGAACTACACGCTGGTCATGACTACCAGCCCTGGGACACTCATGGGAGTTATAGCTACGATGTTCAAGACAAAAGACACCATTGCAGCAATCACATGTAAATGGTAAGAAATCCTGCTGGTGACAAGCCGGTACAGAGCAATGTGCACCAATATCCATTAGTTTGACTACTAAAGAGCAGACTAGAGTCTTTTTCAAGGCAAATTTCTCAATGTCGAGACAAGAGACGACTTGGTTTTACTGACGTTATGTTCGTAAAAAAGTAGGTAAACAAACTGAATTTCTCAAAATTAGTCGTGCGACAGTGTCATGTCACAGAATGTTGGCTTTACATCTTTTCAACCAATTATCTATCGAAATAGCTGAGTTTATTCTCCAATCATTGCTTAGAATCAATACCATCGTTCACACCCATTGAACCTTGCGTCAAATCACGCACCACTACGCTCGTCATGGCGCTCTTCCGGTACGTCTTGTCGTATCTACAGCCATTTTTACCAGATCAATCTACTATGATCATCTTCTGCGTCTTCTCTTCTCTCTAATGCGCTTTTTATTATAATCTATAGATCTCTTGCTCACCAATTCAAGACTATTTCCGTGGCCGTTCCCCGCATCGCATCCCAGACTTCACGCTTTGCTGCCATCCCTTCTGCCTCTCCTATGTTATGCTTGTCGACAATAGCGATGCGTACAGCTATTGTCTTTCCACATTTTCAGGTTCGCGCAAAGGGCTATAAGCTCAAGACCAAAGCAGCCGTCAAGAAGCGTTTTAAGGTCAATTGCAACGGTCTCGTCAAGCGCGCACAGGCGAATAAGCGCCACATTGCTACAAAAAAGACACGTGAGCGCATCCGTCGTCTTGGCAAGTCCGTCTTTGTGCAGGGTCAGATCCGCAAGAATGTGCTTCGGATGCTTGGCAAGTAAGTTTATCAAACTTAGAAGAGAAGAAGCTGGAAATGAGAGACTCTATTTGATTGCCTTGTATAAGGCTATATAAAGGTGGATAGAAAGGTATTGTTGCTGCAGATAGAGACATAGTTACTACAGATTGACACTAACAGATGGATGAAGACCAATATAGGAAGCATCGGTCGATATGAAGGTTCTGTATCGTGCTGTTAATCGCCCTAATTTCTATGTACTTAAGTGCTATATGATGTTTTGGCTGCAAAAACAAGCTTTATGAAGTGTGGACACAGCCAGCATAAAGCCGTCTTGCCTCATCGCTCAATGCATGCCGTAAGTGTAAGCTAGACACAGCTTTGAACTGGTTTTAATGACACCTTGAGTGGTGATTCAGCACATAGTTGTCAGCTGTGGCTACTATCGTCAGTTGGGCCGCAAAAGGTTTCGAGGACAGATTGTTCGTTCATTGGCGACGCGTGTGCAATCCCAATCACGCCTTGGACGCTCCAGTCAGGTTGGATATAAAATTCATGCTTGTGCTGTCCAATCAACATATTCATTGCTCATCAATCAGGCATAAAAGGTTGTACAACGCCATGGTGTGAAGTCATCAGCCCAATCTCAGTTACGCTTCATTCAAAAATTGAGTGCATGCCTGCTTCCGTTAAACATTGCGGATAACATCGGAGTATTTGTCTAGTACAAACGGACACGGATTGTTGGTAACATGGTTGACAAGTACATCTTGCCACAGCAACATTCGGACCATCTGGTGTACTTTCGTCTTTCGAGCTACATTTTTTCGTGCTTGCGATATTCTTGTCTACTTCTTACTTCCACATGCGCAGACAGCTCAACTCCAAGTGTTGAAAAAGACAATCAGACGCATGAATGGCAAGAAATTATTTACACCATGAAGACTCTTTCTTCACTTTGCTTCACCTTAAGCCCATTGATGAAAGAGCTTTTCGCTTCTTTTTGGATATCACTCTTTCGCATCGCAGCACTAGAGACCTTCCTGAATTTGCATTTTCTTTGATGTGATGTCAAAGAAAATATTCAGCATATTTGATTGATGCGATGTCGTTAGTCCATCACTCAATCAGCAATTTTGCACAGAAGACACTGCTGCTTCTTTCATACGATATACCTGAGCTCAAGTTTCGTAGAAACACCTCATACTAACAGCGAGCTGAAAGATGACTAGCATTTTGTGATTTTGTGGATAGCAACTTTAACATGGAGTCGTTACAAGATATCGTTGTGGAAGGTGTTACTGCATTCGTTGAGCCACCTGCAAAGAATTACCGCTATGTCATCGAGTTGAAAAGCTCAAAAATGAGCATTTGGATCGAAGATCGAACATCGAAGAAACAATGGTATGGTTTCAAGAACGTGGGGTAGCATGACTCTAAATAACGTGCTTATACGATGTTATTGTTGTGCAGGTTTAAGGGCGGCATGGTCAAAACAGATTATGTGTCATCGGCAAACGCCATTGCAGATGCATCGGAGAGAGACTACGTCAAGGTAAGAAACAAATGGATGGTTCATCAATGGAAGGGTAAATGTTCCTCACGTTTGCTGTATAGTGCTTCCAAGACATGTTGGACTGCAAGCTGGACGATTCCAACGATGTGCATCGAAAGCTGTTCCCGATACAAGGTGGAGGTGTCCGGCTGGAATTGGGCGTTGCAGTTCGTGTTCTACGTGCGACGCGTCTGGTCACGTACACGTTTGATCTCGATCCCGTTTCTGTTGAACGACTTGACATTTTGGAGTCGAAGTTGCGTGACCAGCAAGAAGAACTGGAGAAGCTTCGTGGTGAAGTACAAGATTGTGGAGCACCCCTTTTTGTTAAACTGACAGCATCCAAGATGAGTGGAAGCTCGATCTTGTGGGATGCGATCGAATCGGATCTGCTGATTTCGACGGGCTTGGATGGCAAGATCAAAATGCTTCGAGGGGGTGTTTACAGTATTGCTGTTGTAGTAAATGCTGTACCTAATGATTGGACAACTACAAGGTCGAGCTACTGAAGAATGCTGCTTCAATGCAGGCAGCAAATACGGGATATTCGCAAGGCTGCGGCTGCTCCGCTACGCTGTACACGATTGAGCACCTGCAGACGAACGATGAATTGACAACGACGTGTGAGGGCAACCTGCACAGCGTCTCTTACCTGTCCATTGTTCGTCTTGACAAGTAAAGGGTCAACAAGGTTTGCGTAAGCCGTGCGTTGGAGGGTAGCTCCAATCTGTTGCTGCAACTTCTACCGTGCTGAACCAATGGCTGCAAGTCTTCATTTTGCTTTAGATATGAGCTGGGTATGTCACAAATAAAGTTCAATGAATTGGTATAAGCTCGGTTTCAGGTTGGCCTGGTGCAAAGGTTTTCGACACTTGCTTATGAGGCGCTTGCAGCAGTGTGCAACGTCATTTTTAACCAATACGTTTATTTGAGATGAAGGCGTTGTTTGCTGAGCGATTGCTTTGGGATTTATGAATGACCACACGGAAAAGCCGTCATTTGACGCAATATCATATGAGCTCTATTTTGTTCAAACAAGCAGTTCTGTGCTATACTGTGATTGCAAAGTCTTCTACTGACGTTTCGAGCCTTCGTTATATGATGCAATGTGAGCGCTTATACTCGATCGAGCACTTATTGTTTAGCTCCTTACGAAGTAAGAAAATCGTCATATCCTAATAACAAACAAGTATCAGGAAGTGTTGTCAACACGTTATTTGAACGCAAGGCACATCGTTCAAGAAAGGAGCCACATATATGAAGCACATTCTCAAGTTTGTTCTCAACTCACAGAAACACCATCATCATATTTGTGGAGATGAATCCATTGTTCATATCAGCACATAGGACATCTTGATTCGGTCTGCGGTGTGAATGCACGGATGGAAGACGCATTCATCTCAATATAAATGAACTTTTCTCTTTTGCAGTGTCAGAATTAATCCCAGGCAATTATAATAATGCCTCGTGACAGCAAAACTTGTTTGGTCGCCCTGAGCATCGAATAAAGTGGATGAATAGCTTTGATAGACCTACACTTTGTCTGTCGAGTGGTGACTGGCACGATAATGATAACTAGAATACGCAATTACAATGTAGCTCTCGCTATCGCCACGACACATTCTTTGTATTTCAAGCGTCAAGTTTGTTCATGTCCTTGCTAGCGAAGCAAGCAGTTGCGTGCAGAACTACTACTACTCGTAAGCAAAAATATATGAAGAATATACAGCATCCTCAGGCAACTCAATGAACAACGTTGAGAACTTTGCATCTTAACAACATTGGACTCAAATTAGATACGAAACGTTTGCGAAAAATGTGGTTGTCATCTCGATTCCGAAGCAAAATGCAGTATAGACTAGCAATCATTGGTTCAGCACGGTAGAAGTTGCAGCAACAGATTGGAGCTACCCTCCAACACGGCTTACGCAAACCTTGTTGACCCTTTACTTGTCAAGACGAACAATGGACAGGTAAGAGACGCTGTGCAGGTTGCCCTCACACGTCGTTGTCAATTCATCGTTCGTCTGCAGGTGCTCAATCGTGTACAGCGTAGTGGAGCAGCCGCAGCCTTGCGAATATCCCGTATTTGCTGCCTGCATTGAAGCAGCATTCTTCAGTAGCTCGACCTTGTAGTTGTAATTATTAGGTACAGCATTTACTACAACAGCAATACTGTAAACACCCCCTCGAAGCATTTTGATCTTGCCATCCAAGCCCGTCGAAATCAGCAAATCCGATTCGATCGCATCCCACAAGATCGAGCTTCCACTCATCTTGGATGCTGTCAGTTTAACATAAAGGGGTGCTCCACAATCTTGTACTTCACCACGAAGCTTCTCCAGTTCTTCTTGCTGGTCACGCAACTTCGACTCCAAAATGTCAAGTCGTTCAACAGAAACGGGATCGAGATCAAACGTGTACGTGACCAGACGCGTCGCACGTAGAACACGAACTGCAACGCCCAATTCCAGCCGGACACCTCCACCTTGTATCGGGAACAGCTTTCGATGCACATCGTTGGAATCGTCCAGCTTGCAGTCCAACATGTCTTGGAAGCACTATACAGCAAACGTGAGGAACATTTACCCTTCCATTGATGAACCATCCATTTGTTTCTTACCTTGACGTAGTCTCTCTCCGATGCATCTGCAATGGCGTTTGCCGATGACACATAATCTGTTTTGACCATGCCGCCCTTAAACCTGCACAACAATAACATCGTATAAGCACGTTATTTAGAGTCATGCTACCCCACGTTCTTGAAACCATACCATTGTTTCTTCGATGTTCGATCTTCGATCCAAATGCTCATTTTTGAGCTTTTCAACTCGATGACATAGCGGTAATTCTTTGCAGGTGGCTCAACGAATGCAGTAACACCTTCCACAACGATATCTTGTAACGACTCCATGTTAAAGTTGCTATCCACAAAATCACAAAATGCTCGTCATCTTTCAGCTCGCTGTTAGTATGAGGTGTTTCTACGAAACTTGAGCTCAGGTATATCGTATGAAAGAAGCAGCAGTGTCTTCTGTGCAAAATTGCTGATTGAGTGATGGACTAACGACATCGCATCAATCAAATATGCTGAATATTTTCTTTGACATCACATCAAAGAAAATGCAAATTCAGGAAGGTCTCTAGTGCTGCGATGCGAAAGAGTGATATCCAAAAAGAAGCGAAAAGCTCTTTCATCAATGGGCTTAAGGTGAAGCAAAGTGAAGAAAGAGTCTTCATGGTGTAAATAATTTCTTGCCATTCATGCGTCTGATTGTCTTTTTCAACACTTGGAGTTGAGCTGTCTGCGCATGTGGAAGTAAGAAGTAGACAAGAATATCGCAAGCACGAAAAAATGTAGCTCGAAAGACGAAAGTACACCAGATGGTCCGAATGTTGCTGTGGCAAGATGTACTTGTCAACCATGTTACCAACAATCCGTGTCCGTTTGTACTAGACAAATACTCCGATGTTATCCGCAATGTTTAACGGAAGCAGGCATGCACTCAATTTTTGAATGAAGCGTAACTGAGATTGGGCTGATGACTTCACACCATGGCGTTGTACAACCTTTTATGCCTGATTGATGAGCAATGAATATGTTGATTGGACAGCACAAGCATGAATTTTATATCCAACCTGACTGGAGCGTCCAAGGCGTGATTGGGATTGCACACGCGTCGCCAATGAACGAACAATCTGTCCTCGAAACCTTTTGCGGCCCAACTGACGATAGTAGCCACAGCTGACAACTATGTGCTGAATCACCACTCAAGGTGTCATTAAAACCAGTTCAAAGCTGTGTCTAGCTTACACTTACGGCATGCATTGAGCGATGAGGCAAGACGGCTTTATGCTGGCTGTGTCCACACTTCATAAAGCTTGTTTTTGCAGCCAAAACATCATATAGCACTCTTCAACTAAGTACATAGAAATTAGGGCGATTAACAGCACGATACAGAACCTTCATATCGACCGATGCTTCCTATATTGATTGGTCTTCATCCATCTGTTAGTGTCAATCTGTAGTAACTCTGTCTCTATCTGCAGCAACAATACCTTTCTATCCACCTTTATATAGCCTTATACAAGGCAATCAAATAGAGTCTCTCATTTCCAGCTTCTTCTCTTCTAAGTTTGATAAACTTACTTGCCAAGCATCCGAAGCACATTCTTGCGGATCTGACCCTGCACAAAGACGGACTTGCCAAGACGACGGATGCGCTCACGTGTCTTTTTTGTAGCAATGTGGCGCTTATTTGCCTGTGCGCGCTTGACGAGACCGTTACAATTGACCTTAAAACGCTTCTTGACGGCTGCTTTGGTCTTGAGCTTATAACCCTTTGCGCGAACCTGAAAATTTGGAAAGACAATGGATGTACGCATTTCATGGACATCAACACCTCACCTATATTGGTCTTATGTTGCAATAGGTTTGCAGCAATGAGCAATTTTGCTTAGTCTCAATGTATACAACGCTCGTGCCACTTATTTTCATTGAGGAATGGCATAAGCGAACGAGTTGCCGGATAAGCTAGAGTTTATAGAACCAATGCTGATGTGGAGTGTAAGCCACGAGTCTGTATTGTATGAAAAACCGACTGCTTCTGCCTGTCTTTACTGTGACAACTGAAACAATCCACATCCATTCAAACCAGTGACAACCAACACGCAAGACACGAATAAATTCAGGACTAAAATACGACCATGGCTTTAGATTAGGGCACTACTGATGAATTCAAGTTCTCAACTGCTGTTCTCTGTCCACCATAACAGATCTTCTGCCACCACGCCAGTCTTGTCCACGCCAATGTACCTGTCACCTAAGCCTCGGTCATCGTAGATCGACATTACCGTTCGCGATTTCCCAGTAGTCATCGATCACCACTTAAACTCCAACTCCTAGCAAACCAAAGAAAATCCAAGCACGTATCGACGTCTACAACCCAACCGCAACAAAGCCAGTATCGCAGTACTTAGTACTGATGGCCTGCTGATTTCTTCTTCTCTCCAAGCTCAAAGTGCTTCGTGCGTTTCATTGGTAGCTGTTTCTTCGTCTTGCATTCCTTGCATTCCATACGCAGCGTAATCTTCTTGGTAGTCTTCGCCTTCTTATGGAAAACAGGCTTTGTTTGACCACCAAAACCCTTTTGCTTATCGTTATAACGACGTGCTCCTTGAGCGTACTTTGACGCTTTACCAGCCTTGTATTGCGTAATCTTGTGCACAGTATGCTTCTGACACTTCTTATCTTTGCAATAAGTGCGACGTTCTTTAGGCATGTTTACCATGGTTGCTAAGGTCTATACAACAGACGTAAATGGTCAAATTCATAAAAGAAATATATACAAGAAATACATCGAACAAACACATCGCTTACCTGTCTTTTAGTCCAATTTCAGAAATTACGTAATCTCAATGGACAAAGCTCTCACTACCAGCCAGTCGTTATTTTTCAAGGTAAATAGAGTGGTTCTTAGTACAACGTAATTACGTTTTCTACCGGTTTTTTTGTCTTAGAAAACCAGTATTCTTACCCACCATATGTCCATATGTTTAAACTTAGACAGAAATAAACAGGATATAAAAAAGACCATTTTCTCACATTCAGAGCAAGAAACGATTTGAATTATAAAATACAGGTAATTTATAACTTGCGTCTACATAACAGTTATCCTAGAAAAAAAAGGTCTAGATCGTTGAAATTTATCGATAAATGTGGCCGAATTCGAATGCTTTGCACATTCTAAGGACAACGTGAGGAGGATTAGTAATTCAACACATGAGAACGTATGTGGCGTTTACATATCAAGACGTTGTGCTTTGTATAAATTGAAGCATTCACTTGCAATTTGTTTTTTTATGAGAAGCTTTAATTGATTGTAATTTTTCCAACAACAATTTCTTGATATCATGCTACATTCTACGTCAATTGCCAGGAAGCCATTACTACCATTCAAAATCTTATCCACATTACAAACAGTCAAGCAAGTAAGAAAAGCAATGAGGACAGGCCACACGACATTGGTTATCGAAGGTCAAGTCAGTGCAAGTTTACCCTATGGCGGGTGCATAAACCTTTGAATGTAGCTTTAGATTGGCTAATATTTGACATGAAACACTTTATGATTCGTCGAAAATCGTCTATCAACCCGACCCCTTGACTAAGCGTACAACCTACCTTGAACTCAAAACTGCACAGAAGAAAGCTGTGACGGACGTCTGTTCTTTTCGGCAGCTTGTGGGTATTCTCACAGCCGTCTTTGATCTCTACAAGTCCATTCATCTTCATTCTATTCGTCTCTTCTTTCTTTCTAGCTAATTTGCATTGATTAACTCGCGTTAGAAGACGCAGTATTAAGTCTAGAACGACGACACATGGGCAATTCCGAGTCTCGTGGAACTTCATTTTCTAGATCAAGCACTTCACGTCATGTAACACATTCATTACCATCCGATTCCAGTATCAATTCCTATGATATGGAAGAGATTGCACGCTCTACTTCGACACTAAACGAACGCGAAATTGCAGCGACAAACCGACGTTTGGTGCCAAGATCACGACTTTCTCGACGATCTCCTAGTGTCTCACTTTCTAGTAACGACGATGAATTACAGGGAGAGAGAGGAGGTATTGAAAAAGGACAAGAAACAACAGAAGAGATGTCGTCGCAGCTTAGTTATTGGTACTTGATTAAACATGGATATACAGAGCTAGTGCATCTAATTATCCGCCCACCACGCACCAATTACACCTTGGAAGATCTTGGACCGAGTAATTTCTCATTTGTTGGACAGGATTTTATTCGTGAAGATTTTGTTGTGGTTAATGACCGCAAACAGAAACTTGTGTGTTCGCATTGGCGACCAATGACGTCGATAACAGTGAACACAGTACCATGTGTGGTCTATTTACACGGCAACTCATCTTGTCGATTGGAAGCATTAGGAGTTCTTCGAACGTGTTTAGCTGCTGGGCTTACGGTTGCTGCTTTTGATACATCAGGATGTGGAAAATCCGATGGGGAGTATGTATCCCTTGGATATTACGAACGTGACGATTTGAGCAATGTCGTGACGCATCTTCGGACAAAGATGAATATTGGCACGGTAGCTCTATGGGGCAGAAGTATGGGAGCAGCTACAGCTCTATTGCATGCCGATCGAGACCCGTCGATTGCGGGTATTGTTGTTGATAGCGCTTTTGCTAGCCTTGAGCAGCTTGTGGAGGAGGTGGTGGACCGTGGACGTCAGGAAGGAATGACACTTCCAGGTTTTCTGGTAAAAATCGTATTGAAGTTTATTCGTTCGTCGGTAAAAAAGCGTGCGCATTTTGACTTACGGCGTCTTGCCCCAATCGATCATGCTCCCATGTCGTTTGTCCCGGTGCTGTTTGTGGCTGCAGAGCACGATTCATTTATAGGTCCACACCACAGTGACCAGATCTTTGCAGCGTACGGAGGAGATAAGAATCTGGTAAAAGTAAATGGAGATCACAACAGTTCACGGCCGCAATTCTTACTTGATTCGGCAGCAATTTTCTTGCAGACATCATTGCAGGTGGATGTGGCCGCAACTGCGCAAACAAGCAATTTTGTTGATGGCATTACTGGTGGTGGTGGACGTGTACCATGGGAAAATGTGATGGACCGGGCATTCTCACTGTCACTGTGTTCCTCGCCTGCCTCGTCCTACCGTATGACTATGGATCTCGATGGAAGATGTTCAGGCAAGAAGTCTATGTTGGTACCGACGAAGCCATGGTCTTGTCCGTCTTGTACTCTTGTCAACCGAGCGCTATCAATGCAGGTAAGTCATTTTGCTTTGAGGAGTGGTTGTTTATAGTATGTCATTAATGTGTCGTTTTATTGCTTTCTTAGTGCGTAATCTGTAAGAGTATTTATCTTCCTGACAATAAAGATGCGAGCCAAGTGGCAGGAGACAAGGAAGATGATGTTTTATTGAAAGAGGCTAGGCGAAGTTGTGCTTTGACTACCGAGGATGTGCGACCTTCTCTTGTTCCAGCACAGGCCGAAAACGCTTCTCGTCGACAAACATGCGAAGCAATGCCGTTGCTTCGTCCACCGTTCGTATCATCAACTTCAGCACAACTACCCGCTCCATCCTAGCGATTTGTAAGCATGGTAACAGTCACGACAGCAGCGACGTTCCTGTCTCTCTTCACAATCGCCTTAGGTCATAGAGAAAGAGTTGGCTTTTGCAGCTATTTGCGTTTTGAACCTGTACACGACCACCGCTACCTAGACGATGACAGAAGCAAAAGGTTAGTGAGATCACGTGGAAATATCAATGTTTGCTTAATTTATTATGATACTGATGTGGTTTAAGGAATCCTCCAGCATAAGACTGTTTTGGTACGGATAGGACACATGGAAAACAAGATAGCATTAACACACTATAAATCAAGAGCTTACACTGCACACGGTATAGAATAGAGTGAAATACTGGAATGGTCACTTTCTTCGCATTAGAAAAAAGTAGCTGCCATTAAATAGGATCCAGGCGCCGACGACATAAGCATATGATGGCGTAAGCTCTGTAGTTGTAGTAGTTGAAGATGCATGCGGACCGGCATCACTGTCCGTAAAACCCCCGGTAGTATCGCTTGAGTTACGATCACTAGCAGAAGAAAAGTCCTTGGTACTGTTGAGATTACTGGTGTCGGTAGAGCTACTCAAACTAGTGGAGCTATCGGGCGTAGTTGATCCAATAGCATTGCTGGGACTCTTCCATGTGCCAGAGACACTAGTGCCACTTATAATTTCCGAAGGCTCGGCTACTGCGCTGGGCTGAAGGTTGTCTTCAAACCCCATCACAGTAACATTTTCCTCTTCTGACAACTGTCTAGCAAATTGTAAAACCGGCAAGCTCATTTCGTTCAAGACGCTCTCCTTGTTTGCATTCAGCAAATTGGCAAGCTGGATCAGTTCATAGAAATCAAGAAACAATTTCGCATTTGAAGTCACAATAGCGCTTTCCACATCTATGTCCACCCAGTTCTCTCGGATTCGCAGCAACGTCTGAGCCAAAGAGCGAAAACTCGTCTGCGATTGTCGATATCTGCACTCTGGTAGCCAAGATGCTTCCACGACCTGATCCAACCACACAGCGCATGCCTCTGAACGGCACAACTTTATCATCTGCTCCTCTGACGGCATCATGAACTTGTCTGTTGGATGTAAAAGATCTGAAATGTCGTAACCTCCCGTCTCTTGTCTGCAAGAGTCTAACATCTCGTCCTTGATAAACTCGCTCTCTATGCGGGCATTGACGTCTTCTGAACACCAATGAATGCCTCCAAGCTGTGCTTCCGCGTGCGTCGTGTCGCCGCGTTCTGCTTTCCACGTCCTAATCTGTGAATTAGAGATATATGTGCTCTCTAGGGGCTCTTGTGCTTGATGAACAGTGGGTTCTTGTGCACCAGCTGAGCTGGTCAATACAATCGCTAATAACATCGCAACCAGAAGAACATGAACTTTGCACACTTTACAGCGTATTCTGTTACTACCTAAGCTACTATTTTTACGTAAATGAGGCCGTCTGACGCCATTTTGACGCCAATAATAGGTCATTTCTCAATGCTTGACTGCTGAACTGGACTTGATGGCTTGAGCGTGATATTTCGATCAATATTGCGAGTTTACGCGTCTACGAATAGCTAAGATAACAAGAATATACAATTCTCTTGATAATGATATGTCAAAGAGCTATACAATCAGCACTTGCGTCAGAAATAACCTGTAGAGAGCGAAGAGATAATGAAGCAATTGGCCTGTAACGTTCGAGTCCGTGTTGTCGTCGTTTTTGAGCTCGTACTTAATCGAATTATAGATAAGTTGACGCATCATGTTCGTCGTCGCGTTTCTGAATTTATTCTCCGCTACAAGAATCAAGTTTGACAGTTTATAACACCCAGTGATATTATTAAAAATTAAGAGATCAAATGTTTGTGATTTGGTGGACTGTAATTATTATACTAAATACTATTTGCAGCCTTTCTAATAATGCCTTTGTACTTTCAACTTGAACTATTAAGCGCTTATTACTACCATTTGTCGAAACATTTAAGACATTTAGTCCAAGTAATTTTGTATAAAGCAGCAAATTAATGGCAAGGAAAACCCGGACGATATTTTAAAGCAACTTTAGCAATTCCGTGCAAGAATTTCAATAAAAGTATGCTGAAGCATCGTTAAATCTGAGGATTCCATGATGACTGGTTTTCGTGAGAGTGGCAAGAACTCTGGACACGGGATATGTATGACCAAACATTGTAATAGGTAAATGTATGGTATCACAAGGCCATAGACTTATAGGAGGGTGTCGAATCACGACAAAGTACTAAAATTGCAACCATAAAACGTTTCATCGATTCAAGATGTTTGGGTTTAGTTGTTGACTCACGAATAAAGTTCATTTGTGCTACAGCTTTGCTCTAGCAATGTGCTTTGAACAAAGTCGGCCGTGAGCTTTAATAAATTGAGTCCTTGTAAGATATCCCAGCAGTATGCCACCTCAATGCGTGCTAGCTTTGCGACTAATGACCGTAGCCCGCTGAGACGACGCTTTTGTGAATCTTCTCATCAACTTTGTCGTCCGCGTTGCCTTTGATCATAGCACCTTCATAGAATTTACCAGCACCCCAGGCGCTGTTGTCACCACCGATGCCGAGAATGATGGCACCCTGCTTTTTCATAATCTCATAACCCTTTGGCCGAGGACCATCGTAGGTGGTTTCAAACTTCTTAGACCGTGCATTACCCTGTTTGAGAGCAAAAGTTTTGTCAGAGCGGCCCTTGAGCATGGCGAACAAGTAGTCGTACTCCACCGTGGGGTTATTTGGACAATACTTCTTATCGGCACAACCAAAAAGACCATCTTCCAGATCCGCCATGACCCACGGACCAGGGCCCTCGCCACGGCTCCATTGAGTATTGTTACCAAAGTATATAGCTTCCATTGTCCCAGGGCCGTCATTGTTAGAAGTAGTCTCGGCATTGCCGTAATCAAAACAACATCCTTCATTGAAGTGCTTGCCACTAAAAACCACGTATATGTCTTGTGCTTCATTTCCCTTTGCGGTATTGATCGCCTTGTTGTTGCGATAGCCAACCCCATCTTGAATCAACACCCCGTAGGCCTTCTTTCCACCGATTTTCACCGGAAGACGATTAGCAACAGCAGGTTTATCGGGGACTTTATTGGCTCCACCAGCTGGTGCTGGAGTCAAGTGATTGCCGTTGCCGGACTGATCGTAGATAATTGAAATGACACAAGGATTACCTTTACAAAACTCGTCTTGCGAAGCAGCATTGGCGATCCCACCGGGAGTCAAAGGAAGGATATTGAGCGTCATGTGATCGGACACACGTTTAACTTGGTACAGAGATTCATAGTAATTGTCCAGAAGAGCTCGAACCGTGCTGTGAGCAGCCACACATGGCGTGCCAGCGAGGTCGTAAATGTCACACGGACCTGCGCTGACAGTTTTGAGAAGAAAAGCAGCAAGTAGAGGAAGACCACGCAGCATTGTTGAAATATTGGAGGATGAGAAGGAAGGTCTTGCACTTGAGATTGATAAATGAAGAATGGTTTGCACGGCGAACATGAAATGTGGCTCCTAGGTGTCGTTTGTACGTTTTGGACAAGGAAAATGATGCAAGCTTTGCCATATAAAACGGACTTGGGTTTGTATAGCGCTACATTGCGTATAAGCCACGGACAATTAAGCTTAACGGTTCTTAGGTTCTTACAAGAACTATGTTCTACATCCCATCACGAAATTCTAACGTAGATCTAGTGGCATGTGCAGCGCAAATTGCGATGGACACATGTTTTCTACGTGGTACAACAAACACTTATAGACGGTATAAAAACACTTATGGCTCCTTATCGTGTTAACGCTAAATTGAGTAAATAAAGTCGAATAGAGGCTGTATACAAGTACATTCGCACATTTTTACAACTTCCGTCTGGATGCATGTTCTGACTATATTCAAACAAAAAACCGTTTAGTCCAGATAGGCAACAACCAGGAGTCTTTTCTGTCCGAAAGTATCCTATAGTGCTTACGAGGGTATCTATATACTTATTCTCCATTCCCTTCTTATGTCTGTTCGCTCAACACTGTTGTGACATTCAACACTGTTGTGACATGAGATACAAGATGAAATGTCACAACAGCAAAGATTAGGAAAGATGACGAGATCGTTATCGTGCGAAAAGTTCGACTTACATGCGGACAATGTCTCTCTTGGCTCTTCTACATGGATATGTTATTGTAGAATCATTCTTATCAGTTCTCGAACGTGTAAACTCGAATGTTGTGGGAGGCCTGCCAATAGCAAGACGTGTCAATTGCGGTAATTAAGATCGATATGAGTGAACTCCACCTTCGACAATCATCCTGAGACGCGGAAGGAGGCTGAATAGCTCCATAGGAATTGCTAGAATCATTTATTTCATTACTGTATTAACAATTGTATGGCATGCATACGACATGGTATGGCCATGATCACCACTGAAAAACAATCAATTGCCATGGGTAGCAATCTCGTGACCCTCTGTCTTTTGCTTGCATGGCTATTCATGATTACACCAAAACATTCCACTTTGTCCATGTAAATGTGTTCCGTTTTGGTCATGGAAAGCAGCGGATAAGTCAAAAGATTTGGTACTGCGCAGTTGTGTATGCGGGATGTCCATATGAGAGCAAATACCTCATCTCAAAGATTAATATGCTACTGTCCAAATGCAACCATCGATTGCACGTCTTCCTTGAATTGTTAGTTGTGACTAGAAGAGGGTAACCTTCCTGTGTTTCGATGCTGTAGTTCTGATCAGTGCTTTAGCCTAAGTCCCCTTCTTCGAGCAACCTCATGTCTTACATAAATTTACCAAGGCTCTAAGTAGACATACTGTAGATTACAGACCGTCGCACGCTTTGCTACGTACTAAGCGCAATAATGGACTTATTGCTGGTTAACTGGCGGGACGATGCCACGCAATCAGCCTCAAGACTCCTCTACAAGTCTTAGTGTCTCTTCTTCCTTCAATTTACGCGTAGAATCACATGTAGCTCACTAGCAGACAGTCAAATGTGAAAACACTTGACATGTCAGTACAATACCTGAAAGCTGTTAATCTTCCTTCGTTTTAGCTGTGGACAAGACACACTATTGAGAGATAAGACTTGGTAACAGTAGAGCAACTGCAAGTGATCGTCAGCACGTCACCCACATCAAGAAGTGTAATGCAGTCCAGGGGCGTGGAGACAAACACCTGACTCCGAGCTTGGTGTGTGCATCCACCGCAGTAGCTACGTTGGATGCACACACCGTTTTTCAAGATCTCGATGTAACTGATATTGCTTGGCGCAGCATTGATGACCCCACTGATGCGATAAACGCCTTGAGTACGTGCCTTGACTACGCCATCATTACCATCGACATCAAATTCAGCACAAACGGCTTTGTTTCACTGAAGTCTCGACCTAGAACTAATGCGTTCTGCTTCAAGCTTGATAAATAGATTCACTCCAGCTCGTGAAGCTTCGTGAACAGCATTGAGCTGATCACGAAGCCGCACGAGCTCGTCATTCTGATCGCGCATCTTAGACTCCAGCACGTCAACTTGAGTCAATGACACAGGATCAAGATTAAATGTGTACTTTGGGGATCGAAGGAATGAAATCGTCAATGTTAATTGCAACCGTATCGTATCGCCAGTCAACTCGGTTAATGCTCTTTTCACGGGACATACGCTGTTTAAATTGCAGTCAAGACAATTGTAGAAACACTACAAGGGTAGCACCATTCGTGTCAGTCTCAAATAGGATTGATTAGCGCTTACATGACAAGTATACCTTGATATAGTCGGCTACGTTGGCAGTCGGAATTTTGTTTTCAGATGTTACAAAGTCTTCCAGTAGCATATCACCCGTGCACCTGCGAGAGAAACATCATGGATTTAGGATATGCATTGATCATACGTCATACACAATAAGCAATACCATTGCTTCTTGTTTAAGCAATCTTCCATCCAACTGCTCATCTTGCCATCCTTTTAGGTTATTATTGAAGCGGTAGTTTCTAGAATGGGGTGGACTGAACATAGTGATGCCCGATTTGTTAATGTCTTCAGTAGCCATCGAGTCAAGAAGCTCTTGGAATTCAAATGGAGCAATGACGATGTTCTTAAAACTTGAGAGATCGAGTCGAGGACCATCAGATCAATAATGCAAGTGCAGAGAAATTTCATGCACGGACAAGGAGCTTTCGAATGAAGTCGATGTCATAACGGGTGTATGTTCTTACAGGAGTGACACCCGACATTAACTCATTAACGGAGCTTGTGTTTCTGTTGACAACTGTCATGACACCAAACACCTTCTACAATCATGAAGTATTGAGCTTTGACTTGCATCGCTTGATCTAGAAGAAGTTGAGTGCATACGGAACTTCTATAGCCATTCACAAACTTGTCGCCATGGATGATAGAAAGAATTCATTAGCGTCACTTTGGACAAGTGGTGTCTTTAATCTCAGAAGAAAACGACGATAGTTGAGCATTTATACACCACCCGACGAAAGTGCAACTCTTTTGAATCCAGTACAAATGACGCTTAGCTGTCTTGTCTTGAAACGAAGCAGTCTAGAATACAGGAGAACTGAGCGGCTTTAGCCTTGCAATCATTCCAATAGGCCATGCCAATTCAAAGCAATACGTAGTCGTCTTCGTCGTCCTCGCCCGTTCCAGCGATACGTCCATTAGCACTCGCAAACTCGTCCTCGTTCATATCGTCGCCTGATAGGCAGTCTGCCATGAGCAAATCGACTCCACTTGCTGCGTAGTCAGGCCGGCGTGCTGCAACCGAAAACGGACACATACCACCATTTGCCTTAACTTCATCGTGAAGAGTGCGTACACGCCACTCAAAGTCTTCATAATCAGCGCGATTTTCACACAGAAATCCCAGTGCTAACGATGGATCAATGGTAGTCACATCCATAACCAATGGGCGCGAGGAGTGGACGGTACGCAGATGTGTCTGTGCACATTAGATCCGCGTGTCAAGATACAAACAAATCAGTTCAGCACGCTCACAATAAAATGCCACAGAATATATAAACTGCCTCGGCAAAAACAACGTACTGCTGTAGGAAATGCAACGTTTAGTTCCGGTGCAGGATGCACGTCATGAGGGTCCAGCAGATGCAGTTGGTCCTGCTGCGTGCCAACAAAGTAGACAGAGTGTCCTTTTTTGCCTCCAATAATCCCCACACTTTGTGGAAACGTAAATGTCTTTTGCAACGCTGGCACGTAGCTTTCATTCACATGGTCCAAACCCAGTCGCAGCGGAATTAGAATGAGCAACGCCGTGCTCCACTTGAAGGTATCTTCATTCATCGGTGGATGCAATAACGGATCAAAAAATGCAGGCAATGCACCATCCTCGGTCTTTTTTTTTTTCTCCTTCTCTTCTGTCTTTTCCTTTTCTTCTTCCAAATGTGAGACACAAAGTCTAGTCACGTCGTCAGTATATACAACGCCTTCTTGAGGCACATACATCGCCACTTCTCCTCCAAATTCACATCGATGTAAATTCACTAAATCTCTCAAGACTTGAGCTGCTGTCGTGGGTCCATACCATTCTCCCGGTAATTTATCATATTGAATGCCAAGCTTCACCATATGATGAATAGAATAACGACAGTCTAGCTCATTAGAATCTGCAAACCATTTCAATAATTGGACATAGGTTTCTGGTAGTTTTGTATCTCCATTTGCCTCAAATAAAGCTGGAAGATGCCAATTTCGACCTAAAAGACAGCGTTGAAGTGCTTGTCCCAGTAACATTTGAGCAGAACGCAGCATACAGCCCCATCCAGCATCACTTGTGTATTCATATGGTGTCATTTGAGGGAAATTATGACGGTAAGTGAACCATAAAATGGCTTCAAAGCTGCGTTTATAGGCTTCAAACTCACTGGCCGTCGCGTCGTTAAACCGACGACCCAAGAGCCATACGGGCGCATCAAGAGCCAACGATGACGTTACGTCTAGTGCTGAAATTCCGTGTGTAAACTGCGCCATGCGGCTAAGTATTCCACCACCAAATACCCACACAGTTTGACCAAATATATCCTTGATGGCGATTGCGTCTAGTGTCGTCGTCCGATTGAATGGCGACGTAAAAAGTAGTTCAATTGAAATAGAAGATTATGTACTATATACCAACACAAATAGATCTGGCTAGATCAAAGAGATAGACGAGATCAAGGCGTACAAAGATACCAGCAGGACACGGTCGAAGACACGGAATTCTTATCTTGAGAAAGAAGCAAATTTATCAAATTGATACCATCGATAATAGATCGGAATAGACGGGTCTATGTATATGTTACTTAATATGATGTATATTTACGTAACCTAATGTAATCTACGTACGTTTATGTATATATACATAAGAATCAACGTTTCGTCCATCATTCACTCTCAAATCCTTTCTCTAATACTTAAATCAAGTCATTTCATGGGCGAGTCTTTGCAGTGTATTTTGACGTGGTTACGGCACAATAGGTGCAATGACTTGTCCATGGAGACAATACTCGAGTCTATACAATCTATTTATGGTATTGTACCCTTAGGTGGCTGTCAACATGATCAAGACAAGATTTGGCTGCCTTTAAGACGTGAATCTTCAGCTTTGACACTCTTTTCAAGTGAAAAAGACAATATGAGGGTGATACAAGAAGGTTCTAAGGAAGATAAAGCAAAGCAATGGAAGACGTTGCTTACAAGTGTTCAATTACCATCAAATGGAGGTCAAAAGGAGCTACAAAAGGCACTTGAAAGGCTTCAAGAAGAAGAAGAGAAGGATGCAGCAGCATTGCAAGATGAAAACAAACGCAATCTAGAGCATTTGAGACAGGAATTCTTTGCCATGAGACGAGCTTTTTTTCAAGTTCGGATTGAGCTTTTTCATGTGGCTCAAAACTTGCAACATGTTCATGTGCAGATTGCTCAAGAAATTGTCAACAAGTTGCTACAAGAAGGACTGGAGAAGGTTTTAGTTGATGAACTCTATGGACGTCAATTTTATCATGCACCGGTATTTGATCGTGTTGGAAAAGAAGAGCAAAAGGCACGGATGGAGTGGGAGATTCAATTTCTACAGGAAGAAATGTTGTTAAGGGATTTATTCTTATTGACTCTTGTCGTCTCGAAACAAAAGACAAGGTTGGATTGTGCGATGAAGATTACGACGACGGTCTACAATTGGGAAGCTCGAGTCATGCAAGAGGTTCTCACGACTAGGACGTTGGCACTACCTGCAACACAGCAATGGGCAAGAAAATTAACGCAGGTAGGAGTGCTCATAGCAATCCGGTTACTGCATACAACTGGTACCGTACAAGAATATGAAACTTTGCAACGAATGACTACAGACTTTTTCTTGACGGAATTGGGTGACGAATCAATAGCGTCGTCTGTATCGGGTGTGCTATTGTTGGCTTGGGCTGCATTATTGGGCCGACAGTTTCGTAATATTGTAGAATGTGATCGAGAGAGTGAAAAAGCGAAGGGGCTACAGGAAATGTTGGAGACAACGTTAGCAGCAACAGAGCGTTTTCGCAGCTTTTACTATTTCAACGCGCTCATGCGCTCGTTAATCTTTTGCATTGAGCACGTCGACTCTGACGAAATGGAACGCAAACCATATTTGATGCCAATGAGCTTTTATGGGACATTGCTGTGGACATTACCCAATGTAGCAGCCTCTGGGGGGCTATGTGGCGCAAACACAATTCAATCGCAGCAGCCAATCAGCTTTGGCAGTGCCTTTGCTTACCAAAACGTGGTCGCAGATTTTTTAAACGATATGCTGTCGTCGCTAGGTTACATGGACAGCATCGATGGGGTACAGCAGCTGTTTGGCATGGTGAAATTTGTGCTACCCGCTCTTTCAAGTGCTCGTGTGGCCAAGCAGACTCTTGGAATTGACTTGGACGATGGCAACGTGATGGATGCTATAGCTGGCGGAGAAACGACTGCGCTTTGTGAGCTACTGACGAAAGCTCGGGCATATTTGCCGCATAGCTTGCTGCCTTGCATTCAGATGATGACGGCGCTATGCTATAATAATCAAAACTACTCGTCACCAACTGTGATTCGGCAGGTCCTCAAGTATTTCAGCACGCCGCGTGCAGGATTAGAGGATGACACGATTACCAGCGGTGTTTATTGGCCGTTGCCACCGACTGAGTATTTCACTGAGCTTGACGACGAGCCTGGTCGACTGAAGTGCACTCGTACCTTTGCTTACGACGGTGCAGATGGGCAGTTAGTGGTGCCAGCGGGAACAGTCGGTACGATTATGTATTCTAGCGACGTTATTCAGGTTAAATGGCTCGTTTTGGACGGTGGCAATGGCAAGAATGCGTTTTCGCTGTGGGATATGCTTCTAGTTAGCGCAGACAGCTTTGTAGCAGGTCTTCAGTCCGGTTCTTTTGTAGATTTGTATCGTACGAACTCCGAAGACCTGCATGTTCTCACGTCATTTTTTGAATTCATCGTACAGCTAGGTCGGCACCAGGATGGTGGAAAGTGCATGGTGGAGGAGATGGAATGCCGTTGGGGTGAGGCGAGACTGCGTCGTTGGTGGATTGATCATCAACTTCCGTCACCAGAAATATACGTATCTCTTCTGTTCCGGCAACAGATTGCCCTTCCTACTCTGCTTTCGGCATCGAGAGAGAACTTGGTATCCTGGGGAATTAAAGATCGCTACACACGAGAACAAATTTTGGTGCTGATTGGAGGCACGGGGAGTCTCGATTTTGAAGGTGCTAAGATCGGACTCACGTATGGTGACACTACGAGTAAGATGACTTTGTTTGGTGTGGATGGAGGCACTCATTTGTTGCGGCTACTACTGAAGGTACTAGAATGGTTTTTGCATCGATTCTCATGGAATACTGACGATAATACCACGGAAAGTGAAAATGCTGGGCTTGCAGAGCATTTGCATCTTTTTGCAGCATCTTTTGTTGCCCTTCGGACGGTTTTAGCCACCACAAGTGGGGTAAAGCTGCTAATAAATTCTTCACTATGTGGCAGGCAAGAAGAGTGCATAAACTTGATCGTCAAAAGTGCTAAAAAACTTTTTGAGTTGCAGGAGCGGTTGGTAGGAGAGTACCCAGTCGTATTGGCAACACACGATATTTTCATGAGTGTGGTACGGTGGTTTCTTTCAATGGAAGCACAATCGCTTGCGAGCCAAGCTTCAGGCAAAGATAAGTTTTATTCTCATGAATTTGTGGCAAGTGAAAGACTCTGGTTTGTCAGCGCAGCGGAATTTGCGATCGAAGTATTGTCGACCCATGAAGGTTGGAAATTCTTGAGTATTACCAACCGGTGTGAAATTACGGAGCGATGCTTCCGCTTGCTCTACGTACTGGTGCTTCCCCGTAAATGCGTTAATGAGCGCAATGATATGTTAATTTCGTTGGAGTCTGCTCTGCGTGAGACGCTGTCCACCGACATGTCAATGTTAATGAAGCTGTTACGGTCATCATGTGCTGTGTTGTCATCCAAGGAAGATGACATGGGTCACTGGAACATAGTTATGTCTTCTGACTTCGATGAAGAAAGTGGCGTGTTAAGCTCCGACAAAAACTATAATGACTGCTTTCCGTTAAAGTACAAAAGCGCATTTGACAATGCTGGGGCTAGCATGATGCAGCTTGAATCTCTGGTGACGACATGTTTACGATTTGTGGCATTGCTCATCACAAACCAAAGTAATGCGGTGGACGTACCAATTGCACGAAAGATTCTGCTGGCTTCAATTGATGGACGTAGTTCGAAGAAGCGTAAGCTGCTAACAATTGTCACACTTTGCGGGGGCTATCTTGGTTATTTGCAGGAACAGGCGCCTGGAATTGCGTATTGGTCCTTGCAAATTTTACAGCATGCTGCTGTCGCGCTAGATTACCGTGAGGAACGGGAGAGTCGCAATCTCTCATCAATGCATTCTCTAATTGCCCTTTTCCATGGATATCAGGACCTTGGTATTGTCCGTGGAGTATTTGCGCAACTGCTACAAGTATCGTCGACGCAACAGTCGGCGTTGCGAAAAGCTGTTATCGAAATGCTAACCTTGTGTCTGGAGCATCAGCCGGGCTTTTTGGCGTTGCTACTCTTCGGTGACAAAAACACAAGAAGCTCCAATTCAGAAAACACTACGAAAGAAAAGGTGCAGGATGACTTCTTTCCTTTCGTGACATTACTGGAACGATTTTTTGAGGCTTCAGAAAGGCTTCTGGAGCAAGCTTCGGACCTCTTCTGTGCCTTACTGACCTTCCTTGTGCACGTGTGGAAAGGTGCCATTCAAAATCGTCTTGATATTCATCAAAAGGTTTTGACAGCCTTGTGCGCGCGTCCCGCATTCTGGTTCAATGTAACACGAGCACTCAAAATCCATATGCCGTTAGAGTCGGCAGATGAACGTGGACTTCTGGACATGGAACTTGCTGCTGCTACTGCTCAAGGAATGAGGGATGCACAGAGTATGTCTAGTTCGTTAGAGGCGTACGTTGGGCGGTCTAGTGCGTACGGATATATGGCTCGCAGCCTGATTCTCCAGTTGGTGTCGTACGAGTGGCACAGTCACGCTTCAACAAAAGACGATCACCCGCTATTGGATGTGTTGGAATCTTTCAGAAAGGAGGGGCTGTTTTCGCATTGGTTGCGCACCTTTACTCGCTTGGACTATTCTCCGGCGCAGTTTGAGCTGTACGCGTCGTCTATCTGGCGTGCTTGCAATTCAGACATGCTCACAACGAGCCTGTTCAGTGATATTCCGGCTAGTGGTATTTCAATGTACGTCGAAGGCCTTATTTGTAATACCAGCACACTTAGATGGCAACTCAGCGCGGGTGGTGATTTTAAGCTGGAAGCTTCTGCAACGGATGTGCGCGTGCTGAAAATGATTCAGTGGAGTAATTTGCAAGCCGCTTTTCTTCACGCGCAACTGTTTTCCTTGTCCAAGTGGAAAGTATTCATGGAGCTGTGTTGCCTGCAGGCAGGCGGAGCTGCTGACAGTACACCTATTGCTGAGAAATCGAGCGAAGCAACGACATCGAGGCGGCTAAAAAGAAAAGAGTCGATGATCTCGTCGCCTCCTCGTAACAGCAGCACCAGTAGGACGCCCACTACGGGTATTAATTCCAGAGTGTACTTGGTTGCGTCAGGATCTTCTACATCCAGCTCTGAAAGTGCGCTGTTATCACGTTTTTTTGGTGATCGAACATCATTTGAAATGGTTCGGGTACTTGCAGACGTTATTAAGATTAGACTGCACGAAGCTCAGGATGAAGCTCTTGACTACTTCGTGCTGTTATATCTCCACGACCTAGTACAGCTTTTGGTTTCGATGTTGCACCATCAGTTGTGTCTAGTTGTACAAAAGGCACGTGACCCCAAGTTATCCCAGACTCGGCAACGTCTTGAAGTGCCTAGCGCAGAACGCAACCTAAAGCTTAATGTTGGGGCCACACTTGAGTTGTTAGCTGTTGTCGAGAAGACTATCAGTGCAGTGCGCGACTCGATGGAGCAAAGTGTGCGTGAGGTGGATCTCGTGGGACTTGGCGCCAATACCCAGCTCATGTCTGGTTCTTCTGTTGAACTTACATCAGTCTCATTGATATCTCGCATGGTGATGGACTACGAGCGAGGGGCGAAATCAGTTACAGACGAATTGCTCACATCGCTTCTTACAGCAGCATTACTGCTGGTGCGTCACTTGGTTAAGATAAGCAGCCATCCGAATATCGCAAATCGAACTATTGAGCTGGAAAGTACTTTGCCACCTAAGTCGATATTGCAGATGAAGTTAATTGGGCACTGCATGAACATCATAGATTTGTGCGATGGTCGGTCGCAGCATATGAAGTCTTCTGAAGCTCTGTTTCAACTAAGCTGGTGTCTCTTCCAAGAAGCACTCGTCGGCTGTAGCAGCGTTTCAAACGTACCAAAGCTACGCACGATAAACGCGTTGCAGCTAAATCCGCTAGTTAAGAAGCTGGAGCATGAACAACAAGGGATCGGTGCACTGTTGTACCTGGTGGTACAGCGCTTCCGTCCTTCATCATATAGCAAGGCAGCGGCCGCAAAACAAGAGGAGGCCTTTCAGGTGCTCCGAGGTCTAGTTGCGGTTGTATGGAACCCAATAAACTCTGAGTTGTGTCAGCGTGTTATGCTCAAGGGAAGCAGCAACTCTTATTCACCATCTTTGATATCGATGCTTGCAACACAGTTGTTACCGCTACTACAGACTCAGATGGAGCGCGAAGAAGCCACCAGTAAATTGCGTGGTTACATACTGTCAGTACGTGACAGTATCGTAACGGATCGATCTACAGACGCTGAAAACCTGGAACGCTCTGTTGCGCACCGAGCGTGGTGTCTCGTACTTAACTTTGTAGGCGGCCTGTTGCGTCTACAAACAGAAGAAACTGTCATCGCTTCTGATGATGATGTAGACGTATGGAGTTTTATGTCAAGTGCTGAACCGCTATTACTATCGGCAGTGGAGCTTTCTACTTGCCAACGTCTAACGAGCGCGACAATTGCAGAACACCAAGCATTACTACGGCTGCTGAATGCTCTGAGCGGGACCACGACAAGACGAAAGCGTTGGCGTCAAGCGTTCCCAAACAACACTGTGGTTCTTATGGAGCAGAGTCGTCAATTGCTTCGACGTGCATGCGTGCTCCTGGGGAGCTCATCACTGGAAAATGACCGATTGCGTACCGAGAGAATGCAAAAGAAAAAGCACGGAAAACTGGTGAGTAAATCGATTGTGGGCTTTGGTGCAAGTCTCAGGTCGAAATCACCGCGATCACCTCGCTCTCCATCGGCCTTCACATATGCGCATCAGACACTGCTTCATGATCATTTGCAGGCCGTGCAAGGTGTTGAGAAACGAAAGCTTACAGATTTTTATCGAAAGATGGAGACTGAATTAGTGATAACTGTGCAATTGGCGAGCTTACTGTTAACCAAGTGGACTGCATCGTTAACCGACCGTGACGTTATTCTCGTTGTTGACGGAGTACGACGTGTGGATGAAGAGCAACTTGTGCCCTTGCTCGCCTTCATTCCACCAAATGACGCGCGCTCTACGTATAGCAGCCCTGGCTTAGGTCATTTGTGTCTTGCAATGAATTTTATCCTCGATCAACTTCTAGCAAGTGAGGATTCACAACCAAAGGAGCTGCAAACAGCGGAAATGAAAGCGGTGTTGGTGAATGCAGTCAACGCGTGTGCCGTGCTGTTTTTGAAGACGTATCTCTTGTATCTTGAGCACTACGAGCTTGTCAAGCATGATCGTAATGAGCTTGACAGCTTTTTTTGCCAATTCAATGCCCGACTATCTAATGATGACAGTACGTCCAGTATTGGCGTGGATGTGCAGTTGCTCGAGTATATTGGCAAGGTATGTTTATGGTGATGATCTTAGACGTATGTGATAGTATTGTGTGATAACTTTTTGCTGACTCGGTTGAATGTTTTGGGCAGATAATTGCTGGAGAAGATTAAAGTGAAGGTGTTATCAAGCCAATATCTTTTCAACGATTGTCCGCAACGCGATGATAATGACGATGATAGACTTGTTTTATCCAAGTGATATTTCAAGTTGATTGCTCGACAACCCGTACTTTGCTTATCGACGAGGCGATCAATGGTGTAGAAGGAAACAAATTTTTGCTATCAAGTTTACGAAGGAGTATGCAGCGTACTATCCATGATTAAATGGAATTGTTCATCTGCATACATGATGGATGTGGTAGCTACTGCATCGATTGTAAATGTCTTGTTTGTCTATAGATTGCAGAAACACAATGATGGACATGATTGATTACAAGGCTGCGTCTTATGCATCAAAATGGCTCGTATATATTTTTTGAGGAACAACTGCCACTCCCTCGAGTAAAAACAACCTTACTGTGAGTACAATGACCCACTTTTCTTGCTGCAATTACGTGAACACCTTGCTTCGCGTACGCCAAAGAAAAAAAGCTTGGACAATTGTTTAAATGTCGAGCAAACACTTTGCTACAATAGCTTAGCAGGCCACCAGTTGATGGTACAGCGAGCCAAGGTCCGTGCGTGAAAAGTTAAAGGTCTCAAGCTGGACAATCTTAATGAGACCGTCGTTTGAGTCGTCAATAAGCACAACGTACACGGTCGATTCATACGAGCGCTTCGCAAAGTTATCACCGCCAGGACTGAGGATTGAGCCATCGAAAAAGTAGAAGTGCGTCGACACCATGTCCTGCAGAAGGTTCGTTTCAATTACCTCAACAGCGTCAAGTTCACCACAGCGACCTTCGGGGCCCATGCCACGGCAATTGCACGGATCATACTGACCAACATGCATAATTTGAGCGTTAAGTATCCAAAAAGCAGGTCTGTTCACACCTTTACCAAGAGGCATTGAGAGTCGCGTCACAAATGCCTTCTTGCCACCGCCCCAGCCCTGGTGATCATTCGCACCACAATAGCCGTACGTCTTATCCTTGCATTTCTCACCACTCATGATGTTCACCTCAACACCAGTGGAAATACCAGGACCACCACCAATAGCACTCGGGTCTGAAGCATCATCAAGTACGCCACCAAACACCGTTGGCATGTCTGCCATTGACTTGCCGTCCGCCGAAGCATAACACTGCGGACTGTGCTTCCTCTTACCGCTGTAATCAATTTTCTTATTGTTCATGAACACCATATTATCAGTCGTTTGAGCCTCACGTGAGTAATAAGACACTCGATTCCACTTGTTGTCACCGGCTTCATCCGAGAACACTGCAATGTTTTCAATCTCGCATGGACCACGGAAGATCAAGGACACTGGCTCCGACATGGGACCCACTGGGCTATTCACACTCACTTGTTTTTTCGTGCATTGCTGAATATCAATGACAGAGTCGTACACACCCGGAACGTTACCGGCGTATTTGCCCTTGTACTCGTACTTGGCCAAGACGGAACCGAGGTCCTCTAGATCATAAACCTTTCCATCCTCATTTGAGTTATCCTTGTAATCCGAAGAATACGATAAGTCAGTCTGCGTCACATCCTGAACCTCAGTCTGCGTCACATCCTGAACCTCAGTCTGCGTCACATCCTGAACCTCAGTCTGCTTAACAAGCCCCCCAATCAAGCCACCACCATTATTTGTGAAGCAAAAGGTCACATCAATCTTCGTGCCTGTGGGGCAGCTATGGGTCTTTGTGTTGTCCATAGGGAAATGGTACGCATCGGCGCAAGCATTCTCATCATCAGCAGCACAGTAGAGTTCCGAGCACGAGCCGACACCGATATTGCTCTTTGGCACCACAGACATGGGCACGTTAAAACCAGTCTTTGTGCCACCAGCCTTGCAGTCGATATAATCTTTGCACAATTTCGAATCAGGTGGAATAATGCTCATGTCCATCCAAAACGTGCTATCACATGACAACTCGAGTAAAGTAGCTGATTCACTAACTGTGTGGCGATACATGTGCGCAGGACCCGTTACGTCGGTGCTATACGTATCTCCAACAGCAATGTCACAAACCTTAGCAGCAGCCGAGCCCATCTGGCTATGGTATAGCTCAATTGGGTGTGAGCATTTATTGATAAAGTTGACACTTTCAGCTGAAGCTGCTGCCGCGTACAGACATGTCGCGAGGACGAACTTTGTCGGCATCGTCACTTTGACCATGGTTTCCGAGGTAGAGAGAGAGAAAAAGTCGAGCTTACTGTGTCTTTTGAAACCTTGTATAGTGGAAGACCAAGTCCGTGTCAGCGAGCAGATTGTACAATGATCCTGGCCCTCAAGCGGTAGAGCAAAAGAGGACACGTACACTATCCACAAATAACTCGAGGACAGCCTCGTAACGGTCGATTTGGACTGACTTGTTCGAGTCAGTGTGGCGATGGGACAATTTGACAGACGGTGGTACTAGCTCTTTATTCTTATACTTTTAGTCATTTGATTTCGTAGCTTTTCCTTTGTTTGTAGTATTTCACTACTTAGTATCTTATTGTTATATACCCTGTCAAACACGATTAAAAATCAATATCCTATATGAGTCTTACAACCTGTCAACGGCGTCCAAAAAAGAGCATGCCTTATGATCATCAGATCGTAGAGAGTTGTAACACAACAAGTGCGAAATTTCTAGAGAGAGCTGTTTGAACGGCAAGAAGTTATGGCGTCTATTGCGTGCGTGACCATGAGCATGGAAGCAGCAGAGATGTTACGTTTTGGCAACAAGGATACACACCAGAGTAAATTCCTTTGATTTTTTCGATATGGCCGACCAGGTTAGTTGAATCGGGCTAATCTCTGTTTAGTCAGTCGTCACCTTCTACATTTCTCTAAGAAGCTTTCGTCAATCCAGACGGCTATGCATTTCGAAAGCAGATGCCATGACTCTCCCATTTACAACCTTCCTTTCTTGGAACTTCAATCGTCAGAGGCCACAGATTTTCTTTACTAGGCCATCTGGAAGCTGACGCGAGGCTGCGATTTTAAATCACATGACGGTGGCATGTGTTACACATACATACATATCCATGTTTACTTATCATGAGATGTATGGTTTTTTCATCAGTCTAAGTCTGCGCGCTAGACTACACAATGGTCTAATGCGTTCTTGCATACGAGTCTTGAATACACTTGGTAAGAAAACTCATTTCTATATCCTGAGCGTTACATAAAGCTTCGTTTCACTCATTCCTGCTCATTCATGTAACTTTCGAAACGTTTGCATGTGAAACCTCACAACGTATTGATACTTTATAACTTTTCTTACCTTTGGACTTGAGTCAGTGCCAATCGCACCCCGCTGGATGCGTAAAGGCGTTTCACAGTCAATTTATTTGCCATGGAGAGAGCATGACGTATGGACGACAACGGCTGCTCATTAAACTTGAGCTCGTGTACTGGATCTTTTGACAGAATCCTCTCGGTGACGCACTTGAAAGTCGGTTGGGACGATTCAAATTAGCCGGTCTTCATCACGCTTTATGGTTGCTACTAGAGCTATGAAGTCTCTTTGTTCATTAGTTATTGTTAAAGCTGCACACGAGGAATGGAAAACCAGACCTCATGTGACAATAAAGCATCAGCGTCGCATATGCCAGCAACGTGCTGGAAGCTATTGCTACATTGTAACTCGTTTGCACAGTATTATGTACATCAATACAACAATCTGCGACTGGATAGATCCAAAGAAGACAAGTTTTGATCGACCTTCTTCTTTATTTGACTGCAGGTGCTCACGAACAAAATGGGGAAAAATAAGTGATACGTACGTCATAGGAAAGACGAACAAGTGGATAGCGGCCTGCACAGTCAATTCTACTTGCCAGCCATCGATTCGGAGCATATACCTTGCTATTTCACCTGTTCCTACTGCAGGCAAAGAGTGTGAGCAAATCCATGTCAGATCCTCATTCATAGTTGAGCTTATGCGTCAAGTCGTGCTCAGGATAGACCCACTCATCCCTGTTGCCTCACACGCTTGAAACGGAGCTACTTACAGATCTTAAACGGCGATGGTGCTTTTCAAGAAATGCACGTCCTAATGTGGTTAGAAACATATTGCTAATGTCATGGTAAGTTTAATGGAAATGGAATGAGACCAAGTAATCTGTTGGTGAATCTGTAGCCCCATGAGTGACGTAAACGATGTTGCTGCGTGTATTGCTACCAACTTGGAAGCTTCGATCAGTCTGTGGCCCTTCCATCTTTAGAGAAAAGATGACGCAACAGGCAAGTTCTACTTTACTAAATTATTTGGAACTGGAGACAAAGCTAGAGCTCTTGAAGTATCATTTGTTCTGGACAAGACTGAATTGAAATGTGTGTCAAAGCTATACTGCTACTTGTCTGGTTTTCATTCCAAAGGAACTGCTTGATGAGGCAAAGTGACTGTAAGTAGCCGTCAAGATTCTTCTTTTTTGTTTAATCTAGACCCAAAAGCCGACACTGATGATAAGGCGGTGGGGAATGAACGATATTGTCATATCAAAGGTCGCATTGAGTACTACTATTTTGTTGGGCAAATATAGGAGGACATCGACATCATTTATAGTAATATTCAATTACTATTTTGGAAGAATAGTAATTCATAACTTACATCATTCATGTAAAGTGACGAAATGTCTCCATACTAAACAGTTTAGTTGATGAATTTATTGCAGCTGTATAGAAAGACTGCAAAGGGTTAAGAAAGGATAAGATGTATGTATCCTTTCATCTGTCTTACTAAACACATGTAAACCTATCACGTCAATTTTAACATACCCTTTTACAGTCAACAGTACGTTGTGGCAAAAGGACTTGAGTGCTTCTTGGACGAATGATCTCTCTCATGCTCACGATGCAGCCGCGATCAAGAAGGATAATATAGATTATTATATGACTTGTAGAGATGCAGATACATGACTATGGGCGATGCTATCGGTATTATAAGATAGTTTCGAGAACTGAAGCCATCGAAGCGATCTAGTGATCAGAAACGCACTAGTGATTTTATCGAAACACTAACTCATCTAGACTCGGGCAACGCTCATTGGACGATGTCATCAAAACCGTTAGATGACAGCAATGTACATGTATTTCGCGGTAACTTCTTCGCAAGTCCTGCAGCTGCTGGCTGAGTGCTGTTGGTCATTGTGATATTGAAGAAAATCACTAAATTATCTTAGAACGATGAGAAGTCTATCTCTCGTTAATTAATTTGAAAACGTTGCCTGCTACTTCGTCGTCATCCAATGTCGCCAAAACTTGTTTAGCTTGTATGTAAGGAGTACTAATGATGCTTTGTTTTGTCTTGTGATGAAGTAACTACGCATAAAGTGATTATGAATGTCCATTGTGGTATTCCCATTAATGCGGCGTACACCAAAGCAATGGCCGCAATCTAAACCATAGATAGGCAGGCTGCCCGGCCGCGATGGTACGCAAGTCATGCGTTGCGTTTGGCTATGAGTCGTCTGTGATTAATGATTAGCATTGTCTTCATGTATTGAAACATGGTATTGGAATAATCCTGTTCCCTGCAAACCTCGCTTGATTAGAAGCGATTATTCAGTATAGCGGAGATGTCACGGTAAGAAATTCGATTTGCAGTCAACATTGTTTGAGACAAGGAAATTTGAATGTATTTGCATTAGCGGCACACGCACTTCAGAATTTAGAATGATGTTCACCGGTCTGTCTGTAATAATACTAAAGCAAGTGTATCTGTTATTGTAATGATCTTAGCAGTACTATGACCAATTCCAAGCACCGGAGAGTTTTGATGCGGCCATGGCTTTCGAAACCTTTCTTTACGAGTGGCATTAGAGTGGCAGCAATAGTTCATGTTTCTGTCGAACATATCGATCTACAGCTGTACCCGCTAAGCACTGGGCATTCTCATGTCTGAATTTCCTGGGTACCGCTGTTCGGGTGTTCGAACCTCACTAAACTATGCAAAAACCAGACCGTCTGGCACTAGAGATCTATGCCATGTATGTATGGATGGTCTAGCTCGGATTCAGACCAACATCTATATCAACCTTGCACCTTTGTGATTGATGCTTCATATTCTTTTACGCCTCAATAATACAAAGCTTTACAAGACAGCGGACGCTGTCTCGACAGCTTCAGAAACACAAAAGACCGCAATGATGTGGGGCGCAAATGGTCTGAGAACTCCAATTCTCACATTGGAATTAACGACATCGCAAACTGTAGACAGAAATTGCGTTGTCTGGAAAAGCTTTCCATGAACGGTCTAGATACCAATTACGTGCGTGGCCAAGTGCTATTCCATAATCTAGCAATCACACCGGATACATCTGAAATTCAGCTCAGTTGGAACCTTTCCTTTGACTAGCCATTGCTTTCCGTTCAAACTTGTCGTACGACCACTGAATGGAGATTGCAACGTGAGACAAGACGGTAAACTATAACATCAACATGTTCCAAAGTATCCAAGAAGTGGTACGAATTGTTTAATGCTGGACTCATTTACAATCCATTCGTTTCAGCATAATTCAATGCGCTTTGTGGAAGCTATTTCGTGTCTTACGAGCGCATTCATGAGTTTTTTATACTGTCAAAACTCCAACAGTATCGTCTTTTTACTGTTTATATTTCATATAGTGCCGTCAATCGCATGTCAAGAAAATACGTTTGATCATCTGATAACGTGTTGTACCTGTTATTTTATCATTCAAATTTCAGACGAAAATTGAGGTCTCCGAGTAGTTCATTCGCTGAAAAGTGTTCACTAATCAATGCTCCAGCTAATTGTGACGTTGCGCGAATGAAATGGCTTTATTCTGTGCTGTCATGCTTGACGCTCCACAACGTTCATTCATTGGCTATTTTAGCAGATTACGTACACTGTTATGAACGGCGACAAACAAAACATTCACTCTGCCGCCGATCGCATGCCTTATGCCCCCATCCTACATACAATTTCTTCAACGAGCAATTGACCTTGTTGTAGTCCCATATGACACTCTTTACGACCAGATTCTGTTTGCTACAATCTTTTGCTTTTTATAATACAATTCAGCATAAAAAAGTATCAAAACGATGCAATTTACCACCAAGATTATCTATCATCCAGGGTGAGTAAGTGCGTCCATCTCTATTTTTCGCAGGATTGTACATAAAACGCTCTGTATTCAATACAAACACCAAGTTGTTTTTAGTTGTTTCGGTTGGTCGCACTTATGGCTACATAACGCATCTACACCCACCGACTCGACCTCACTCTTTTCGCTTGAGCTCACAATTCAATTTGCTCACTCTGACGCAAGTCGAGTTTGAAATAAATAGTCCATTTGATAGGCAGTTGAGTGTAGCTTTCGAGTCAGTAGTCATGGTGCCTCGACCTCAGCCTCAATCAAACTATCCACTGGTTCAACCTGTATTACTAGACCCACAATTTACTCGTGTGCACAAATGTGGCATTACTTTTTCACCAGTTAAACGTGGTTCACGTGATATTATTGATACACTCAAGCACCAATGTGATTGTGCTCCTCGTGCTATTTCCATGGGTGAATATGTTGTTAGTCCACGGGTTGTAAATGGTAAAATACAGGGGTTCTTTGCCAAGGAATCCGATTATCTCTTGGCTGAACCACCATACGTCATTGATGTACACAAGACTGAGCCAAGAACCGAGCTACAACAGCAGCAACAACAACGTTCTGTCAGCTCACTCTGGGGATCTACGTTCACGCTCACAAATACAATCTTGGGCTCGGGGACACTTGCTGTACCATTTGCCATTGCATCCAGTGGCTGGCTCCTGGGCAATGTTATTATGCTGATCATTGCACTGATTACGCGATATTCCGTCCATTTGTTACTGTCAGCAAGTGACCGAGCGGGGAAAAATTGTGCTAAAACGTACGAGAGTCTTGGACATTTTACAATGGGCGCGTTTGGTACGAGATTGGCCGAGTTTACGTTTATTTTTGGTGGATTTGGCACCCTCGTGAGCTATTTAATCTTCGTTACGGACTTGTGTGCGGCTGTGGTGGCTATTTCTGCACACGACAAGTGGATGATTACGGTCGCATTGGTCGCCATGATCGTTTTTCCATTGTCATTGAGTCGCCGTATCGGCAAGTTGTGGCTCGCGTCAGTGCTCGCGATTCTCTCAATTGGCTATGTCGTGGCATTTGTCGCTCTTGCTTTCCTAGCCGTGTACAATACTGAAGGAGCTGTAAGTCCAATAGGAGTACAAGCGATTCGATTGGAACCGGGAAGTGTCTACACGGTGACGCTTTTAATTTCTGCGTTTGCGTGTCACAATACGGCATTGCCAGTGTATGAAGAGCTCAAGGATCGGACGTTGCCACGAATGAATCGGGCCGTTGGTGGTGCGATTAGCGTTGCATTTGTGCTGTACGAAGTAATCTCGTTGTGCGGATACCTGCAGTTTGGATCGGATACCAAGGACAACATTTTACTTAATTTTTCATCGGCGTACGTGTCCCAGCACAAGTCAGTGGCCGTGCCTTTGCTACTTGGACAGTTGTGTATGGCATTGGCCCTTGTTTTAACTGCGCCAATTGCCATGTGGCCCTTCCGTTCATGTGTTTTGAGCGTATACTTGCGTGTGAAAAATGGTGTACAGACCCCCAGCCACGAGGCAACGTACAAAGAGTACGTGGGAGTCACAGTGCTAAGTTTAACGCTGATCATGATTTGCAGTATCTTTGTGCCTTCTGTCAAGATTCCGTTGAGCATCGTTGGCTCTGTCTCAGGGTCTTTGCTGATTTTCATCATGCCTGCATTATTTTTCCTATTGCAGTCAACTGGTCCAATTGTAAGTCGTGAGCATCTGGGTCCACTGCTTATGCTCATAGCAGGTTTCATTGTTGCAATTGTTGGTTTGTCATTGACACTATTCAAGTTATACCACGAATACTACTAAGATAATGTCAAATTAGCAAGTAAAAGCTATTAAATATTTTTACAAGTGTTTTCTCGTGTCTTTTCATATTCATTCACTCATTTGTCAGTCAAACAATAGCAAGAAGTTAAATATCGCAACTTTAACTCTATTTTAACGCCTCTTCGAGTCTAACAGAAGGTTTGTCAGTCGACAATACTCGATTAATTCGTCATACTGTTTGCTTAATGTTCGAGTATTCAGCAATGTCTGTATCTGTTTCATTCGATACAAATCAAGGTAAGAGTCAGTACAGGACTTTTGATGGTAATAACCCATTGTCGGGTCTTTGCACTCTAGCTTCTATCATACATAAACTCGCCACATATGATCCATAAAGTACAAGACATTATCATTCAATCACAATTATCGTCTACATACTATAGCGACCAATTCTAGGTAAAAGCACCACATACAAAAACTACATCACATTAGCTTTTTACTTCTTACGATTTAATCAGGAGCTGTCCGACCTTGACACCAATATCTACAATTGTTAAGTGTCCTAGGAACTAACTACCACTGTAACGGAGACAAGGTTAGTACTTTATCATGTCAGTATATTGCTACATCCCTTTGTCTTTTTCTTTACAAAGGATGTAGCAATATATGATCATATTACTAGTAAATTTTGAATAGTGGTCTCATTTGATCTTATCTCTGAATGCATACATTTCTACCATCATTTTGCTTGCATTTGAGTGTCAAAGTAGCAACTACGAGAGGTTTTTGCCAACCTCATAATCTGTAAGCTCAACGTGATAGTGGCGACTTTATTATCATAGGTTAATTATTTTGGGGGTCGATTCGTTGCCATTTTGTCGGATACAAAACCGCCAAAACTTTATATTTCATAAGATTGGGTAATCAGCACCTCGAGCGTAAACTTTTCCCTAAAGTGGCAAATAAAAGCGATGAAAAACAATGTTCTTCCACCTTCTTGCATGTTCTTTAACATATTTTTGGCTGTCACACGTCAATAATGAAACAAATCAGCAAACAAGCAATAATGTTTCATTCAAGCTGAAAACTTGCCGTTACAGTCTTTGCTATGTAATAAATAGTTGCAACTTGTTATTTATAGATTGCTATCTATAGCTTCGTCTAGCAGCAAGTCGTTACGTTTTGTGTTAAATGATTGTTCTTCTTGTGTTAAATTAATTATTCCTACGCACTTGATCTACCCTATAGACCAAGTCTTCCTCGTCCGGACCTCACTATTTCATTCAAACGAGTATTGCTCCCTTAGCAGTGCTCTGACTGCTCGGAAAACTTAATGCAGGTCGAGCTTCAATGCATTTTTCAATGCGGTCGATACATTTTTCCAGAGCTGGCTCATCCTTTTCCTATTTTGCTGTCGATTGTATACTACCATCCTGTTGTCTTCCTGCATTCTCGCACAATGATACTTGTTTCTCTGTAGCATTCGTGTCGCTACATCTTTCCAAAACCTCTTTTTCTGCAAAACCGATGTCACTGTTGATACAATTGCAACATTTAGATCATCTTTGACAATTGGTAACTGTGCTACTGCTGTCGTCACGTGACAATGCCAACGACAAAATGTCTCGGTATCTGGTAAACAAAGTTGTACATGCAAGGTCGTTCGTGCATCTCGAAATTGCAATTGGCGTACATCTTGTCCAACTCGTAGTGCCGTGACATGGATTCGTACTAATAAACTTCTTGCAGATGCATCTTCGTATCGATAGAGCCATAGCATATTGTTATAAAAGACGGCAAACACTCGTGTCCAGCAGTCAGGAAGAGTAATAGCATCACGTTGCCAATAGACCCAATCACTTAATGGACATTGTGGGTTAAGAAGAACATGAAAGTCTTGGTCATCAATATCTCGTGTATTACTATTATGAACTTGGTCCTCTTGGTCATCAGTTTCAATTGATTCATTATCATCAGTCATCCACGTTGAACGCAGTGACTCACTGCGAGCAATTTCTTTGTGATGAGTAAAAGATAATGATGATAATGATAATGATGATGATGATGGAGATACTGCTTTCTGAAAATTAATAGGACTCGTATCCTGTCGAGATTTTCTCCATTTACGTTGAGTAACTGGTATGTTTACTTGGCGTAAATTTAACATTGGAAATGCCATAGTAAGAGAAGTATTCACTCTTTTTTAGCTTAAATGATCACTGTGCTTCTATGGGACAACTCTAAAAGTACTGTAATATATATGATCACACAAAAGAAATCATGTCCACATAGATGTGTAATGATTGGTCAACATTAGAATCCGATATTTACATTACCCAATCAAAATATAATAAGTATACATAATCACAGAAAAGACGCAGTGCAGTGTTCACGGTAAACTAAACTCGGCAGTCTGTCTGGTAAGTTATTATAACAAGGCAAAAATCATTTACTTAACTCCTCGATAAATTACTATACCTTACTACTTGCGCTTTTTTATTTTGCAACGTTCGTGACAATTTTTTGAATCTCCTTGGTATTAGATTAATTAACATGTGTTCAATTGGTCAATTTTGTCAATTCGCTGCTTACAAGTGACGTTGTATTAAATAATGTTCCAAGTTGTTTGTCATAGAGATAGGACTAGTCGACGCGTATTTATTCCATATAAAAAACAATGTGTCTTAACATTTGCAATCTCTTAGCAGCCACTTTTAACCGAGAGTTGATATAATTATAGGTTAGATATTAAAAACATGCGATACATATTGGCTGTAGCTTTCACTGCCACGTTTTTAGTCTGAGAAATGTACATGTACATGGTCCTCAAGCATTCTATGAAGCTACATCGACGTCATCTTGTGATTGCGTTACATTTCTATACCTCCCTGTATCAGATACAGTATCACTTCATGCACTGATACTTGTTGATGACTATACAAACAATAAGAACCAAGTAGAAAGAAAATCGACCATTGGGTGGTTGGTTGCATTTCAATAGACGACGATAGACGCTAGACGACGATGCGTTTTCATTGACCTTCAGCATGTCGTCACTTCGGTAGCGACTTATGATCTAAACTTGATGTAGATTAAAAAACACCTGTTAAAGGAGAAACTATATGACAATATGGCCGACGAAAAAGAAGTACGCAACTACTCAAGCCCGCTATTGTTTCAGCAGTTTCAACATTCAATCATAATCGATTGCTTACAATCAAGACAAGACAATAAAGTTCGTCGATACTTCAAACTTTCTCAATAAAGTCGTTCATATCGCTTTCTCTTACGACGCTCTTTTCTTTTGCTATGGTACGCTTGACATTATCAACAACCCTCATCTCCACCTCTTTCCTTGTCTCCTTATTTCTTGCTAATCTCCCCCCTCCCAGCAGTAATTTACATCAAATTAGCTGTCTTTGTGGCGCACATGAGCAACAAAACTATAGTGTCGAGTAAGTCTCTCCACTAAATAGTGCGCGGATTGAGTTTCTGCACCTGACGGCTACAGAAAGAGCGCAAATTAATCGCTGCAGTGGTGCAAATTGGGCTTATACAGCATGCTTACCCATTGAAAAACGGTGAATACGCTTCTTGTAGCCAAAGTAAAACAACTTCGCTGCATCACCAAGTCACCCACAAGAGACAAAGCCTATCTCCCCATCTTCATACTGTTAATACCATTGTGTTTGTCAAAACAGGCTTTTGCCATCATGATCACAATTATCTGACGCACCTCGTGATGTTCCACTGGCGTGACCTGCACTTGCCGTCTGCGACTTCTGCTGCTGTTGTTGCTGATGCGAGTTGTTCGAAGCTGCAGCAATTGCGGCAGCTAGCTGTTGTTGTTGTTGTTGTTGTTGTTGCTGCTGCTGCTGCTGCGGAAGTTGCCGTTGCTGAATCTGTTGTTGAAGCTGTTGCTGCTGAAGATGTGCTTGCTGTTGAGACTGGGCGTTTTGGTAATATATTGCTTGCTGTGGAACAATCTGGTTGCCGAAGATCTGGTAGCCAGGAATACCGGCACTAAACGCGTTGTTGTGGGCACTTAATGCCTGATATTGTTGCTTGATATTCACTTGCTGCTGGCCGCCATGCGCACGAATTTGACGCATTTGTGCTTCAAGCTGTATCTGAGCTGCACGAGCCTGAGCGTTCGCAATCGCTTGAGCCTGAGCATGTGCCTGTGCATGAACCTGAGCTGTTTGCTGCCTCGACTGTGTCGTTGCCATTTGCTGCATATTCATGCCTTGAGACATATGAGGCGGCATTGAAAACGATCCGGCCAAGTATAAGTTCGGGTCACCAAACATGGCTGACGCAGCATTGCTATTTTGTACTAATAACGTAGCAGCCTGTTGACTTGCCGAAGTCACCGCCGTCAATGTTCTGCTGTTTCCATTAACTGCCGCTGATACCGCCGCTGCCAAATCTGTAGTCGAAGTAGGTACTAGCGTCCTTGAGGCCGTTTCAATCGCTAAAGTAGATGTCCCAGTAAGCGTCCCACTGTTCGATGTCGGCGTAGGTGCAGCTGCAGTACGCCGGCTTGTTGCATTTCCACCACCGCCGCTAACCAACAAGGACGATGTCGTTCCTGCCCGTCGCATGGTCCGAAATTTGTCCTTAAGCTGCACATTGGATCTATCATTGAACTGTAGGCCCAGCTCCTTATCTATCAAAATAAGCGACCACACATTCCTCTGTCCATTGTATTTCTTGACACCTTCCAGCAATGCTCGCTCTTCAGCTGCTGAAAATGGCCGATACTTGCGGTGATTTTTGCGGTTTTCCGTATACGCTGCAAGTTCCGGTCGAGTTTTAATAAGCGTCCTCCATTTATCCTTCAAGTCCACTCCGCTGCGACCATGAAACAAATGACCTAGGTGTGGATCTCGAAGAATAGAGCTCCAAGGGCAACTATCATCTGCATATCGCTGTACTCCTAACACTAGCGCCGTCACTTCGTGTGGACAATATTTTCGCCGTTTTCCTTTTACACGTTCTCCGACATTTTCGCAAGCAAATTCCGGTGAATTGCGAGGAAATGCGTAACCACCACCAGCAGTGGCACCTCCTGCTGTAGCTGCTACGTTTGCCGCATTTGTTGCTGCCTGTACGGCCACTGACACGAGATTGTTGGCCGTTGCACTTTGACCCAACGTGCCCGATGGTGTGCTAATTTCTTGTGAATACTGCAAAGACTGTTGCTGTTGTTGTTGTTGTTGTAGCTGTTGCTGTTGTTGTTGCTGGAGTTGTACTTGCTGATGTTGTAATTGCTGCATCTGTGCCTGTTGCTGGAGATGATATTGCTGTTGCTGCTGAAGTTGTTGCATTTGTAATTGTTGCATCTCAACTTCTTCCTTCATTTGATGCAAACGCGTGGCTGATTGCTGTTGTGGCTGTGCTCCAATGGATTCCGGTTGATCATTCACGGCCATTAAACTTGTTTTTGCTGGTGGTCGTGGCATTTTCTCGGTTGATTTTATCAACAAAACAACGACGACGACTACAGCGCGTAAAACACGACAAGTTGCACACAAAGCGATAAAAAGTAACAAGTTAGAACAAAAGTCACCTCAAAACAACGCAAATTGATCAAATGCGCATTCTTTGCAGTCGAAAAAATGCACCACACAAAAATTGTGTCATCAGTTTTTTCCATACTAAAATGGAAACAAAACTGTGCCAGCACACAAATTGAAATACAAAAACGCACCGAGAGATCACAAGACAAAAAGTCACGTTTTGCCCCTTTCCACGACGATTTTCTCGTGTTTATCTTTCCTCACTCGTTATAAAGCGTCCGCTTGAATCCAAACAATGATGTACCACTTTCTTCACCTATACCTTGACAAAATAAAATGTTCCCCTACTCGTTGGTTACTGGTGAAGGTTGCTTTATGAGCCTTTGGAAAGTTGAAGATTACTGGTCTCTTTCACACACGCCACACACACTCTTTCTTTCTCTCTCTCCCTCTCTCCCTTTCCTCGTGGCGTTTCGCAACACACACTTAATAATACAAACCAGCTGTAATCTAAATATATCTCAATGCCCTCGTCCTCCAAAAACAGAAACTAATTCAGGACGTGCACACACAAACACTTTTTGCAACAAGATGTAACTCTTTTACACTTGATAAGCTTCTTTTGCACAGCAGTTCTTCTGCCTTGTGGTTTTTCTTCTTTCCTTGTCTTCTGGTATAGTATATAAACAAACACACACACAAGTCTAAAGAAATCGATGGATAGACGACAGACGATACAAATTGCAGCGTCAGTAGAGCGTGAGACACATTGCTTTTTCTTTCTCTCTTTCGCGATTGATTGAAAATAAAAAGCAATTTGTAAAAATGCTTTTTATAAAAAGGAAAGACATGACATAAAATAAGCATAAAAACTACCTTTGCTTTTGCCACACGACGTTAAAGTTGCCGTTCGGTGAGCTAGCTGTGCACGTGAAACTGTAGATTGAGTGGCTGGAAAAAAACAAGTGGCACACAAGAGTGAATGTCACTTGAGAAATCTTAGTGATAAACGCTCACTCCAGCTGGTTTTGATTGCGCAATCCCACGTGGCAAAACTACGAGCAGCGAGAAAAAAATGTCGTACGACGTATTGCACTGAAAAATAGCGTGCTGCTTGTGAAGCGTTTGTAGCTTGAGTTGCTGACTTGCTATGCTGTGTAGAAAGCTCTGCTATTTGTTGCTCGAGTTGAGTTGAATTGCCGCACGCTCTGACCTCGGACGGCTACTGCGTTTGTATTGTGTCCAGGGGAAGGGAGAAAAAGCCCCTTTTCCTCGTATCGTTGCACTGTGCTCAAATAGTATTCAAATTCAAAGTTTAGTTGCTACAATCATAGCGGTACAAATGGAGACAAGTGATTGGACGAGAAAAGATGGGGAAAGGTGAGGGCCAGGGGAGGCACAGCCTCAAACGGTTATCCTGTCAAATCGAATTGTGACCAAGCGGCTGAAGCAAAAAGATGGCAACAATGTCTTTAGTGTTCACTCCAAAGTATCAGTTACAAGGAGACACCGGTTTGGACTTTTTAAAGACAATGTCAGCATGCTAGAAGGTTTAGTGCATTTTTACGCATTGACAGCTGCATTTTAAATCCTGCCGACCGCATCAAAAATCCATCTTTTACCGGTCGAAATTGCACAAGGAGCTCCAGCGGATACGTGACTGCACTTGAATACGTGACTGCACTTGGATTCATGTAACCGATGATTAGGCTTGAAGAAACACATTTCGACGAACGATATCAGGCAATAGAGTTGTCAGTGGCGACACAGCGTGGCAATAGTATTAATCACTGAGCCAAGCTGCAACCCTTTAGCTAATAAAAATGCGAAAAACTCGAAGACAAGCCAGCGAAACTGGAAATGAAAGGCTTTTTTGAAAGACATGACTGCCATGCTGCGTTACTTTGTAAATAAAAGGTTGTCGCTTTGAAAGTTTTTGGATAATTATTAAAACATTGCAATGACAGCGTAAAATGATGTCACTTCTGCGTAAAGCGCAATTCAGCCGTATTCAAACAGCGTTCCTGTTCTGCAAGACAAATGCATGTACATTGTTGATTCCGCCGCTATCAATGCAGAAAGTGCAGGTCTCCTCCATATTTGTGCTGCGGTTGGGTGCATTCGTCTGCAGGTCTCCGTTTTCTCCTGTTATCATCCAATCGTAGTGCGTTTTTGTGACCGTTGAGCAAACGGGACTGCCAATTTGTAACAGTATAAGATACAACTGTTTGACGCCCAGAAGTGCCTTCAACTGGTAGTCAGAACGACAGTCAGTCGCACGTTAAGCTCAAGCAGTTACGCTTTAGTTGACGTTTTTCTTCATTTACTTGCGTGATAATGCAGTTCTTTTTGTTCACACATTGCGATAATTTATCATGTGAAGCCTGATGGATTGTAGCTGGACAGAGCATATTCCAACCAGCACTATTATTATCCGGAATGCCTTACAGTTTTGTAATGGTGTAAAAGATAGCACCGTCTTGTTGATATTAGTCTTTGATTCTTACCGTAATTATTTCAATCAGCTGTAGACTGTAATGTGAGTCAATTAAATCGCAAACCTTACAGTGAGATACAACACCTATTGATCCGTTTTTTTTAAAAGGTTAGGCAGACGACGCAGATTGGGCACTGTTTGAAGCTAATTAACAGCGTATATGCTGCCTTCATTCTTGGTTCTTCGAGGCAATGAAAGACGTAATCTAGTTCTCTTCGCTATTTGATGCAATTGAAGACGTGACCTGGTTCTCTTCGAAAACGTTTACGCCGTGAACAGTGGGAGTGGTATTTGACATGATTGCTAGCACTGGTAAAGTCATTTTGAGCGTTTGTCAGAAGCGAGATTTGAGCTTCACTTTACTGTGGCCGATTGTCGAGTGATGACGACAATAAGCCCAAGCGGATGACCACCACGCGAGCATGTCTACAAGAAAGCTGACATATCTTTAAAGAGCTGCGTAGTTGGATAAAGAAATATCACCGCTTGCTCTAAGCCAACGCTGTCATTTCAACGAGTACAGAAAGAAGCTTGGAGAGCGACAAAAACGATCGCTTGCTTATTGGCAAACGTCTCGAAAAGTCTACGCACTTCTCACTCGAACCAAGTGTTGCGAGACGTCGTTATGGCTGAATGGCGTCCGTCGTCAACGACGTAGTGTATAGTGCTTTGTCACAGAGTTAACAACTACAGCCAAAACTGCGAATAATCCGGAATAGCAATATCTAGTTGTCAAAATGGTTGAATCAATAATGTTGCCATGAGTAACGTGACTCTATTTTGGCTACAAATGACGTGTCTGCTTTGGCCATTTATGAATAAAGAGTAGTCTTTAGTGCAGTAGAGTCTGCTCTTGGTTTTATTGAAAACCTAAAGCATTTGTCTCAAGATTTATATTCCTTGATCAGCTGCTAAACCACTGGACATGGGACTGACCGCTGTCGCCATTCTATCAAATTAGTTAAGGTCTTCATGTTGACGCTAGCTTGACCCGGATTCAATTTTGAGAAAATGCCACTTGAATGATACGTCGCTATATTCTCACTTACCAGTGATGGTCTAGCTTGTGCGAGGTCGAGGTCGTGTCGTTTTTTTGCAACGCTCTATGACCTTTGCCACTTGGACGTCATTCACTGGAAGTAATAATGCAGGCCCGAATGAAGCTGCTTGTGCATATCAATGTAATAAAGCCGAAGAGCAAGTATTGAGGAAGTACGGCCCGTGCAAAACGCAATTGCTCCAGACATCCATTTCTGAAAAAGCGTAAGCGGTTACAGGTACAGGTGCTTCAAATGCAAGAAACTAAGACACTCGTAACTTGCCGGTACAGAACGATAAAGGAGACGCCAACGAAATCTTCTTAGTAGGGAATGCACGCCTTGGCGGGTAGTAGATGTAGAGTGGTGCAACCGCTTACATACTCACTCCAAAATAATCTTTTCAATATAAGGCCGTGAGCGCTGGGGTCAAAGTGAAGAGTGCAATTGGCAAGAGGCTGAAAGTATCAGGTTGCGGTACAGTGTGATTGTTCAGTCTGGACCAGGAATGGCTTAAGACACTGGAAGCCCTACACAAGTCTCTTTGGGTCTCGAAAGAAGATTGATGTCGGTAAAGAAGCTGGGAAAAGAGGCCTGAATGTGAAAATACTGCGGTCTTAGTGTGCCATCTGGAGCAAGGCTAGCGTGATCGCGCTAGGAGCAAAGATGTCTATATGGACTATGATTGTTAAAGGATTGGTTATTTTTTTTTGTCCGCCGAAGCTGATTGTCAGCTGGAGCCTTGGCACGCCGTCAAAAACATACCGCGTATAATATTTTGGAAGCCTCAAAAAAACCCGCTGATATTGTACTACAGCAACCTTCTCCTCGTCGTATCGGCGTAGTCGTTGTTCATACGATGAGAAGAAAGACGTTGCTGTCGCAGCACTGGTCAATAGCAGAGGCTTATCAGTGTACAAAAAGCCAACGCTTACCTTTGCTTGTACATGTTGCCGACGCCAAGGACATACCACCGTTTGGTATCGATTTCTGTTATCAGCTGGAAGCGAACACCGATTGGGAATGTTCCGCCATCGCAATATTTCTTGCAGTTACTCGTTTGTGAGGTAAGTTGCTCAGTCCTGCCAGGTGCTTGAAACCATGCAACGTCGTTTTTCGTGCATCATTGCGGTCTCAGAAAACGCGTGCTGAAAACAACGTGAGAATAAAAATTATCGTCCTCAACGTGTATCAGGACCAAAATTTGTGCCGTGCTTGAAACTCAAGCTACATGTCGGTGCTGTGTTCACTTGATTCTGAGTGCGCAAAGAACTTTTACGCAGTATTACACATTCTCAACAGATTACCATGCAGTCTTCATAGGGGGGTCACTTGAGTCATGGGAGACAAGACGCGCCTCTTTGGATACAGAAACGATGTAGAAACGTCCAACGCCTGCCAATACTTTTTGGATCTCTTGGTTACTTTTTTTATCGCCACTACTGCAAAAACATTGCACTTACCATTATTCTTATCTTCTCCTAGCAAATGCACCTGTAAGGGAGAACTGTTTGAGTTTCTTGCAGTATTTGTAGTAGCGCAAGTGAATCAGTGTGGACGCAGCTTGGACACTATTGTCATCCAGATTGTCACAACATGTGACTATTTTTTCTATACAAGTTTGTCGCCACTACGTTGTGGGTGCTTGTAGCTGAAGAGCTTTATGTATTAATAACAAGTTAGCTAGTTGGACTAAATGATGCATTGCGACAACACGGATACGTTTATATGTTGGCTAGGGACAGCATTTGCAACAAGTTGTGCCGACTGGCCGAGATACACAACAGAAAGCTTTTTACGTAATATTCTATTACTAAAACGGGTTACGCGGAAAAACTACCGCTCATCATTTTCCGCTGGCTTCGGCACTGCACGTTTTTGTACCTGTCTCACATAAAAAGCATAACCTGCAAACTTTTCCATCAATTCGATGGCCTCCTCTCCATTTAATGAAAATCGGTCATTGTCGTTCAAGATGGCTTTTTTCAAATCTGCTCTATATTCCGGTGATCCCTTCGCGTACATTCCAGCGTATATCTTGACCAGCGGAGATGTGTTCATCTTGTTGATAAGTTCTTGAAGCACAGTATGTTGCTGTTTTCCATAAAACCTCTCAATGCTGTCATATATTTGAGCTTGAATCAACTTTGAGTAAGCTTCATAGCGCTCTGTAGTCGATCCCTTGCCATCGCCCTTTATAGCCTTCCAGACTCCATTCTTGTCCCAAGGCTCTTTCATCAATGCTTCGTAGTGTGCATTAGCAATCTCGTCATCGTTCACTGCTTTCTTGAGTACCTTGGCGAAGTTCTCATCATATGTGTGTTCGTGAGTCCGTGTTAAAAGTGCTTTAATGTGTTGGAGTAGTGGGCTGAACAAGTCGTCAAGTGTCGTTCTCCAAGTGTTTCTCTCCTCATCCGCCGCTGCTAGGCCATCAGTCTCACCATCATCTTTTCCCGCAATGCGCAAGTTTCTACTGACATCGCGCTCGAGCGGAGAGGCGGCCTCGTACGAATTCACTGCGTTAACGGTAGCAGAAATTATTTCGGCCTGTTGCGATGACGAGACCTTAACGCATCCCGCAAAGACGGCCACAGTGACGTGAAGAAGGAAGTTGACGAAGCGCATGGCGAGGTGTCGAGCAGAAGTGAGGAAGACTCGCGCGTTGTTGAGAGTAATGCGCAATGAGGCATGCTGAAGTATTTTACTTTCACAAAATTTAGACGAACGCTCAATATTTGTCAGCAACTTCGATTAAACACTTGTGATGCATTGTGAAGATGGGGATTACATGGCCGCAACGCTCTTGCTACGTTATTATGGAGTGTTCAGCCCATTCAACACAACGTTGCGCGGATACTTCAAAGCAGTGCCAACTTTTTTTATCACCTAGTCTCACGCAACTTCCCGCTCGAAAAGGGCCATGCTGGGTCCTCGATTGCATCTGCGTGTTCTCTACAGACCTGCAAACCAGTCGAGCTAGAATATTGATGTTTATGAATGCTTCAGTGACGTATTGATGAAGGTCTTTGTTCTTATATTTTACATGTCATTGATATGTTACGTTTTTCCAACTACACTTGTTCCTATCACAAAACGAAGCGTTGCCGCACCTACGTGATACCATCACTACTTCGCGATCTTCTGAACCACAAGCGTACAACCACACCGTACCTTGAAATGACACGCACCCACTGTATGTTCTGACAGAAGCAAGTCACGTCGAACGTCCGATGTCCGATTTGCTAACCGTACGACTTGAGCAAAGCCTCAAATAGGCTTCACCTGAACACAACAAAATTTCCTGTCTACGACTTGACTGCACAACAACTTGTCTAATCTGTAAAAATCAGTCATGTGCTGTTGTCTTTTCGTGTTCTACACCCCTGCGTATAACGATAAGAAAGCACATACGTTAGCTATATAGCAGTCATTGATTTCTGAAGTTTAGTTTTGGCTTGAAGTCGTGTTTGCACCGAGAAAAGCTAGCAATTTAAATGTGATTAGATGAATCACTCCTTTCAGTTTATAAATGGAGTTTCTTTGAGAGCAATTGCAATGCCATATTCGTATCGTACTTGGCCAGTCCTGATTCCGTGCTCTTGCAACCCTACATTCTAGTCCCTTTTTCTTACGTTTGGCTCTTTCAGCTTTCATTCCAACGGATCGCCCACTTGCTAAAGCTCCTTTCTTGGCCAAAGTAAGTACAGAACGTTGTGGAAGAGACAAAAACAGGTGGCGGATAGTGCTCTGTGGTGTTTCCATGCAAACAATTGCTCCTCGCGCAATCTTACGCTGCGTCTATTCAAGGCCATAGCGTACGTCGCACACCTACCTTCGCACACCTCCATCGTATGGGTTTCCATGTCTAAAATGACTGCGTGGCCAGGTGCACTGCTAAAGGTATGCGTTATCTCATGGCTAGGAAGGCTTTAATAGTATTCAACACACGAGGGTAGTGCTTTACTTATGCGCGCAGACTTATGCGACAATCGTACACTTTCCTTTTCGTCGATCGTTTCATATGTCGTGGTACTGTCAATTCAATTTTGAATTGCATTGTATGTACACCAACGTTACATAAAACAACAAGGGAGATAGCATCTAATACGAAGTTTTTTTTCAATCCTCCTCGGTACCAAGTGTGTGCTTCTTCTAGACAGTAATGGCGTCATATAAGCCGACATTAGTAGTTGATAATGGCACAGGGTATCGCATGTTCAAAACCTCTTTTTTTCATTATTGACACTACGATCTTTTTGTTAATACGCTCTCTTTAATGAATGTTTATTTCTTATTAGATATACGAAAATGGGATACGCTGGGAATGCTGAACCTAGCTATATTATTCCATCTACCATTGCCGTAAGTGGAAATGACTCAAGCACAGTGCGTTGTCGTCAGGGGATTGATGATCTGGACTTTTACATTGGTAACGAAGCACTGGACCACGCGTCCACGCACCAAGTCAATTATCCCATTGCTCAAGGCATTATTCAAAATTGGGACAATATGGAAAAGCTCTGGCAACGCTGTCTCTTTCAGCATATGCGCTGCGAGCCAGAGGAACATTACATGCTGCTAACAGAGCCTCCATTGAATCCACCCGAGAACCGAGAAGCTACGGCCGAGATTATGTTTGAGACTTTCAATGTGCCGGGACTTTACATTGCAGTCCAGGCCGTGCTGGCGCTGTACGCATCTTGGCCTAAAATTAAGGACCCCAGTCAGCGGTCGCTGACTGGGACGGTCATTGACTCGGGAGATGGAGTGACGCACGTCATCCCAGTATCGGATGGGTACGTGATTGGAAGCTGCATTCGTCATATTCCGTTAGCTGGACGCGACGTGACGCATTTTATTCAAAAGATGATTCGTGATCGAGGTGAACTGGTCCCTCCTGAGGATTCGCTTGAAGTGGCGAAGCGCGTTAAGGAGGCACACAGTTACGTGTGCTCGGATCTTGTTAAGGAATTTAAGAAATACGACACTAAGCCTGAAAAGTACTTCATGAAGTATACGGACTTGCATCCACGTACCAAGCAGCCATGGGAGATTGATGTGGGATACGAACGCTTTTTGGCGCCTGAGATTTTTTTTAATCCAGAGATCTTTTCGACTGACTTCACCACGCCATTGCCAAACGTAGTAGATGAAGCAATCTTGAAGTGTCCGATTGATACGCGGCGTGGATTGTACAAGAATATTGTGTTATCGGGAGGCAGCACCATGTTCAAGGATTTTGGCCGTCGTCTACAGCGTGACATCAAGCGTCTTGCTGACGACCGACAGGCGGCTAACCTCGCCTTGCACTCTAAATTCCAACAAGCACATGCTGAAGCTCTCGAAGTCAATGTACTATCGCACCGCATGCAGCGGTTTGCTGTTTGGTTTGGCGGTAGCATGGTCGCTTCCACTCCCGACTTCTATCGTGTTTGCCACACGAAGGCACAGTACGAGGAGGAAGGTCCGCGCATCGCTCGCCACAACCCCGTGTTCAACGCCACCATGTAAGTCTGGTATGGAAGAGAAGCAGAAAATGAGATGGCGTGGTAGGCGTGTTTTCCTTTCAGTTCAAGCGAAGACATTGGGGGGGGAGAAGAAGGTCGTCATATAAAAGAGTAACTCAAAAATATACAAGCACTCAACAGCGTTCGGTCTCATTTTGCCACGAGACTAAGAATAGGCGATTGGCCATTACAACTTGTTAGGCATATAATCAATTGCGAGGTTCAGCATATAGTACAGTGTCTCTCGTATATCGTGGAGATCTATATTGCGATGAAATTAGATAAAACGTGACCGCTACCAATGACAAATCACTATCATCGTTGTACAAGTGGCTCACTTGATTGACCCAAACAAGTAGATCAGCTTGAAGTGAAATGTTTTCCATAATGAAAGGCAAGTGTCGACAACTATCGAAGCCTTAAAACTTTGCACGTGAGGTTTGTCTAGTCCAGTATATATGTAATTGTTTTTCTAACCCCTGGAGATACTTTGAAAGAAGACGAACCAAGTACAAAAAACATGTCTTGTGGACTATCTAAGATCATGTAAATTGTTACATTTGTTCCTTCGCTCTTATTCGCAGCACGACGTTGTTGCCTTGCGCTTCAAGCTGCAAGCTATTCAGCTCATGTATTGAGCTAGTATCAGTTTTGTGCACTCGAATCTACTGCTAGAATCACTTTACTCACGCAGTCTCCTCAACCAAAACTTCCGATTTCGCGAGCCTTGCGTCAAGCTTTACGAGCATATCCTCGACCATACTATCAAGATCAAAGTCATGCTGCCAATTCCAGTCTCTTCGAGCAATGCTGTCATCTAGCGATCGTGGCCACGTCTGAGCAATCTGCTGGCGAAAGTCTGGTTTGTAGTCACACTTAAAGCTCGGCAAAACCTTTTTAATTGACGCAGCAATCTCCTCGGGGGTGAATGAGACTGCCGTGATATTGTATGTCCGTTGCGTAAGACAGTCATTTGGTGCGTTAATGAGTCCTAATGTAGCTTTAAGGCAATCGGGCATGTACATCATGGGAAGCTTAGCGTTTGGTTCAAGAAAGCATGTATACTTGCCATGCTTCAAGGCATCGTAAAAGATCTCAACAGCGTAATCGGTTGTGCCACCGCCAGGAAGCGCTTCCGATGAAATAATACCCGGATACCGCACGGAACGAAAGTCAACGCCATATTTGTGGTAGTAATACTCTCCCAAGAGTTCAACATGCACCTTTGTTAACCCATACATGGTTGTAGGTCGCATAATGGTCGTATCAGGCGTCTCGTCTTGAGGTGTCGATGGTCCAAAGACAGCAATTGTCGACGGAGCAAGTACACGCAATTGATATTGCTTGGCCAGTTCTAATACATTCTGAATACCACGTGTATTCACGGATAAGGCCAGCGCCGGATTGGCCTCACCTACTGCTGATAATAATGACGCCATATGAACAATCATGTCAACGCCCTGTTCTGTCACAATACGTGCCATCGAGTCGCGATCTTGTACATCACAGTAGACAAAATTACAATCACGAGCTCCATGAGGTGTTTTAATGTCTGAATTAATAATCACATCATTGCTAAAGACTTGACGCATATACGGCACAAGTTCCATGCCTATTTGACCCGTTCCACCAGTCACAAGAATGCGATTTGGACTGGTAGTTTGTGAGAATGAACGAGCAATTGAGTGCACAGCACGTTGGAAACAAATGGAGCGGATCATCGAATTAGAGAACAACAAGGAAAGGATCAAGTGCTCAAGAGCTGGTAAATGAAGAAATGACAGCCATAGGTTATAGTGATGGAGTGCCAGTAGTACTCTTGCGTAATCAAACATCATTTGTATCTGTTGAAGGGCGTAAAAAACGACGCACTGATTGGTCATGGACGAGTATAAAATGAGGTTTTTTGATGTTTGATTGACAAAACACGGTGATGTATGTTACAAGATTGACAAGTGACGACTACTCGGTAAGCTTGATTGTATTTGACTATATTTGGATTACCTGTTTATATCATCAACGACGAGCTGTGATCTGACCGGAAAAAGCTTAGACACTTACTTGCTTTATCATAAGATACATATTTGTGTTATTAGCAATTGTAGCTTTTAAATGTGCTGTCAACCATTCGTATACATCTAATAGGTAGTATAGTTGCAAGAGAAGAGGATGTCATGCTGCATTCTTTCAAAGGCGCGTCCTATCATTTTGCAATCAATGTGGCAGGTAATCATGCATCATATACTATTGATTAGATAGCGCTTGCCAGATGGCTTTAATATGTTTGTTACATAGTAACAGAAGATAAGACGTTTGTTAAATTAGAGTATCTGTTACGTGACTAAATAGAAGTAATTACGTAATACTAGCTCCAGTACTTCCCAATACATAATCAAATAACGTAATTACATTAATTTTATAATTAACGCTCGCTCTCAACCAGCTGTTTTTTTAAAATGTAAATTAATCTGTTTTTCTTAAAATGCGTCTTACTATTGCGGGATAAAGTAAAGCTCTAAGCAAGATAAATTGCTAATTACACGCTCTATCCTCATTGTAACCTAATACTGTTGCTTATATCCTTCTTATGCTAGAATATAATTGCTTCCTTTGCTGCACCAAGCTTCAACCTGTTCAAAGGACCTCAGGTACAATGAGTTCACATCGTGGTAAGGAGCATCCTGGCTTAGTACTATAATGGATATATAGTAGGAAGACTACAGCGCCTAGTAGCACTAATAAAGATGTGAGTAGTTTTATATCAGTGTTAGAAGATAAAACAAAACAAAATACATAAATCTAAAACCCGCTTTGATAAGCAGTTGTTGCTTGAGCATAGTGCTTATTAGTGGATAGTATCTGTTACTACTATACTCGTAGAGACGTTTATTGGATAATTAAGAAGGCGTAATCTTTTGTAGCTTGCCTTGTTAGGTTTAAAAACCCTAAAAAACGTAAGGCTCGTAAAGCTTGTCTTCCTATGGACTTGTACGTACAGTGTCATGGCTACGGCAGCTCGGCTGTAGTGTGCATTCTGAAAGGCTTTGCGTCTTAAGCTTACATAAGCGCTATCAACACTTAAGAACTAAGCTCCAGAATATATATGTGGTCAATACTAGCTCATAGAGCATCCAAGTGTATTCTCACACTTGCCCATCAAGCCCCCAAGTGTATCTCAACACTTTCTCTTGAGCCCCTATGTGTATCCTAACACTCGCGCTTTGACCCCATAAGTGCTCCCAAAACTTCTATATATAGCGCTTCTAGCACATTAGTGCTCTGAACAATTTTTCTCGAGCCACCATGTTCTTTGCGCCTTGCATTTGATAAAATCCAAAGTGTTACACGATATAAGTCACAAAGCAGTCGCGCCCCCTGGATAAGACGATGTCCCTTGACCTCTTCGGAGGTAAAGACAGTAAAGTTGACTATAGAGTCAGCGACGCCAATCTCCTTCGGGTTGTGACACCCAACGCTCACCGAGAGAGGAACGGCAGTATTTTCCGGCGCCACCTTTTCCTTAACTCCACTACGCCAAGCGCCACCGGTTCCCTCTAGTGAGATTAGGTTCCAACCCTGTCAAATTTGTCCAGCGTCTTCAAACAGCTGATCAGGCCAGATCGGCCGACATAGCACGCACAGACCCCAATAGACATATGCCTTAACAAGGTTTACTCTCTATTTTTTTCAAAACGTTAATATACATTATCATTGCTTGCGGCTATCACTTGCAAGCTTAGTTATACTCTAACAAAGCTATTCAATATATACACCCCTCCTACATTGTGTGTACATTGTGTACTTCTTAGTCATTCGTGCCTACACACCACAACATAACGTGTAAGACTGCTGATACACATATCAACTGTAACATTTGCCTTATCGGGGTTGGATCGCATAAGCCTGCGCCGAACGCTGTTACTGTCCGCGACAGAGTATGGCTATTGGCATGCGAGCAGCCGTGACTAAGTCAGCTGGTGAGGTCAAAGTCTTCAGGGGAGCAAGCCCCCCCACGGTCACACAAGGCCTAGTCCACTACATATAGGAGTAATAAGCGGCTGTATACCGGCTGCGCCTCCTATGACGAAGCTTCGTCAAGATCGCACATGTTTCTCAACAGGGAGATCCTTTTCTGCAAAGTGCGCCCTCTGAACATTGTACCGTTCCGGCCTTAAAGCGCTACGCACCCCACGATTTAGCGGCCTCGACGACTCAGCAGCAACTTGTTGTTGCTTCATAGTCCAAACATGCGCAAATAAAAGGTTCTGAATCAGTCACCCACCGGAACTCGGCGCAAGCATAGTTCGAACGCGTGACATTAACGTGGCTATCCAAGAAGCCAGGGTGCTAACCATTCGTTAAATATGAGTTCTAGACCTAGAGGTCTAGACCAACGAATGGCATTAGGGTGGGGGGGGGGGGGGGGGGGGGGGGGGGGGGGGGGGGGGGGGGGGGGGGGGGGGGGGGGGGGGGGGGGGGGGGGGGGGGGGGGGGGGGGGGGGGGGGGGGGGGGGGGGGGGGGGGGGGGGGGGGGGGGGGGGGGGGGGGGGGGAAGGAAAAAAAAAAAAAAAAAAAAAAAAAAAAAAAAAAAAAAAAAAAAAAAAAAAAGGGAAAAAAAAAAAAAAAAAAAGAAAGGGAAAAAAAAAAAGAAAAAAAAAAAAAAAAAAAAGAAAAGAAATAAAAAAAAAAAAAAAATAGAGCGGGCCTTAGACGCAGGTAGCCAAGGGTCTAACACGTAAAGGGGGGCCAGGGTCAACCAACGAAAGACCAGGGTGGCTACCAACGTAGGGACCATGTTGGCTACCAAGAAAGACCAGGGTCTACCACGAAAGACTAGGGTCTACCATCCCCCCCCCCCCCCCCCCCCCCCCCCCCCCCCCCCCCCCCCCCAGGAGGTACGAGGGGTATTAGGGGGGTCTACTCAACGAGGTACCAGGGTGCTACCAACTAGGCCCCCCCCCCCCCCCCCCCCCCCCCCCCCCCCCCCCGACCAGGGTCTACCAAGGCAAATGAATCCAGGGGTTCTTTCGCACCAGGGTCTTACCAAGAAAGAACAGGTCTTCCACGAAGCAAAATTAGGGGTTTTGTTGGTTGGTGGGGGGGTTTTTTGGGGGTTTGGGGGTGTTTGGTGGGGAATTGTTTTTTTTTTTTTTTTTTTTTTTTTTTTTTTTTTTTTTTTTTTTTTTTTTTTTTTTTTTTTTTTTTCTTTTGTTTGTTGGGGGGTGGGGGGGGCGAGGGGCCGGGTCACCAACGAGGGACCAGGGTCCACCACGAAAGACCAGGGTCTACCAACGAGGGACCAGGGTCCACCAACGAAAGACCAGGGTTACAATTGGTACAAGAGGGACCAGGGTCTACCACGAAAGACCAGGGTCTACCATTGAGAAATCAGGGTCCACCACGAAAGACCAGGGTCTACCAACGAGGGATCAGGGTCCACCACAAAAGACCAGGGTCTACCAACGTGGGACCAGGGTTCACCACGAAAGACCAAGGTCTACCAACGTGGGACCAGGGTCCACTTTGAAAGACCAGGGTTTACCAACGAAGAGCCAGGGTCAACCTTGAAAATACTGGGGTCCACCTTAAGGGGCCGCGGTCCATCGGACTAACCGCAGTTAACTCCTCTGAATGGAGCACGTTTAAACCGTACATTCTCCTCATCCAACGGTCGTCCCCCTTCCCTTTTAGAGCCCCGTCTCTCTGTCCTTCACCCAACGGTTGCTCCTCCTTGTTGGATCCCCGTCTCTTTGACCCACCGGTCTTCTGGCCTACCAATTCTTGAAACGCTTCACCACATTTGGGTATGACCCTGGTGACGACGCCGAGCCAAGAGAAGTTTCACGTGGAACTGTCGATGACCAAGTTCATCAATCAGCGTTAGAGTCGGTCGGTGACCCATTGACCTCTCATCTTTCTAAGATTGAGCGTCACCTGACACTCCTGGAGCGTGATGCTCTTGCATCGGTGAGGTCTCACCTGTCATCTCTCGATGACCGTGTCGATCGACACCGTCGGTCTTTTAAGCGTTATCGATCTGAGACCTCGAATCGCTTAGCGGCGATTGAGCGTTATCAAGCCGAACTGCGATGTCAGATCGACCTCCTGGTACGCCTTAAGCGTTTATATGCACCCCCGATGCATAACTACCCGCCTCCTTCGACCGGGGATGTGGGGACAACCCCTCGAAGTCCACCAAGGCAGGGTTGAGATATGGTTTAAGTAATCCCACGTAGAACACAGGATGTGTTTGCACCGTCTTTGGCAGATTTAGCGTATAGGCTAAACCTTTCTTGCCTATGACCGTAAAGGGTCCGACAACGTAGTTTACTTTTATATACTGCCGAAACGGCACGGGTACGGGTAAATTCCTAGCGTTTAATAAAACTAAATCACCCAATTTGAACTCATATTCGTTTTTTCTGCCTTTGGCATCCGCGTGTTCCTTCTGAACATCCTGGCTCTCAGTCATAGCGTCTTTGGCGCGGCGTAATACGTCAAAACGCGTTGACAGAAACGCTTCCACCTTCTTGCGCATCGCAACAGGGCTGATATCAGCCAAGACTTTGGCTATCTCTCCCCCACTAAGCCCCGATGTGGCGGTAGGCCAAAAAAGAGTCCATACTAATGGTCTGCCACAATCCCGAGAATAGAGGCAAACTCGCCAAAGGCGCAGCCATATTAGGCGAGGATTTCACCATTTGACACTTTTCACACGTGCGTACATATGTATCAACCCATTTATACAACTTGGGTCACCAATAATAGGTGCTCACCGAGCTATAGATCTTCTCACGACCTAAATGACAATAAAGTGATGTATTATGAGCCTCATAAAGTATCTGGTCCTCATCATGAGGCACCACAACACGAGTCTGGTCATCCGAACCTGTACAATAGTACAGCTTCACCTTAGAGTTTTCAAACCCTGCGCTACCCAGCGCCTGCATAATAGCAACACATGCCTCATCGCGTGCATACGCCACACGGATACGTTCCGTGACTGATGAATTCACAACAGTGAGATGGGCAAGCTCATAGTCAGGTCTACGCGACAATGCGTCAGCCTAAACATTCTGTTTCACCGGCTTATACTTCACCTCGAAGTTATACTCCGCGGAAAAGGAGAGCCAACGAGCCATTCTCTGTGAGAGATGAGGCGACTATGTCGCTGTGCGTAACGACGCATGATCTGTATAGATCACAAACGGATTGGAGCCGAACAGGTGTACTCTGAACTAACTCTAGTACGAGAGGACTTGCACTGCCAATGGCAAAGTCGAAGCGTCACACAAGACGCTAAACGGGCGATCAGGATCAGACAGAGCCAGAATTGGAGCCTAAAGGAGACTCTTCTTAATGGCTTCAAAATCCTCGTGGTGTTCGGTGTTCCAACACCACTCCACATCCTCTTTAGAGAAGATTCGACAATGACCTAGCCACTTCCGCATAGTTGTGGCTACAATTGTGCAAGTAATTTGCCAAACCCAACCATTTGCGGAGGTCCTTCTGGTTCCTTGGAACCGGCCAATTCACTATAGATTCGACCTTAACAGTGTCTGCCCGGATTCCTCGATCCCCAATGAAGCATCTCAAAACGTAAATCTCTTCCGTACCGAAGATGTATTTGTCAATATTGACATATAACTTATACATCCTCATACAACCTAGCACAGCTCGCAGATGCTCAATGTGGTTTTCCACATCAGTCTTGCCATTTGTCGGCTCGACTATGAACGAATATATCGTCAAAGTATGTCTGTGCATACGCCCTATGGGGCCGAAACAACTGTTTCACCAGACTTTTGAACGTTGCAGGTGCGTTAGACAGCCCTTGGGACATCTCTAACCACTCCCAGAGCATACCGCTCGAAGTGCTGACCGCTGTCAGCGGGATATAACTAGTTCGCATGAGCCGTTGGTAATATCCATCAACTAATTCAAGGACACTGTACATCGTACATCCCACCATATTGTTCTGAAGAACATCCTTGCGAGAAATCGGTGTTTGAGTCGGGATAGTGGCTGCATTCAGTTTAATGTAAGCATGCACCATTCGCCACTTCCCATTAGGCTTCTTCACATAAAACGTGAGCGTAGAGTGAGGAGACTTACTCTCACGCACCATGCCAGCCACGTTCTTTGCACAAAAAACTCGTCAATGACGTCACATTGTTCTTGTGGCAGCGGCCACTGTTGCGTCACACAATATTTGGTTCCTGGAACCAAGTCAATTTCATGACGTACACCTATATCCGGAGGTAATCTCGTAGGAGGTTCTCTGGATACAACATCTCCATTTTCCTTCAAAAAAAGAAAGAATCCATAGGGTCTTTCAGGGTCTGCGATCTACTGCGCGCATTCAGCGCCTTCTTGGTATCTTCAAGAACTGCTTTATCCAAAAGCGATGAGGAGTTCAATTCCTCGTCACGTCGATAACGACCACTTCGGCGACGTCGTCTGACTGTAAGGCAATGCCAAACTCGGCAAAGGACAACTCCTCCAGCTCTAACAGAGCACTTACTGCGAGAATAGCTGAAAGATCCACCGGCTCTTCAACACCCCCAGTCAAACCATGACGAGTGTATATAGTTGTTTGCTATCACCGTCACTCACGATATCATCATCGCTACTCATGATGCTCTCAGCATCCGACGCATTAGCATTCACAGATGTACACACCTCAAGGTCATAGACCACTTCATTTACTGACTGCACCCCACCCTCTTGGGTCAATACCTCGTCATGAGGTGTTCGCACCTCGTTTTCTTCAAAGACAACCATACTTTTTGACTTCACCCGACCCTCTTGATCCAGTACCTCGTCACTAGTTGCTTGCACCACGTTATCCTCAAAGACAACATCCATTTGTGACTTCACCCGACCCTCCAGGGTCATTTCCTCGTCACTCATGTCACTTGGACTCATGTCCTGACTTCTTGGCTTGCAACCACCAACACCACTCACGGTGTTTAATGATGTAACATCATTCTCATGACACATGTCATATGTGCCATCTAATGGGTTCTCAACCACACTATTGACAGTCATTGGGCCTCGCCCAGGACTATTGTCCTCGACACTTACAGTGTCTAAAAAGTCGGATATTCCGACGTCCAACATATTGACCGACTCGGTCCAATATCCACGCCAAAAGCGCTTTTGCTTCCTATCAGAGGTGGGTTCACGACTCTCCGGAGCCCCACCAGGAGCATTGCGCGTTGCTCCTAAGGTCTTCGATCTCCAATCAATCCATGGATCATGACGTTCTAGCCATGCCTAAGATGAGGTCACACCTCGCATCCAGGTCTAAGACCAAACAGCGTTCCATACTGTTAAGTCCGAAAACTTTACATTTAAGGCCATCGGGACTTTTGGGTACCGTAACACGCGTACCCTTCGCTAAGCGAACTGTGAATGTGTCCCTATCGCGCGCTACAAGCGCTTCAGCATACTGCTGACTACCTTCCACGGTGGCACGGCGCACATAATCGCCTGATGCCCCCGAATCGATCAAAATGATCCATGGCTCTTAAAGCCCTTGATCGTCCCTTTGACGAGTAGCAAGCCTGGCTTGCATTCTCGTTCCGTTTGTGAGAGTTCCGATCTGTTTGGGGCTGGCCCTTTACTTCTACCTCCTAGAGGCTTAAAAGAACTCAGTTCTTCCCCAGTGGGGCGCTCCGCGCCTACTGGGTCCCGCCGTTTCCTCGCGGCAAACCAGAGAGTTTACCCATGTGGCGTCGGCCCTTGCACATATGCCGCAAGCTCACGCTTGCCTTTGCGACACGCCAAAAAGCACGATTGATTACGGTATTGCTTGGTTTGGCGGTGCATACTGCCGGGTCAGCTGATCTTTCATATTGGCCCATGTTGGAAATGCATCTGGCAGTGATGCGGTGCATGTGAATGCCCACTGTTTGGCTAATCCACCCAGCTTGCCTGTGGCAAAGCCCACACGGTACGGTTTATAGGTGATATCGGCTATAAACATAGCCGAATCGACCTGTTGGAACCAAAGCATAAGGTTGTCACCTTCTTTGCCGTCGAGCTTATGGACTTTCATTTGTATGGGTTTGGTCTGCGGACCACTTCTTGCGCCATAGTCGCCATGGGCGAAGGCGCAGAAGAAGGCATCTGTGCCTTTACATGCTCGACTAGAGCTTTATTATATTCATCAAGCATATGAATACGCTTGTTAACCTCTTCTTCGCCCTGGGCGATGAGATACTCCACGCCCTTAGGGCCAAGGATAGGGAGCAGCTTCTGCAACCCTTTCTGTTGTGCCTGTGACAAGACAACAGCTGACATCTCTTCGATGTCCATTCTCACACAGGGAAGTAGTCGCAAACCCAGGTGTGGAATCGACTACTAGTGCTACCAGGTGTAGCCGAGCTACTGTAGCTACGCTACTTATGACAGATTACACTATGTGCAGAAGAAGTAGTCAGACTACTGTAGCAAAGCTACGTATGCACTATGTGCAGAGAAAGACAAGCTCAGAGAGCTTCTACGTCTTGGGGTGTTTAACCCTCCTAGGATTGCTCGTAAGCATGTGCCTATCGGTTGTTATAACCGCGTGTCAAAGAGACGAGTATCAATGATAAGATTCATCAGGAGAAATAGAACGTTCAAGCAGTGATGTTTATAGTGCAAGATTGAAACTGATTTATATTCATGTTTATCTTCTAACACTAAATATAAAAGCACCTACTCTATACTTAGTGCTAGTCACTATTTACTGGCTCTATAGCCTATTATTATTATTATGCAAACATGTATAATCACTATACTTAAATAAGTATAGTGACCACGTGGCTCTCTGCCACGATGCGACCCTTCGTACCTTAGGTAAGGTCACATCAAGCCTACTCTTATGGCAGGTGTGAATGTACAATACACACCTTCGTGTAACCCTGTTACTGATTGAATCAACATCTGTATAAATATCGGATCCCGAACACTTGCATTTTACAGCGGTCAACTGAGCTTGAATCATAAACATGTTCTCCACGTGCTGGGCGACGTCCCAATTAGGGTTGCATTTCATCGCGTTCAACTTGTTGTACAGGACGATCTCCTGGTTTCTTCGCGTTTCAGTATTCGTCTTTGTGTTTTTTTTCTCGTATAAGTCCTCCAGGTACTTTCACATCTCGGTGCCAGTTGCTTTCGTCATCACTCGCTGACCCAACTCCATCAATAAGGAAGCAAGAAGTAGCTGCTTGATCGTTACTTGCGCTTCTTGAAACGCTTTCACTTCGTTTGTGCTCGCGTTAGCTGCGAGAACCTTGTCTTCCGTAGCATAATCTAACACATCCTTCTCCTCGAAAGTTGATTTCATTATATTCTGATAACACGCCCTGGACCTGGCCATGTCATCCTACAGGTCGTCCATATTTGTTCAGCTCCACCTTGTTGAAGATTTTGTCACACCACTCAGATAGATTTCCGCCACTTAAATATTTGCTCAAGTCTCAGCCGGATATATAACGTTTGAGTTTCCTTGTTTCTTACAAACGGCGTTTTTCTTCGCTCAGCGGACTTGAAATGTTCCAACGGGTTCAAGTTGAGAACATATCGCAACAGCTACGAATCAGTGCCTCTTTATCTTTTATCTTACGTTTAGGAATACATCCTATAACTACAACTTTCTTTTCTTTTACATACACATTACCTTCGTAAGAAAGAATACAACAGCGTCATATACAACGCAGATTCAAACGCGACTAACATCCAAGACCAGAAGATCACATCAGGTTGGAAACATTTTGGTGACCCTATGAGCCTTGTGAATAGTGTTTTGGTGAAGCGGATGATTGATTGGAAGTGAACTAGAGTGTAAATGACGATGCGAATACATGAGAAAGCAATATGTAGGATATGCTACGTTATCACATATAACTGGGGAACAATCGATACGACATGCACTAGGACATCATCAAGAGCTGCACTTGTTACTCTTACATTTTTTCTATCAATTATTGCCTCTACTACTAAGGCTACTATCATGAGGATATACATTTTGATGACTACGGATCGCGTTTGCAGTTAAAAAGCATAGATTTTTGTTCTTCTTCACCGTCTCACTCAGTGGATTGACAGATTAAAAGTATTTCGTCATTTCCGAGCCTCTATATACAATAAAAATGTCCCTTCCTGTAAAACTAATACACACAATAGAAGTTGGAAGTATCAGAGCTTTACTTGTTTCTCGATTCTCACCACTGTAGGCCTGTGGCTTACTCAGTTGACCGTCGTGAAACGTATCGAGATAATGAAATCATCATTTTCCCTGTCTATATACGCAATTAGCTGTCTAAAGGACGCAGCAATCTGACATGTCTACAAACTATTGCATGAGCATTCGTCATTGTCTAAAGTGAGCTATTCGACTCTACGTTTATTTTTCATACGAAATGCCATCCATTCATTTTGTCACTTGGTAAAAGTGTTTTTACACGCGTAAATACATTCATCGACCAAGTAGAATCTAATTTTAGCCAATCGACATCATGCTTTAATTCTAAACGTAAGAATGAATAATTAACATCATCATGCACGTAAACGAGACGAAGAACCAACGCTGTAGCATCACATTGAGTGAAGATATTCCTGTCTCTGGTATTGATGGTTGGTTTGTGCTAGGTTTCAATGCTACAAAGTTGTCTTGCTGTTTTTAAAAGAGTCTTTTTTTGCTGAATATTGATAGTCTCATTTGAAGAATTTCTCGCTCGAGAAATTCGTAAATCCGACAAAAAGGAGTTAAAACCCGTCGTAAAAGCTTGTAAAACGATGTATAAAAGGTCTTTTTTGAAAAAAAGGAGCACGCGGGTGGTGGATGCAAAGGCCTGATGCTGAGAAGAAGGTAGTGAAGCATTCACTCAATGATCAAGTCAAGTTGAAGACGGAGTCAGCGATGCCGAAAATGCTAAAACAATCAAGAGAAGGCACTTCTTCTTTTATATCATCGTTGGAATCGTTGTCACTAGATCAGAAGCAGGTAGAGACTATAGTGAACGCTCCAAAAATTATGTCATTGTCAGAGTCGCAGATCCAACAGACGGACGCAATGAAATGGAGTAGGAATGAAGTTGAGCAGTTGAGAACGCAGAATGATCATGTTACAGCGTGGAAGAATGCGTCGATGAAGTCTACGACTAGTACAGACATTATGGGCATACAGAACGTGAGACGGTCGTTTGAAGCAACTCAAGAGCGTGAAGCCAATGCGATGGCAGAATTTGAGGCAATTGAGCGCGATCTAGCGGCAGAGAAAGAGGCGTTTTGGAGGGAGCAAGAGCTAAAACAGCAGGATTGGTCAGTCGGACTGTCAAAGCAAAGTTTTTGCGACAACCAGTCGGGATCTAACAACAGAAGGATGTCGTATTCATCGTTCAAGTCGGGTCTCTATGAAGAAGAAAAATCGAGGCGACAGATAGCCAGTCAGAGTTCATCTTTCGATGACAGTCTGGATGGAGAAGTTGACTCATCATTGGCGTTTAATGACTACTTCGCTGTAGAGGATAACGGGATGTCTGACCAAGATGATTTGGCCTACCAACTTCGACATGTATATGCTTGTGAGAATCGCTATGGCGATCTACCTTCGGATAGTAGTGCTGTGAGTTTTGATAATTCTGTCCCATGGGATGAGGACTTAGCATTGCAGTTACGGCAAAATGTAACGTGTGAGCAGTCTTCACCTATGGCTGCCGCTGGCTTGCTTGTCTCTTCAAATAAACTAGCAACGGAAGAGGATGTAAGGCATCAGGCAGCCAAACGTGAAATGTATTATGCAAAGCACAGTGGCGTCGATACTAATGCACTGGGATGCAACAAGTCGAGTATTCCATATTGTAGACCAAAAATCAATGCTTCTAGTTCATCACTGATACAGTACGTACTCGAAGAGTCCGGGAAGGACGACAAGGGCAATTATGCCAGTTTTTCTAGCGAAGATGACGTGAATTTAGTTGGCGATAGCAGCAGCATTAATGCAGCGTTGAGTGATCCATTGTCACCGCCTTCTGTTCAAGTCTTGTCTTCATCGCGTTCTACGCCAACGCGGATGAATCAAAAGCTAGCCGCCACAAGAACATCAAGTAGCCCAAGAAAAGGTGATGATGACAAACGAACAAGACAGATCAACGTGATCACTGCAACTTCATCACGTGGTTCAATTAATCAAAAGTTAGGGTCCAGTGACTACAAACTAACGCATTCTCGAGCTCAATTAGTGCAGCAAGCGGATTCTGAAAAGATGTTTCCTGCTTTTATTGAGGAAAAGTTGAAAGAGTTAGAGGCAGAGGTCAAGCTCTACAAAGCGGAGACGCTGCAGCTTCAAAAACGGAAAAACTTTTACAATCAAGAAGTAAAAAAGCTTGCTCTTGAGCGTAAAGAGTTTGAGTGGTTTCAGCAACAACAACGACTTCTAATCGAAGAGGAATGGGATCGAGAGCGCACAAAAATGAAGGAAGAGGCGAAGGTTCAAGAACGGCAATGGAAGTTGCGGATAAATAGTATCATCTCTCATCGGGATCAAAAAGACTGCGGTGAGTTGGAAATGCTCAAGGCACAGATTGCGAAGATGCAGATTGACGAGAACGAAAGTACGAGTATATGGAAAGTTGAAATTGACGACATGCGTCAGCGTGTTTTGGTAAGCATATGATGCAAGGAACTTTTGATGGTCTACCTGCGAAGAATTTTACTCATGCGTGGCTCTATTGCATGTTTGTATAGGATCTGGAGAAGAAAAACCGTGAGCTAACGGATGAAATCACGTTTTTGAAAAAGGATCGTTTACAGCAGTGGGAACAATATGGACGTCCACTGAAGGAGAGACAAGAGACATTAGGATCGGCATCAAAATTTGGAGTGACTTGTACCGTCCCTTCTGTGCTTTGTAAGAAGAATGAGATGCGCGTTATGAATAACACTACCGCAATGAAAGAATCGACGGATGAACATCTTCAGAGATGGAATCGCTCTCACGAAAATTTACCCGAAACTAGTGAGGAAAATGACCTCATGGTAAAACCTGCACCTCACAATTGCCTACAGTCAAATGTAGCGGACAGCTACGAACCGAATCAGTACCGTTTTGATCGAGAAAGCGCTCACAAGTCCCTGAGTGACTCAGGGACTTGTGAAAATCAGTCAGGTAGACCGAGCGTCAAGGAAATGGATATCGTCAGCGATGCTGACAATGCGCTTGCAAGCAATGCTGCGACATACGAATGGGCACTTCCTGCCGATGGAAATGATGATGGTATACCGGCTGTTGTCTTTGCTGACCAGAAATCTAAAAAATACGAAGAGGACGGCGTAATCTCAGCGTCAACTTCATCTTTGTCGGAGCACAAAGTGGTAACACACGAGATTGAGCGTACGAGTAAGAGGAAGGAAGTTTTGTACGCAGACGGAAGCAGAAAGATAATTTTTCCGGACGGCAATGAGAAAGATATTGACGCTAACGGCCACACCGTGATCAAGTTTACAAATGGTGACTATAAAGAGGTAAGCTGGCTCCGTCTGAGCACTACATGTGATTGGTTTGTGATGAGCACCCGTTCGTAATGATTGATGTTGGTGATGTTGTAGCTCTTTCCAGAGACAGGGATCAGTGTGTATTACTACTACAAGGCTCAGACGAAGCTAACAACGTACCCGGACAATCGAAAGGTGTACGAATTTCCAAATCAACAGCTCGAGACGAGAATGCCTAATGGTACAACCGAAATCCAGTTTTCTGATGGAACTAAGAAGACAATTCGTCCGAACGGCGACGAGTTGTCTGTATTTCCGGACGGAACAACCATGTTGGAGCAATTGGGTCGTTTACGTGAGGTGACGTTGCTGAATAAGAAGAAGATTTGCTATTTACGCGACGGACAAATGGTGTGTGTCTTGCCGAATGGTCAGGAAATCCACATTCGATCGGATTATGAGCTGAAGCAGCTCATTGAAAGCTCGTAGCGTACTTTATACTACAAACATGTAGTACTATTTAGTAATTCTATACTTAATAACGGATACGATAGAAATTTATACAATTGTCATACTCTAAACGAAATTACTACATTTTTTCGATGAATAGTGGAAAAATTGTCAAAAGATTACTAACCAAAGCCGTGTTGACGTCATCACAATAGAAATTTGCAAGCGTTTCTAACGCAGCCATTTTGTTTTTATAGAAATGCCTTCTCATAAGTACGAATACAGTGATGCCTTCCTGCTTTACTTAATCAAAGTACGCCATTGAATTGTGACCTTTGTCCTCCCTTCTGCCATCAGTGCGAACTATATCCCTACCAACATGTACGCCGCACAGCTCCGTTCGAAAGACGAAATCCTGGCTATTCGTGCCGCTGAGCGCAATTATGCAAAGCGCGTGCAGCTTGCACAGGAGACGATTAAAGTCGTGCGTGAAGAGCTAGCTACGTGTTACCGTGAGAATGGTGTGAACCACAAGATGGCCTGCAAAAGCGTCCGCGAAGAGTACGCTAAACTCATTCAGGATCCTACCTATGGCGCTGGTTATCCAGTACGTTGCATATCTACACTATGAAGAAGACACGCTATTATAAAGTGTGGAATATTTGAATTGTCTTACGATGTGCTTGTGTTGTTCCTGTTTTTTGTAGCAGACGTCACCGGAGCTGTAGGTGTTGTGTCATACGAATAGAGCGAGGATTAAACGATGTCTGATCGGAAAGCAGCGGAATCTTGGCTTCAAATGTAAACATGACAAAACACACGAAATACATGCGTACGCGAAGCGTGGGCTTGTTATTGTGTAATGTCGAAGGCAGTCTTTTTCTCTGTGGTGGCTGATGATACTGGTTTTTCCCCTTTTAAGTGCAACTAGATGGTGTAATGCTCACCCTCAACTGTCGTGCAGGTAGCTGCGACGCTTAGCACGAAGGGCTTCAATCCGTTGAAGCGCCAGATGAAGGCTGCCACTTTGCATTGGTGATTCAGCACTGGGTCGCGTTGGTGACTCCGCAATTGAGGTTAAAACGTAGCGACTTGTTTTTGTTTCAGTTAGATCGGGTTGGGACAGGTTGTGCCTTCTTTTTTTTGGTTGCTCTTTCAGCGCTTGAAAGAGCATTGACTTGTGTGGCATCTTGAGGGCAATTGCAAGATGACGCGGATATGGCCGACAACAATGCCTCGTGCGTAGTGCCTATTACTTCAAGCACTTGCGTGACGTGACCAGAGCATACTTTTACACCGCCTTCAACTGAATCAACTCTAGCTTGGAGGCGCGTGAGAGCTGCATTAACAGCTGCCACCTCAGTGACCATTGCAGTACGTGTCTCTTGACAAGTTGCTTTGTTGCTACGGCTCTGTTCAGTATAAGCATGACGTGGTAAGTGTCATTTGCAAGAATTGGTTTGAGACAGTTGCGTTTTAAGAACCTGCTCGCGGAGCTCCGAGACTGTTGCAGTTACGTTGTCGATACCTTTTGCAAGCACTCCAATGACTGCCTCTTGCTTTTGCTGACCTTCACCAGAAGTGACAAGCTGTTTCTTGATTTCCTCCATCGACTTGCTTATCGGACTGGCGATTTGCGTCACTAGCCGTTCCTGTTGTTGTTTCTGTGCTTGCGTTTGCTCAACAAATGCCTTGTTCAGGTTTCGTTCAACCTCTTGTAGTTTTTCATTACCGTTGCAGCGTACTGGAGATGGAGGAAATGAAGGTAAAGCTTGCTGAGTCTGCCATTGCTGAATTCGATGCAGCTACAGCAACACAATTCAGTCTTTACTTTTCGTGCTCTCTATATCCACATAGTCGCTCAGCTTGTCATCACCTGATCATCCTGACTCGACCCGAGTAAGTTTTGAGACTGCGCTTGAGAAAATGATGACTGTGACATCGACGTCATGGCACTCAATTGCACGCTCTCTGCGTCGTATCCTGAGCGGATAGACAAATGTGTAAAAACGAGCTCATGTGCCACAAGCATTCTTAATCTATGACGTTACCTTCTTGAGAAACTACAGGGAATCCAGTGCCAACCTGGCTGCTCTCTGGCTGAGAAGTTGACGCGCAATTGGCGTCCCGTACATATTGAGTGAAGAGTGGTTGGTATCTAGAGCTTGCTGGTTTCTCCGTAATAGACGCTGCATTAGTGTGTCTCTCTTGAACGCTTTTGTGCCTAGAAGATAGTGGTGTTTCTGATCTGCGTCTTGATATTTGTAACGGTAAAGGCGGAGGTCCTTGACGTTTGTTCCTTCAGTTATAGACGCGTAGTTAAAGCATGCAGATGAGCGCGATAAAACCAACACATATAAAGCAAGCACTAACGAGTTTTCATTGCGACGCAGATAGCTGTGAGAGTGAAATGACTTCACGACGGACCGACATGTCTCCTCTCTCCTTTGTTCAGTCTTCAAGTGCGATGCGGAATCGAGAGTGAATGCTAAGTGCACTTCAACTTCAACTTTGGCACCAATCATAATCATTCTCCCTTTACTAGAACATATCATCATCAGAGAAAGGTCAAAATGGGTACACTACGATAGGTGACACTATTACAAGCATGAGTAAACAGATGGTGGACATAACTAAGCTTGAGGACAGCAAGAAAAGCATACAAATAACAAGGCTATAGGAAAACAAGAGCTTATGTCAGTGAGTAATACATCGTAATGGGGTAATGACAAACGCATTAATGGGCTTTATCAGGACAAATATCAACTTCAACAGTTTCGACGTATACACGAAAAATGAATGACGCGTGCTTCGTCATTGGAGCAATCGTTTGCTACTGATTTCTTGCACTCTATGTAGACTTCACTACATTTGCATGTATCGGCTACCACCAGCTCCACCTGTAGGTTCATACATGTCCGAGGAAACGCTTCCATTAGCATTTCCCCTTACATCTTCTACTCGATAGGCCGAAGATGCCGATTCTGCATAGCTCGGAGGCGCCGTTTTTCCTCCCCGGTATGCTGATGAAGTTAAATGGTTAGTATCGTCGTAGGCTGAAGACTCAATTGACGTGCTTGAGGAAACACGGCTAGCCGCACCACCCTGTGCTGCAGCTCGACCACCATCACCAGCAGCAGCACGCAGACTGCTCACCCACTCCTGCTTCCTTTCGCGGGACTTGGCGTGAAGCTGCAACGGATGGTATTTTCTGTCGCGAAAGGAGACACTGAAAGCTTCTGGAACAGCATTATTATCGTCAATGATCGCACCTGTAACATCCATGGGCAAATTGTCCGAGCGACAACGCTCGTAGTCCTCTTTAGTGTCATACAAGCTTAGTTGTGGTCCTTGTAGGACAAAGTACCGCTGCTGCCACTTAGCACGGGCTGATCCACCAGCACCTGGAGCCATGTATTGCTTAATAAGGTACCCGCATAGTATTTGCGCACAAGCAGAGGATGCAACCTCTGTGGCACGGTACTGGCCCTGCTGTGCTGTATCTGCCAGGCGCTTCATAGTGGCATTATGATTCAAAATGTGCTCCAGTTCATTGGTCTTAAACTCCAGCGTAGAGCGAAGTGCCGCGAGCTCGGCCGCACAGCGTTGCTCAGCCTCCTTTACTCCCAGCTCGCATTTCTGCTGTTGCTGAGTAGAAAGCTCCTGCATTGCACCTGCTTGTCCTTGCGCCACTGCTACCTTTACGCTCAAATCGTTCATCTTCTTTTCCAGTGCGCGAATCTCTGCCATATGTGCTGCATTTGCCATTTCCGTGCGTTGGATTGTCTGAAGGAGAACGTGCTGGCTGACAAACTCACAGTACGCGGCATCAGCTGACGGGCCAACAGCACGAGCAAAATATCTCTTATGTACCACACTCAGGTCGTTCTGCAAAAAGTTCTGTGTTTCGCAATAAAGCTCCATGGCCGATTGCGAGCTGTGTTGCTCGGAATGGGTCGGATACTCGGTTTCTGGCCGACTTAATACGGTAAACAAGTGCCGGCAATATGACATTGATGCTGCAGCATTCTGTTGACAATACGATTCGAACACAGCAGCTACCGCTACGCGAAATTGATCCATATAGTCATCGCCTCCACCAGCTGCAGCATCAGCGCCATCGACAATCTCACGCAACTTCTTCTTGGCCAATTTCTTACACAGACGATGTACACTTAGAAGTCTTTCTTCAGGGCAAGGCAGTCGAGTGCGTTCCACACGTTGTGCAGCAGCCTCAGCTTGTACGTCGCCATCCTTTTCCATGATTTCAATCATCTCGTGCTCCGTCGCCGTCGCATTTTCTACATCGTCCATCAAATCCTGCATCTTCAACTCTGGTCGCAATGTCACGGTTTGCAGGTTTCCGTATTCGTCGAACACAGCTTTACTTTTCTGGTCATTGTCCAACACTTCAAGTCCAGCATTTGAGGCACTTCTTTCGTCACCAGTAACTTCAAATCTAGCATCTCCCTCAAATTGGTCAGGTGACACATAGATGCGTACTCTTGCATCCATCTCCGCTTTGTAGCAATTGATAGCGTCTTCCAGTGCATCACAACATTGCACCTGAACGACGCGATTCCAGGCACTGGAGATCACTGGCGCCTTACCGCTATTCAGTGCCTCGACATACGATTCCGCCAAGTTGACAAACATAGCTCCATTCAGTGATTTGCCAAACATTGTCTTGGGTTTTGCTTTGTCAAACAGCCTCTTGCAGAGACCTTCGAAGTTTAATCGAAACTCATCTCTTAGCTCATCATACGGCACTTGAGGCAAATTCCGTAGCTTTTGTTCATCGTTTACAGGTCGTACCAACGTGACACAATCTCGATGTCGAAAAAAGTCGCTCAAGAGCGCTCGAATCTCGTCGATCTTGACTGCATCATCGCTGTATCCTCCCGTTGGTTGTAAAGCACTTTCCAGATATTGTTTTGATGAGATTGGTTTGCCATTATCCATCAATTGAAGTGTAAAATCACGTACAACCCACATAAAAGTGGGAAAGAATTCATGTAACTGTTTACCATTCTTTGCCATGTCCTTTAAAGTGGAGGATGTGGTCTGAATATGTTTTGATAAATGAACCACAAGTGAAAGGTCTTCAATCGCATGATTATCAATCACTCCACGACTATTGTATACAAAGTTTGATGCTAATAGTATTGCTAAAGCAAAAATACGCGTATCATGCGTTTCTTCCCGATCCGTGCTACCAAGTCCTTCTGTATCTAAGAACAAAATGCTCGTGTCTTGATTTAATAAAATGGGTTCTCCCCACATCCAAATCCCTTTTGTACAAGCATTTATCGTCCCACCAACGGTAAAACCCACCCGTTTTGTGTTGGTTTCTTTCAAACCCGTTGCAACAAACCCAAATACGGCTTGAAAGTGTCGCACCAAGAGGTTTAAAAGAAAGCTTTTACCTGTACGATAAAGACCTGCAACAGCAACAACTACAAGACGTGTTTTTATTCTTTGTAAGACAGTACAAGCTTCAGGATTGATACAAAAACTGCCATCCTCATTCACTATGACGAATGGTAATGGCTGTACTGTCGAGATGGCTTCAGTCATGATCGATCGAGGAGACGATGATACTTGAAGTTTGTATGTAGATGGCACCAAGGTGGGTAGGTAATAAATAAATACAAAAAAAGCAAACCCACAATGGTATTTTATTATTCCTTACCACAACACAATGACATTGTGTCATTTTTATTGAGTCTCAGTGTATACCGTATGTATACATGATACACGAAAATACCGGTATTTGTAACAACACAATTTCACTGGTGTCTAGCAAGTGGAAACGAAATGGTACATGGTGCAACGTCTCGTCAAGGCAAACGTGGTGCCTTAGGGAAAGCAAAACAAGGTCATGGTGTCACTGGTACAGGTGTTAACTTGAATAGGCGGAAGAAATCAAAGCTTATTGTAACATTTGATCCAGATAAGCGCAAGTATGTTGCAATGATTACCATTCATACCGTGAATGTATTTGGTTTTTGTAACGCTTAACGTTATAAAATGGTGTTATGATTGGTAAGTAACTTGATATTGTGTTTTTGATGGTATGGTATTAGGGAATATTTAACCGGATTTCATAAACGTAAACAAGAACGTCGTCGTTTTGGTCTCGACATGGAGGCGTATAAAGTGAAAAAACGTCAATTAGAGGCCAAGAAACAGCGACGAGAAGAGGAAAAGGAGAAATTGGCAGCATTGAATTTATATGACGAGAACAAAGAAGAAGAAGAAGAAGAAGAAGAGGAGTATGACTCGAATACGTCCAAGAACAAGATGGAATCATCTTTATTGGGTGGAAACAATAGTGTCATCAAGGTGATGACTTTCAATGATGACTTTACACAGGGTAAATTTGGTGATGTAGTGACGGTCACAACGTCGGTCGGTGATCTACAGAGTGATACCGATGACAGTGGTAGTGACTTGGAGGTTTTTGAGAATGGACATGACGAGGAAGATGCGGATAAAATGGAGCATTCTGCATTTCATTTGATGAAAAAGAAGAAGAAATTTGAGCAGGAAAAGCATTTGACACTCTTTCAACGAATACAACAGCAGCGCAAGGGCAAAGCACTGCCGTCGAAGCGTTCTAAACTGAAAGAAGCGCGTACAGCGCGTAAGGCCAGGATGGGTAAGAAAAGTACTAGCAGTGGCACCGTTACAAGTAAGAAACGCGGCGTAGAGGATGGCGATGGAAGAAGTTCTGCCGTGAATAAGCTCAACAAGAAGCTTAAGATGAAAAGTAGTCAAAGTGGTGGCAAGAAGCGTCAGAAGACGCGATAGTGATTAACGTAAGTTCTCATCTCTGATGCTTCTTGCAGCCGATTGTGAGGCTGTTGCAATTATCGAAGGCACCTTCATCCATTCACACGCATTTTTTTATTGTTTAGCGTCTTCTTTCACTTTGTTTACTGATTCATGCTGAGTTATTTCCACACCTTGATAAGCGCATCCCGGCCACTAGAGACGAGCATGGGGCTCGGGTTTTGGCTATTCCCTAGCTCAACAAGCGTTAGGTCCAGGATGCAGTCCGTGTGTGCCGGGGATGGAGGGACAAGCCCTCTCCGTTCCATGCTGATAGCAGTCTCTACACCACCAGCACCTGATGCTGGAGTCGAATAGACAGACGAGTCCTGGCAAACCGTAATCAGTGGTGGATTTAACTTGCTCCAAGCCATCTCAGGCTTCGTAATGTTGTTTGTGGTCGAGAAAGGTGCTGCTGGAGTGTCATTAAAACGCCGCGAAGCAGAGTCGGGCATGCGCCACCAGTCGTGAGGAGGTGCTTGGTTGTCGTAAAATGATTTGGCTTCTCCATTACCACAAATTGTGTACGATTGTTTGCCATTGCGAATATCCCAGTAGCGCAATTGTCGGTCTTCGCCGCCCGTGATTAGCGCATCGCCAATGCCACGAAGGTGTAGTGACGGACATAGCATCGCACGAACACTAGGCTCCTCGCTGAGTGGCGAAGTTGAAATCTCGTCAAAAGCCGTTGCAATGCCATAGATGCCCAAGAAGCTTCCCAACACACTTCGGCTGCGATGTGGAATCGCCACGTGTAGAAGCGTCGGACATTTGGAAGCCTCAACCTCAGACGCCTGTACCTCAAGCGTCCTGAACACTGCCCGACACGCGCCAATACTGAGGTCAAACACAGCAACTTCTCCATCACCTGCTGCCACAAACACCAATGGTACAGACGTCTCATCTAACGGCAATGTATTTGGTAGTCCCAAACAGGGCTGAAGTCGATGAATGGCGCGGTGGGATGAATGGCGCCAGATACGGATTAGCACTAAAAAGCGCAGATCCCACAAGCACAAAAAGCCTCTACTTGTACCAACAGCTAACCAGCTCACGTCAAGTGAGTGTGTTATGCACGTCACGTAACCAAGCTCGGGAGAAATGCTGAGAGTCCAGGCTTCCTGCCGCATACGTAAATCCCATGCGTGAATTTTGCCATCCCGAGTGGCATAAAGCAGCAGAGCCTCTGTGACGTTGTTCAGGTAGTCGATTGCCATGACAGCACTATTGTTCGCACGTAGCTCCTTGAGACCACTGACTTGAACATTTCCACCCACAGAATTCACCTTATCCACACGGAACACGTGAACTGTGCCGTCACTAGAGGCGGAAGCAACAGAGTGACTGTTGGTGAGCACCTTCATATCAGTAATTACTCCACCCTGTCCGTCATACGTACAGCGTGATCCTTGATTCACGCTATGCTGCAATGACCGCACGGACCAAATCTTCACCGTTCCATCGTTCGAAGCGGATGCAAGAAAGCTGTAGTCCTGAGCAGCATTGACGCGAGTTACGGCCCCCGAATGCTCCGCCAATTCTGCCACTAAAACATTTTTGCGCGGCTGCCAGTTGCGGTACGAAGAGCTAGGGTAGCTGCCACCGCTGCTACCACCATTTCCACTACTCGAGTTGCTTCCGGAGGTTGTACTACTGTTCGAGCTTCCAAAACTACTGGGTGCCACACCTCCGTTGATCGCTGCGGCGGCAGCAGCCGCAGCGTTAAACGTCCCTACGCTAGGAGTATACGCGCTACTATTAACCTGATTCGACGATGATGTGACATTTGAAGCACTTGTGCCTCCTCTATCGGATCCTGGTGTCCCATTTCCTGCCGTACCCTTGCTCATGCCAATTCCGCTGCCCGATAAACAATACGGACTTGAAGCAAGACTGTAAATCGAGTATGGTGATCCGTCAGACAGCCGCAGTGCACCAAGATCAGGAGGCAATGGAGGAATACCCAGTGCGTTCAACCGCGCTAGTAACTTGCGAGGGTTTCCAAGAGCGGGGTCCATGGCCGACTCTTTAAAAGCAAAATAGTGATGGTAGGTTGTGTGAGCCTTCTTGTTCATCCTTTGCCGGGGAGGTGACACTGGCGATGCGTGGACGGGATGATGGTGCGGATCCAGCAAACTGTTCATTCCATCACCACCATACATATCGCGCATGTTCATGTTAAGCATGCTCACCATAACTCCACCGCTAGTTGGTGCAAAGTGGCTCGAGTCAATCTGGCCCATTCCCGAGTCGTCGAGTGCCGATGATACTGGCCCAGGAGGAACTACGGATGAAGGACCTGTGATTGTGACAGGTGATGCTGAAACGTGCGTGCTCGGCTCAACGAGACTATACATTTTGCCTACATGCGACAAGGACAGACTCTCCAGAGAAGGAGCTCCTGTCATCGACACACCATTCGACACTGCTGATATTGCTGATCCTCCGCGCTGAGATGGTGAGCTGTTACATGCATGAGAGCGAGATTTTGTCACCAAAGCAGTAGACAAAGTCGTTCCCGACGCCGACGTACTGCTGGCTGCTGCAGAAGAGGATGAAGGAATCCCAAAGTTGTTCGATTTCAGAGGTTGTGCTGTTGAGAGCGCAAACCGCATATCCGGTACAAATAGCACGCGAAGATGTGAGCGCGAGAGCTTTCGCGCGAATGGGTTGCTACTTGTACCAGCAGCGCTGCCGCCGATAGCCACAGACGCGCTTTTCACTGAACCGTGAGGTGAACCAGCTCGGTCGCTTTTCGAAAGTCTTTGCATACGCGCGGCTTGCTCAGTCTTGGCCATTTCCAACTTACTTCGCATCTGCATCGAGGCAATCGATACGTACTGCTGCATAAGCTTCAGTGACTGAATCTCATTTTTGCGTTGATCGTAGATTGAAGACGTGCTGTCCTCAACACTGTTCGAAATTGTCGCTGCAGTTACCGCTGCGGAAGATGCGACCGCTGCACCAGACAACTGCTGGCGAGACATACTATACGCATCCACGGAGTCCGTGCTCAGCACAACATCCCTGTTTTTTCGAGACTTTAATACATCACTGATTGGATCTTCCAATGACTCGCGCGAGGTGGTCGTCATAGCTGAGAGAGGCGTCGGTGGGGCCATGTCGTCATCACTGTCTTCAATTGCTTGTGAAACAAATCTTTGCATTTCACTTATGACTTCATTCAGCCCCGAAGAGGATGACGACACTAATAGTGCGCGGTCAAAGGTCTCGCGAGACACATGAAGCCGGCAACAGTCATTGAGTCGCTTTCTAACAGCAGGAACCTCTTCATCAGGCAAAAACACCATTGTCTTGCGCAAGAACGGCCGAAGAAGTGGACTTAAAAACACGTTAGCGTCTACACTGCGCAGTTTTAATGCAATCTCACCCATCAGCTTCAGCACGGCATCACGAATCCACCAACTAGGATGCAGCAATAAGGAGCATGTCATTCGAGCCTTTTCCACAAGAGTGCTAATTTTCTTTTGAAAGAGTCCTAGCTGACACAACCCAGTTAGGCACTCCACCGCCTTAGTAATCACAATCTCCTGCACATCAAACAGCGCCTGTTCAATGCAGGGTAAAATGTTCTGTTCGACCGCTTCGGGGCCCACAAATGAGCACACGCCAACAATAAAGTCGAAAAATGCTCCGCGTAACTCCCAATCTGGATCATTCAAAAACGTGATAAGCTGTGGCAATACTACGTCCAAGGTACGCTCTTGGCCAAAAAAAACGCACAGCCTTGTAATGTCGACAAGCAATGCGCGCTTGACAAGAGATGATGAAGCCTTTTGGTCAGGGGTTGTGAGCTGGATCACAAAGCGTGAAATCATCTTGTGCAAAACACTCAACTCCTTATCAAAACTACTGGACGCCATATACAACGTGTTTAAAGTAGATGAGTCATTGCCCCGGGCAGACATCGCGGACACGGATACAGTAGATGCCGACGACGTCAGCATCTTCTGCTTCATAGCATGCGCGATCTCCAGAAATCGACGGCTTGTTTCCGCCAGCTGTGGCAAACACTCGGCAAATGTAATACGCACCAATTCGTCAGGGTCAGACTGAAAAGGGACCATAGCCGGTAGCACATACTGTGGAAACACAGAGGCATCGGCAAGTGGAAAAGATTCCACCAGTGATAGCAAGTAAGTAATCGTGCGAAGAGCTAAAGCGCGCACGGTGGCACTTGGGTCGTCAATAACCTCGAGCAGGTATGGAATCAGACGCTGCAAACGAGCTTCGTCACTCGTAAACTGACCCAGTGAGCGGATCAAATATAGCGCAGTCAGCTTCGACTCCGAAACTTGAACATGCCGCAGACTTGAACAAATCAATGATAAAATAATGACGATGCCGTTACGATCATGCGGCCACGGCTCACTACTTGTGTGTGCTGGCGGTTTTGTGCGTCGCGTGCTGCTTGAGTGTGGAGGTGGCGTCGTTGTGTTTAATTTCAATACAGTAGAGCCGTTAATATCCACATCAACTTCTTCTTTGCCTTCAGCATCCGCCAAGCAAGTTTCCTCATCCAAACGACAGGTCGACGGCTCGCGCGAACAATCGAGCAATAACGATGTCTCTTTCTTCTGTGTAAGCGCCTGAAATTGGTCATGAAGCTTTTCTATTTTCTTCTTTTGCAAGCTCGCGCTGAGACCGCGCATGTCGTTCTCTTTTTCCTTCATCTTTTGCAACTTGGTAAGAACAGCGTTGCCCCGCTCCGCTTTTTGCTTATCGTGCATTGACGGAACTTTCTGATACAGCTCCTCAAGTACACGCTGCGCTACATGCGTTTGTTGATCACCACCTGTTGCAGTTGCTAACCGATCTGAGCCGTAACCTTCTTTAAGTCGCAACTTGAAAAACTCTTCACCCTCCTGGTCTTCAACACCCGCTACTTCACGCACTAATCGTCCGTAATACTTGCACACCAGTCGAATACGTGCATCAGGCACTTTTCCACCACGACTAAGAACCAACACTAGGAATCGGAACAAGAAAACATCAAAATACAGCGGAAACAGTCCATTCGAGCTCGTGTACTTGGCCAAGTAGCCACTTGCCGATAGCCGAGCATTCGGGTCCAACTGCAACATATGCAGTAGCAGCTCTTCAAGACGTGGGTCGCCAACTTTCTTCAGCTGCTGACGCAAGCTTTCTGAATCTCCTGTGCGGTATTTCAGCAGTGATGGCAGGTCAAAAAGAGGTTTTCCACCCAAGAAAAGTTCTGCAATAACACATCCAGCCGAGAAAATATCCATCGACTCGAGTAAACTGCCTTCACGACGCGATCGCGAGTACGACGATGGGGCGTTACTGTTAGATGTTGCAGAAGCAGGAGTCTGCATCGAGTTGCCTGACATGGTTCCACTACCCATGCCCATGGCCAAGATCTGCTTGTCCACTTCTTCCACTGTAACTTCACTATCCGCCATTTTAAACAGCATCATTGCTGCATCAGGTGCCTTGATTGAATTTTGCCCTAGATTCCCACATGTTGATCCTGTAGCTGTTGTACTATTAGCGACTGATCCTTTGCCGTAGAATCTCTCCGGTGCTACACTACACCCTCTTCGTGTAGCATCAATGGCACAAAAGTAGTAATTATAATCTGCAGGATCATCTTCTGGAATATACGTTGGTTTAAATGGTGCAAAATCCGTCAAAAAGACCCAATTCCAACTTGTTACCATGACATTTTCTTGTTTAATATCGCCATGACAAATTCCTTTGGCATGACTTTGTTCAAGTGCTCGTAATATTTGAAAAGCAATCCATTTTTTCTCCACCATGGTTAAAAATGGCCGCGAACAGATTCGATCGTATAAATTCGATGCAAAATATTGTCGTACCATAAAAGCCACATGATATTTATTGGATAATTGAAAATCAGCATATGGCATCACATTTGGTTGCTGTTCTAGTGAAAATGCCAATGCAAGACGACGGAGGGCGACTTCAGCACTTGTTAAGGATTCTCTTTCCTCATATTTACGATAGATTTTCACGACTAAATGTCCTTCATCACATTTACATGAAATACTCTTGAGAAATTTACCATCACCAATCAAACTACCAAACATCATATCCATTGAACGGGGTGTATAGTCCATAAGAAAGGTTCGATATTGAGACGCACTATCGAGTACACTCTGTGGCTGTGCACGAGGTGCAGCATTGCCCATACTACAAGAATTAAAATAACAAAGACACGAATCAATAGCCTTAAATGTCGTCTACACGATAGGAAGTCAATCTAATGCGAAATGATCTTGTAGCTCACGTTAAGAAGAGCGTCTTGACTCAGGACCTTTACTCCAAAATTTGAATTTCTCGCTGTTAATGTAGAAAAGCGGTAGAATTTCAGCTTAAGTACGAACCGAAATTAGCATTTGTTACACTTCGTTTATTGCAATAATTTGAAAAAGGAAAAGATTACATTAACAAACATGACAATAAATGGAAAAGACAATGTGAATTGGCAGTGTCTGTAGCTACGCCTTCTTAAACCCACTCTGTCGACTGTATTCAACTCAACAACTCCTTCAACTGCTTTCTTCGGTTCTTGTCGCTACTTTCTTACTGCTTCATGTCATATCACTTAACTGTAAAGGTCTTCCTCGTCTTCGCCAGCAACGTCAGCAACACCACCAATTGCGCCAGCACTGACGTTGCGGCCTGGAAACGAAAAGTTGGCCAACGAAGATCCGCCTGCTGTCACATGCGAACGTGCCTGCTGAAGCGTTTGTGCAAAGGTAGAGTACTGTGCCAAGTCACGGTCACTGACTGAGCGGCGCGCATTACGCACGGCCTCCTCAAAGTGGCGCGGCGTAATCTCTGGCACCGGATCCTCCTCCTCAATATCGTCCATTTCGTCACCAGCCTCAGCACGGAGACGATCGCGCTCCATGTCGCGGGCAATGCTCTCGCGAATTGCCAACTTGGCAGCACGCTGGCAAATTTCCGTAAGATCGGCACCTGAAAACTTATCTGTCTGCTGGGCTAGAAAGTTAAGATCCACATCCTTGGACACAGGGCTCTTACGAAGCACAGAACGCAGAATGCTCAGACGCGACTCAAAGTCAGGCATCGGGATGAAAATAAGCTGATCCAAACGGCCCGGACGCATCAAGGCTGGGTCGATGATATCAGGGCGGTTCGTGGCACCGATGATAAACACGTTCTTCTTCGCGCCCATTCCATCCATCTCCGTCAAAAGCTGGTTCATGACACGATCACCGGCACCGCCAGCATCGCCAGCGCTGCTGCCACGCTGTTGGGCAATGGAGTCCAGCTCATCAAAAAACAGGACACATGGAGCGGCACCGCGTGCCTTGTCGAACACCTCACGGACATTAGCCTCAGACTCGCCAAACCACATGGTCAAAAGTTCAGGACCCTTGATCGAGATGAAATTCGCCTGGCATTCATTGGCCACAGCTTTAGCCAGAAGTGTCTTACCACAACCGGGTGGGCCATAGAAGAGTACACCCTTTGACGGGCTAAGACCATACTTTTCAAACTTTTCCGGGTGCTCCACGGGGTATTGCACCAGCTCCAGCAACTCGCGCTTGACACTTTCCAAACCACCAATATCCTTCCACGTAACCGAAGGCACTTCCACCGTCGTTTCACGTAGCGAAGACGGGTTCGATACGCCGAGAGCGTACTTAAAGTGCGCCTGAGTGACCGACATCGCATCCAAAATCTCGGCGTCAATCGTCTCATCCTCGATGTCAATCACATCCATCTTCTCACGAATACACTGTAGCGCAGCCTCGGTACACAAAGCTGCCATATCAGCGCCCACAAAACCCTGCGTGTCACGGGCAATCATCTCCGGGTCCACATCATCGTCTAACTTCATATTGCGCGTATGAATACGAAAGATTTCAAGACGTCCATTCTCGTCTGGAACGCCAATATCGATTTCACGGTCAAAACGACCAAAACGACGAAGAGCAGGATCCATGCTGTTAGGTCGATTCGTAGCACCAATTACCACCACGCTGGCACGCTGCTTCAGACCGTCCATCAGCGTGAGTAACTGCGATACGATACGTCGCTCCACCTCACCATTGGTTTTCTCACGCTTCGGCGCAATCGAGTCAATTTCATCAATAAAAATGATAGCCGGTGCATTCTTCTCCGCCTCCTCAAAAGCCTTACGCAAATTGCTTTCTGACTCTCCAGCCATTTTTGACATGATTTCGGGACCGTTGATCAAAAAGAAAAAAGCGCCCGTCTCGTTTGCCACCGCCCGAGCAATCAACGTCTTACCAGAACCAGGTGGACCGTACAGTAGCACACCACGAGGAGGCTTGACGCCCAATGTCTTGAACAACTGCGGATGACGCAGTGGCAGCTCAATCATTTCGCGGATCTGAGCCATCTGGCGACGACATCCACCAATATCGTCGTAGCCAACCTCATCCATTTTTTCCTCGTCTTCGCGACGTACAGGTTCTCCTTCGCAGTGAATGATCGTGTCGGGTGCAACAATACAGTACGGCGCAGGTTCAGTCTCCACGACTTTAAACTCAACGGGATGCATGGCTTGACGCACAAGGAACAAATCACCTTTCTTAACGGGGCGATAGGCCTCTACAAAGTAAGGTTTAAGATACACATCAAATAAATTGCCAGTGACGCCCTCAATGGTATCATCAATTGGTAGCACGTGAATACGTTTGCCATAGGGCACATCACCGCACGTGTGGATTCCCACAACGTCACCCAGACGTACGCGTAAATTCTTGCGTACGACTTTGTTCATACGAACATTATTATCATCAACTGTCTCATCCTGGAGAACAACACAGACCGTATCATGACCCTTCTTGCCTTTAATAAGCACCGTGTCACCACGAAACAACTGGAGCTCTTCCATTTTTGCCATACTTAAAGCAATGACTGAGTTATCATCATTTAATGCCTCATCCACTACCAAACGATTTGGCGATCGTTTACGATCCATGATTCCAGCTTTAAATTCTTCTTTCTTGCCACTCATTTTTGTTACTTCAACTCTCTTGATTATAAAACTCTAATACCAAATTGCAAGATCACTAGATATATGAGAGAAAGACACAATTACAAAGACATTAGTAATCAATCATTCTCTCTATTCCCCATGTATCAATACTTTACGTAAAAAGTATCTTACCTAAAGGTTTTTGTGCTTGATATTGTTCTTCCGTGGAAATGGCGATAAAAATCCTCCCCCTAGACAGGATATCAAAAAAAGTAACGATAAGGGATTTTCGTCCAATCATAATGATAAAATGTCGGGGGGGGGGGTGTTACAGCATGATGACTGGCCAAAATATAGGTTTTTGATCGAGAATATTCCGTAAAAACAAAATGTTTATTATCAGAAGATCAATCAAAAGAATGCATGTCCTACGTTATGAATGAATGTGCTCATACAAAGTGAATGGATGAAGAAAATGACGTATTCAACGATTCTTAGTAGCGACGGCTATCACAAGACTTGCCACCGTTGTTTTTGCGAAGCAATGCAATGAGAATACGCACAAAGATAGACACCAAATCTGCACGACACACACACAAGTGTCAATACATGTCAAAGCTACAAGCAACCACATAATTCAATTGCCAATCATAGGACTCTTCGTACCCGTAAATAGATCAAGCGTGTGTTTCAGCACATCCTTGTCTCCCGCGCTTGCCTTCTCAATGATAAATTGCGTGTCAAACACAACGTAACCGCAAAACAGAAAGAGTCCGCCATACTATAATAATCAAATTATAATACATATACAAGCACAGACTCAATAAGCAAAAGTCACTGCAGCTGCATATTCAATTAGTGTCGTATTTCATACCAAATTCACATTGAACAGAAACGACGAGTAGGTGAAGATACTCAACACACTTGTCAAAAACATCAATGACAGTGCCGAGCTTAGGATACCACCCAAATACAAATAAGAGCGACGAGTAGCTGACAATATCAATCATCAAAACAACGTCAGTCTCTCTCTGTTCGTTACAAGCAGCAATAACTACTACTTTGCGTACCAATCAAAGCACTTGCACTAAAGCACATGAAGACCAGTGTCGTCAATAGTCTGTATACACATATCAAGTCATCAAATTAAATGAGTAGAGAGAGAGAATCAAAGTATACAAAGGTCCCTCCTTTCCGTCTTACAAGGCTGAGACAAGAATGCTCGGGTCCACTTTGATCGCTACAGCAGCGAGTGTAGACACAGTGAGGCCCATGGCAGCCGAAATTGTCATAAGAATCCCAAATCGTCTAGTATAATGCTGCTCTGGTTCAATGTAAAGCCAAATGGAGCCCACTGTAGACACAATCGACGAGCCGATTAAAGACCAACGTTCCGGGCCATAAGCTATCATGCAGGCAGAGCTGAGCATCGCAGAGAGAACACAAGCTGCCAGTGTCGCATATACACGTATCAAATGTTGTTGTACGTCTTTTGTAATGCCGCTATTCTTCATTATTGTCGCCATATTCCAGTGTGGAGAAGGGCGCATTGAGAACATAGTCATCTTTTACTTGTTGCAATTTGAATAGTGTCAGTGAAATTGGTCCGTTTTATTTCTTCTTGTGGTAGGATAACTGATACGATATAATGATACCATCTGACTGTGTAGTATAGTAACAAAGTGCTACAAACTATTAAGTACGTAAGATGAACCCTCTTAAAACCAATTGGCTACACTGTTATGTTCTAAAAATAAAATGATGGGGATACCTTTGCAGATGTATACTTGTACAAAAACAACACACGTCACCATTCATGAATACTTAAACAAAGACATCTGTAGAATAGTTACTGGATGAGAAATTTCCAATTTATTCGATTAAACACTCCAATGTCCGAGCTGTATGCAAATAAAGTGTGTCTGTCGCCCATGGTCCGCGCTGTATGTTGTACCCAATGCGCGATAATGTTCACTATTGCTCTACATGCTGCAATGATATTGCAAGTGCAACTCATTCTAACTGCTACGTTCCTTTTCCAGGGGACTCTGCCATTGCGTCTGCTGTCATTGCGTTACGGCGCTGACCTCGTGTACGGCGAGGAAATTATTGACAAGCGCATTATCTCCACTGTGCGTGTATCTAACGGTACAAATGGATGAAATGTATTATTGTACTGGTCATTTCTTCCTGTGTCAAAGCCCTATTGTAATGGAAGAATATGAACGAGGTCGTGCTGACTTTTGCACTAACATTGCAGAGATTGTCAATGCTGTGGACTTTGTTAGTCGAAACGGTGACTCAGTCGTGTTTCGAACGTGTGCCGAGGAGACCGGAAAGGTGGTTTTTCAAATTGGAACGGCGGATGCGGTGCTAGCGCTAAAGGCGGCCGAGACGGTGTGCGTCGTTGGTGGAGCGTGTAATTAGCTGAATTTTGCGGTCTGATGAGCTTACTGTTTGTCTTCAACGTTTTTTTGCGGTTTGCAGTGCACGTGACGTCGCCGCCGTGGATATTAACATGGGCTGTCCTAAGCACTTCTCTGTGCAGGGTGGGATGGGTGCAGCGTTGTTGCAGAAACCAGAAGTTGCTTGCGATGTAAGACTATGTATCGCATATTGTGCCTTTTGTCGCTTTTAGATAACGTATAAACATATTGGTGGCTATGTAGATCATTAAAACACTGCGCCGGAATCTGAATATTCCTGTGTCGTGCAAAATTCGACTGCTATCAGAAATACAAGACACGGTACAAGCATATTCTCTTCGTGGAAATTGGTTATTATTGCAGGAGACTCATTCTATCTGCTGATTAACAGATGGATACTGCAAAGCGCATGCAAGACGCCGGGGCCTACGCAGTCGGCGTGCACCTGCGGCAGATTCATGAGCGTCCTCGTGACAAGGCAAGTTGGGAAAAGCTAGCACCCATTGTATCGGCACTGTCAGTTCCTGTGCTCGCGAACGGAGACGTCTTCATGCATGAGGACATCGACGAGTTGCGGAAGATTTCGGGTGCATCTTCCGTCCTCATTGCGCGCGGTGCTCTTGCTAATCCATCTATCTTCCGAAAGGAAGGTCGTTTGCCTGTAGACCAGGTAGTGCGTGACTATTTACAAGCTGCTGCGGAGGTAGACAATGTGTATCAAAATACCAAGTACAATGTCATGCGTATGATTCCGAGCTCACTGGAGGATGCGTACACACGTGGTAATCATTATGGATATTCAAGAGGCTCTCAAGTCGTTACTGTCCCTGAACTTGCTGCAACGAAAAACTGCTTGCAAATGTACTCGTTGTGGGGCTTACAGAACAATTATACTCTGTATCAAGACCAATTCCGTGCTAAGGCTGCAGCGCTGGAAAGGAACACAAGCTATGATGACCAGGTTTTTGAGACATTATTGACACTGCCTGGAACGTATGATCGGCACGATGAATTACTTCAATCGGAGATTGAGACGTCAAAAGCTTGCAACAACCGCGCTGGAAAGCCTGAGCTTTTTTGTGAGACGTGCAAAATCCAACTACAAAGTGAGCAGGATGTGAAGCTGCATTACAGGGGCCGGAAGCACAAGAACGTGCTGCGTAGGCAGACTTCCGCTACTATTTCCAAGTTTGTAGCGAAAGCAAAGCTGGAGCTAGGACCTGCGGAAGGCGATAGTGTCAACAACGCAGATAGCACAAGTATCGCGAGCAGTAAAACTGACACTGATTATCGAAAGCACGAAGGTGAGGACGAGCGGGATTTAAAACGCGTGAAAGCGTGAGAGGGAGCCTGTAGGTGATTGATTGCGGCTGGAAACAATTAGAGAGAAGAATCCATCACCGTTTGAGTGCTTGATGGAGATATGCAATGAGAGCAGGCTTTGGTCTCCGGTCAAAATGATGTTTGGCAATTCATTATGTATATACAGATGCTCCATACACCCGTGAATTCTTACAACAATGTGCGGTTTGAGCGCAGCCATACCTGAGCATTACTCCATCAACGCTGTGACCGCAATAAAATCAACTTCACCTGTGACTCATCAGCTAACAGAACAAGAGGCTCGTACCAGAATTTGAGTTACGTTAATACGCAATGGGTCGCCATGTTTGGGATTGAAGTCAAGGTTTCTGCATGCATCGAGATAATGCCTTATCTTGGAAGTGGGGATTGGAGTAATATAGGAGTCCGCATTCGGTACATGTTCAAGTAGTCTACTGCGCGTCCATCACCATAACTGAGAGCACTGCCCCAGTTTTGCAGTGATCGCTGGGGTACATTACAAGCTTGGGGTCATCAGGTGATGCATTGAGTCTTCGATGTCACACCAGCGATGCATTGATGTTTAAGGCAGCACGTTCAAGCAATAAAATCATGGGTAGAGTCTTCATCCGACACCTTGCAAATCTACCATCAAGATTTCCCTTGTTTCATCCCAATACAAACGTCGTTGCACCCTCAATCGGGTCGTTGTCGATCTAACGGCGTCGAAACCTGCAGCACAAGAACACTTTGTCACCAACTCAGGGGTCTACAACTATTCATGACGACGACACATCACTTACTGACCCAAAGAATTGAGGTTTGATGTACAAATTGCATGATCGCTGCTGCGAACGACAAGAAGCCGGATGGTGATTCAAAGCGCGTTGCTACAATCAGTATATTATGACGACACAAACTCATTGCATTATCCTTTTCTCTTGTCCAATTTGTGCTCGTCAATTTGTGTTAGCACTTTGTCCCTTCGTGGTTTTGTGATGTGCAGCCCTGCCAAATTTTCACGGAACAATTGTGTTCATGTAAGTCGTCTCACACTTTTACGTTAGGTGTTCCAAAATTGTACGTTGAAGAAAGTTTCCAGCACCATCATACAGACCGCCAAAATGAAGACGCATCATCGTGTCTGTAACCGAATTCTTTCGTTCGTTATGTTGAGATGGGGGAATGATGGCTAAAAGCCATGCCAGGTTTCAACTAATTCGTTCGTGAATCATCACGGGCATACAACTATGTAGCAGTGTTTATCTTTTAGCAAAATTTCGTAATTCCTGCATGGTCTTGGCAAAATACTTGGTATCTGCATGGTACTGCCGACGGGCTTTGAAGCCCATTTCAACACGTTGTCCATATGAGGACTGAACTACTCGTTCTATCACACTGCAAACGTCTGAGCCCGCAAAAGAGGCTACAAGGCCATCAACGTTCTCTAGTCCGAGAGTCCCTCTGTAGTTGCCACCCAATACCACCATCGGATGCTTTCTACGCTGTACCGAGACCAGCATACCCGTGCCATTTCCAATTATTATTTCGTTCATCGGGGACATGTCAGTCGTTACAATAACAGCTCCCGTAGCACGCGCTTGATTGATTATGTGACCGTAGCCTTCGCCGTAGCTTGGGTTTACGACGAATGAAGCCTCACTAATGACCTTGCTGTAATCTAAAGGCTTCAGCATACCCAGGTGGAGAGTGACGGGGCTCTTGCTACGCGGAATTCTATTTCTAAACGAGAGCGGAAGCAAACGATTGAATGGTTCGCGGTCGATGTACACGTCTAGAGGAGGTAAACCTGGAGTCTCAACCCAGCATTCCAACACTTCTCTCGTTCCTTTTGATTGACTCGCCCCAGCTGTATGAACAAATCTCACGTCTGAAAAATCCTTTGGCGCGACTGCGTCTTTTACCTAATCGTTTAAGAGCAAACAAATCTAGACTTGACGACGTATGTTTCGTGTAAAATACCTGTGCGTCGCGACGGTTTCCGTATTGCTCAAACCATTTCATCACTCGCTTGTAGCATTCAAAAGACTTGCACAACACCGCATCAGCCCGTAAGAAATGCATGGGCGTCAGCTCCATTATCTCAATGTTGGCCATCATGTAGACAGGTTTGTCTTTTGGCCAACGAGGTGACTCGGTCATGCCACCCCAGTGGTGGTCAAGAAACAGCATGGGTGTCTTTGGGCATAGGTCAAAGTAATCTACTTTGCGTTTCAGATCCGGATTGTATAACTTTGCCGTCATGATCCATTCAGGCAACAGTCGAGATTCCAAGTCTATTATCAAAATACACTCATAACAGCATTCTAAGTCTCATGCCTCAACACATAATCAATCATCACATACACAATTATTGACATACACTTTACATATGCAGCAGCATCCTCACAGTATCCATAAGTACGAGCACTAGATGGTAAGAAGATATCAATATCTGGACATTGACGAAGTTTTTGTAGCAGGTCCTGATCAGTTTCGTGCATTAAGACATGGGAATTAGTAGCAGTTCCATCAATTCCTTGCTTCCCAGGTGAACCAAATTGCCACGGCAATGATACATTGGTATCTTCGATACAAACTTCACGTAATAGCGCATGATGTAGCAAATCTTCATCGGAAATCGCTTCCTCTGGTAAAAGATGATTGCTAAAGTAATTACGCCACGCCAATCCGATTGACTTGTGTAGACCTATATATGTACCACCACGAGGTCCTAAAAGAAAGAATGTCTCCATAATTAATGTAAATGCAGCTAGAGATACGAGTGACACAAGCACGAGATACTTCCAGCTCTTGCGATGACGTATACGCGGTTTTTTTCCATACATGAGTATGATTTAATCCCAATCAATTTGAATTATAAGAATAAAATAAGTGAGAAATAAATAAATACAAAAACGTCCAAAAACTTTTAAGATCTTACCCATTTTTTCCTAACTTAATGTGACAGCACACAAAATAAAAAAAACTATTTCCCGACAATCTGATTCTACTTACTTTCTTAAACCTTTTGGGATGAGACACAATAATACACACTCTACGACAATCATCTCATCTACGGAGCTGGTCCATGAGCGCTTTATTCCGTCTCTGCGCACTCTTTCTTTGCTATCGGGCATTCTAGTGACGTTCGTAATTGGTGCATTAGCTTTTGAGTTCTCGTGTGTTATGCTGAATCAACCAGGCGCTGAGATTGCAAATATTAAAAACGTACTAAAAGCGGCAGCTGCTGTAGAAGACGCGGACCCAGCGACAATTATTTACTCCAGTGCATTTTACCCAGAAGAAGTGTTTCAAATTGATTGGAGACAGCAAATTAAGGAAAGCGACCTATTGCATCAAGCGGCACTGCAACGAGGCTGTTTGAAGCACAAGAATAGCATTATCTCGTCAGAGTTTGGCAGAACGGAGCAGACCGAGGCACAAAACCTCGTGCTATTAATCAATGAAAGCGATCCACAACTGTTTGAAAAGCTAAGAAAATGTCCTGTTGCGGATGTGTTTGTGCCGGGTGGCTTACGATCCTTTGGATATTGCGAAGACGCTGCAGCGTATACCAAGTGTACGTTGTCCTTCATGTATACATTTTCTACTGTATTCTAAAAGATTTCTACTCTTGGCGTGTGTTTCTGAACTATATGTGGTAGATTTGAAGGCACGGATGTTACCAAAGTGGGTGATGGAGCGCAAGTTTCAAGACGAGTTGAGGAACCGCACTGTCACGTATCACGATTTGTGTCCAAAGACGCCTATGATCTTCTTTAATCACTATTGGGATAAAGTACCAGACGCTCTAGATTGGCCCGAAACGAAACCTTTGTACTTGATGCCCAATGTGGAGATGTACGAGCTGGAGAGTGAACACTTTTGGCGAGCGGACGTGATTTTGTGCAAGACATTGCTGTGTGCGAGGTATTTGAGACTGTGGTTCAAGCAAGAGGGTAATCCTCGAGAAACGATGGTACTATACACACGTCACACGACGTCGAACTTGGCGCTAACGTTCAAGAGCCAATTGACTGCAAGCGAAATGGAAGCGAGGCCCGAGAAAAATTTTCGGGATGTGTCGATCATTCATACAGCAGGTAACAGTGCCTCGAAAGGAACAGAAAGAGTGCTAGATTGCTGGCTGTCAGAAACGGATCTGCCACCGCTAGAGCTGTACATATCTCAGGAACTATTTGACAGCATGTTCTCAAGTAGGTACGCGGAAAGGATTGGCAATAGCACGAAAGTCGTACTGCATGCTGGAGTTGTGGAGCCTGTAGCCTTTGGACGCCTCATAGCTGATGCGACGTACTTTATGTGTCCAAGTGAGCAGGAAGGCTATGGCCACTACATTAACCAGGCGCGTTCTTCTCGAGCATTTATCTTCACAACCGATGTTGTGCCTATGAATGAGCTGATCACTCCATGGTCTGGTGCTCTGATTAAGGCTAGAACATTTGCAGATTCAAAACAGTTCTTAGGTGGCCTTTCCAATGCGACCCACGCACTACGTGGTGTCCCTGGTTTTAATGCTCAATTTGACGGCCGCGCAGTTTGCGATACAGTGATGGAAACGCTGAAGAACACAACACCTGAAGAGCGTGCTGAACGAGCTGATAGGGCTTTGCAGCAGTACTATTTCGACACGATTTACTTTGCGCACAAGATGCAAGAAGTACACAACTTTGCTCGTGCAACAAGCATATCCATTGGTGCCTAGCGCATCAAAAGAGCACTATAAGGAGTGGAGCATTTATTGACACGTGCATGACGTAAGAAAGTCTCCTATGCTCGACAACTGGGTTGCGTCAATGTGGAATGCCGGAAGAAAACAAGCTTGCTGAGTATTTTGAGTAAAAGTCAAAAGGATTCGAAGGCGAGCAGTATGTGCTTAGTCATTTGCACATTTTGTGTTTGCTTTCCTTCCTAATATCCGAGCGTGTTGCCGCGTCATTATTTTATATTTTCTTTTCGTAAGTGGTTGTCTTACACGCCAAAGTCAACTTAGTATACAGAGTGCCATCGTATTATTCATTCTCGACATACTCAAAGTGATTGTTGTCTTTGTTTTTGGCTCAAAGTTTTAACAATGAAGATCCTCATTCGAAAAATTAGTGACGCTGCAGGGTTAGCAATACTTATGTACATGAAAGAACTAGTCAGATTGCTGTGTTTGTGTCTAATATGATGCTAAAGCGCTAATTTTTCGTCTCGTTTACGTGCATGATGTTAATTATTCATTCTTACGGGTAGAATTAAAGCAAGCTTAACTTGGTCGATGAATGTATTTACGCGTGTAAAAACACTTTTACCAAGTGACAAAATGAATGGAAGGCATTTCGTATGAAAAATAAACGTAGAGTCGAATAGCTCACTTTAGACAATGACGAATGCTCATGCAATAGTTTGTAGACATGTCAGATTGCTGCGTCCTTTAGACAGCTAATTGCGTATATAGACAGGGAAAATGATGATTTCATTATCTCGATACGTTTCACGACGGTCAACTGAGTAAGCCACAGGCCTACAGTGGTGAGAATCGAGAAACAAGTAAAGCTCTGATACTTCCAACTTCTATTGTATGTATTAGTTTTACAGGAAGGGACATTTTTTATTGTATATAGAGGCTCGGAAATGACGAAATACTTCTTTTAATCTGTCAATCCACTGAGTGAGACGGTGAAGAAGAACAAAAATCTATGCTTTTTAACTGCAAACGCGATCCGTAGTCATCAAAATGTATATCCTCATAATAGTAGCCTTAGTAGTAGAGGCAATAATTGATAGAAAAAATGTAAGAGTAACAAGTGCAGCTCTTGATGATGTCCTAGTGCATGTCGTATCGATTGTTCCCCAGTTACATGTGATAACGTAGCATATCCTACATATTGCTTTCTCATGTATTCGCATCGTCATTTACACTCTAGTTCACTTCCAATCAATCATCCGCTTCACCAAAACACTATTCACAAGGCTCATAGGGTCACCAAAATGTTTCCAACCTGATGTGATCTTCTGGTCTTGGATGTTAGTCGCGTTTGAATCTGCGTTGTATATGACGCTGTTGTATTCTTTCTTACGAAGGTAATGTGTATGTAAAAGAAAAGAAAGTTGTAGTTATAGGATGTATTCCTAAACGTAAGCTAAAAGATAAAGAGGCACTGATTCGTAGCTGTTGCGATATGTTCTCAACTTGAACCCGTTGGAACATTTCAAGTCCGCTGAGCGAAGAAAAACGCCGTTTGTAAGAAACAAGGAAACTCAAACGTTATATATCCGGCTGAGACTTGAGCAAATATTTAAGTGGCGGAAATCTATCTGAGTGGTGTGACAAAATCTTCAACAAGGTGGAGCTGAACAAATATGGACGACCTGTAGGATGACATGGCCAGGTCCAGGGCGTGTTATCAGAATATAATGAAATCAACTTTCGAGGAGAAGGATGTGTTAGATTATGCTACGGAAGACAAGGTTCTCGCAGCTAACGCGAGCACAAACGAAGTGAAAGCGTTTCAAGAAGCGCAAGTAACGATCAAGCAGCTACTTCTTGCTTCCTTATTGATGAAGTTGGGTCAGCGAGTGATGACGAAAGCAACTGGCACCGAGATGTGGAAGTACCTGGAGGACTTATACGAGAAAAAAAACACAAAGACGAATGCTGAAACGCGAAGAAACCAGGAGATCGTCCTGTACAACAAGTTAAACGCGATGAAATGCAACCCTAATTGGGACGTCGCCCAGCACGTGGAGAACATGTTTATGATTCAAGCTCAGTTGACCGCTGTAAAATGCAAGTGTTCGGGATCCGATATATATACAGATGTTGATTTAATCAGTAACAGGGTTACACGAAGGTGTGTATTGTGCATTCACACCTGCCATACCAATGTGGTGTGGCTGTACCTTGGGTACAAGAGTAGGCTTGATGTGACCGTACCTAAGGTACGAAGGGGTCGCATCGTGGCAGAGAGCCACGTGGTCACTATACTTATTTAAGTATAGTGATTATACATGTTTGCATAATAATAATAGGCTATAGAGCCAGTAAATAGTGACTAGCACTAAGTATAAAGTAGGTGCTTCTATATTTAGTGTTAGAAGATAAACATAAATATAAAACGTTTCAAACCTGCACTATAAACATCACTGCTTGAGCGTTCTATTTCTCCTAATAAATCTTATCATTGATACTCGTCTCTTTGACACGCGGTTATAACAACCGATAGGCACATGCTTACGAGCTATCCTAGGAGGGTTAAACACCCCAAGACGTAGAAGCTCTCTGAGCTTGTCTTTCTCTGCACATAGTGCATAATTATCTTGGCTACAGCAGTCTGACTACTACTTCTGCACATAGTGTAATCTGTCATAAGTAGCGTAGCTACAGTAGCTCGGCTACACCTGGTAGCACTAGTAGCCGATTCCGCACCTGGGTTTGCAACTACTTCTCTGTGTGAGAATGGACATCTATGAGATGTCAGCTGTTGTCTTGTCACAGGCACAACAGGAAGGGTTGCAGAAGCTGCTCCCTATCCTTGGCCCTAAGGGCGTGGAGTATCTCATCGCCCAGGGCGAAGAAGAGGTTAACAAGCGTATTCATATGCTTGATGAATATAATAAAGCTCTAGTCGAGCATGTAAAGGCACAGATGCCTTCTTCTGCGCCTTCGCCCATGGCGACTATGGCGCAAGAAGTGGTCCGCAGACCAAACCCATACAAATGAAAGTCCATAAGCTCAACGGCAAAGAAGGTGACAACCTTATACTTTGGTTCCGACAGGTTGAATCGGCTATGTTTATTGCTGACATAATCTATGAACCGTACCGTGTGGGCTTTGCCACAGGCAAGTTAGGTGGATTAGCCAAACAGTGGGCATTCACATGCGCCGCATCACTGCCAGATGCATTTCCAATATGGGCCAATATGAAAGATCAGCTGACCCGGCAGTATGCACCGCCAAACCAAGCAATACCGTAATCAATCGTGCTTTTTGGCGTGTCGCAAAGGCAAGCGTGAGCTTGCGGCATATGTGCAAGGCCGACGCCACATGGGTAAACTCCCTGGTTTGCCGCGAGGAGACGGCGGGACCCAGTAGGCGCGGAGCGCCCTACTGGGGAAGAACTGAGTTCTTTTAAGCCTCTAGGAGGTAGAAGTAACAGGACCCAGCCCCAAAGAGATCGAACTTTCAAAAAAAAACGAGAATGCAAGCCAGGCTTCCTGGTCGTCGAAGGGACGATTAAAAGCTATGATAAGCCATGGATCATTTTGATCGATTCGGGGGCATCAGGCGATTATGTGCGCCGTGCCACCGTGGAAGGTAGTCAGCAGTATGCTGAAGCGCTTGTAGCGCGTGATAGCGACACATTCATAGTTTGCTTAGTGACGGGTACGCGTTACGGAGGGACTTGAATGTAAAGTTCTTGGACTTTAACAGCATGGAACGCTGTTTGGTCTGCCATCAGGTGGGCCCGATGGAGCAGGACGAAGAGCCATTGGTGGAGACATCACAGTACGATATCCTATCAGGAATAATACAGCTGTCAAGGGTACCCCGTTCTTCTCTGGTTGGGTAGAAAGACATGGGTGAAGTCGAGATTCGTGCCGACAACCATAGTCTGGTAGCCAGCAGGCTCTTAAGGATAGAAGAGCTGACCAGTGACGGCTTCCACTTGGAAGGCCAATCGACCTTCCCTTCTGGTGGACCGAATCAGCCCCACTAAAGCTCTTGGTGGTCGAGCAAATCTCTAGGGGTCATCGTCGCGATACCACGAGTTGACTCAGGCGACCGAAAGGTGCCACTTCCACGGCAGTTAATGACTTCACCTGCATATACCCAGAGATGACGTCACTATTCAAAAGCGCGGGTGACCCACCTGGGGCGGAGTCTGTCTTCGTAATCGAAGCGATGACCTTTTTATTCGGGACTGACTCGGTAGCCGAGTCGAAGGACCAGATCATGGCCCGGAACAATGATGGAATCGGGGGAGTGACGAGTCTCGGGACATAAGTGGTCGAGGCATCTGGGACTGGTGACTTCTTGGCATGGACCGTCGACTTGAATACCACGGTAGAGCTAGTGTCTTCCGGACCCACCTCGCTATCGTCGCTCGCCGTTTCATATCTCAATTCGACTTGACAGTCTTGGCAGTCACTTAAACTGACGGTTGCCGTGGTCGTTTACCCGACGCTGGGGCAGGAGGCACCGTGGGGGCAGCCACTGGGGGGACCACGGGATTCTTTAGTGGATTCGAGTCATAGCCTGCATGCTCCAGCTCTACCACCCGAAAATAGTGCCGGCTTTGACGGTTATCGATCTGCCATCGAAAGTGCTCCACCAGCGTCCTTTCGTATTGAAGACCTTCGCACAACTGGACCACAAGATTGGTGGAATCAAGTAGCTCTCTCTCGAGACGCTAAAACCTGGTGGTACATTAGGTGGTGGAGGAGAAGACTGGAGCTAGATTACCCTCGCACGCCTCGAGTCGACGGTAGTGTGCGGTTATGCTGACCTGTATGTCGCGCAGAATTTGGTGCACGTCCACGCGTCCATCCAACGTGGTCGGAGTGTCGCTCGACAAGGTGACGGGAGGCCTATTGACTAGGGACCGAGGTCCATTGACGAAGGACCAAGGTCGACCTTCAGGAACTGGGGCCGCAAATTCATCGACCAAAGGTCAAGATCTGCCTTTATGAAAGACCGAGGTCTACCAATAATAGACC